TGGTCGCTGGGCAGGTGCCTCACTTTCCTTATGAGGTAAGGATAGTTTGAGCCTGCTTGGGTCATTAGTGAATGATTCTATTCTGATTACTCTTGGTACACCCTCTATGTCGCTTTTCTACACAGGTTCTACCCATTGCATCGTGGCTATCCTCAGCCTCCTACGAGTTCAACCCGCAAGTCGAACGTGGTCTCTGGATCCATGAGCTCTTTGTTGATGGTCCGGCCAAGATGCATAATGCGTGTTACAAAACAAATATCATCATTTCGCACGCACATCATCGTAAATGATCTTTTCCACACGCTCGGAACAACCAAGAACTTCAAGGTCTAATCAAAAAGACTGATTAACTCAAATCTCTGATAGCAGCAAAAGGCGGGCCATCAGTACGTACCTCCATACGGCAATATCTGCGAAGCAATGATGCCACCCACTCCATTCTCCCGGTCTGCAAACCAGAACAAATTAGGCAGCCCTTCCCAGGACCCCGATCCTGCGGCTCTCCCGGTCGAGCTCTTGGTGTGGCTGAGTGCGAAGGATAGGCCCCATCCTTCGGTGAGGTCGTCCGCACACGGCACCAGCGGGCACGGATTGGCCAGAAGCGGCTTGCCCGAGGGCGTATACTCGTTGCAGTATCGCGGCATGGTTGGAATTTGATCGGTGAACATGGCTAGCACATAGTCAGTTGCCGATGCGATGTGCAGTGGAAAGAATAAAGCGTACTTTGAACCGTCTCAGACTTCAGAAGCTGGGCCCCAGTGTTGGGACTCGTGCCGTGGTTCAGAAGTGTCGCGATAATTCCTGCATAGATTTCAGCACCGTTTCCAGGATGCTCAGACGGATTCGATGGACATACGACAGTACTCCAGCGGCTTTCCAAAACAGCCCGCCCCTCCCATACAAAACCGCCGACCCTCCTCGTCCGGCCTCCAAGGAAGCAAAGGATACCGGTACAGATGGTCCGTGATACTGAGCGAACCGTCTTTGGCGCGCTGGTGAATATACGCCAGATTACTCTTCATCGCGTCCGTCGGAAAGAAGGTGATATTCTCCACTCCCAAGGGCCGTAGAATAAAGGTCTGGAAGTACTCTTCCAGCGAGATTCCCGTCATGCGCTCCACCAACTGACCCACCCAGTCCATGCCCACCCCATACTGGAACTTGGTCTCGGGCTGGTTGACCAGCGGCCGGTGCAGCACGTCGTGGATGTTTCCCGAGAAGTCGTCCAGACCGATGGGGCGCGACCATTCGAGTAACTTCAGGTCTTCAAAGGCGTAGCCAAAGTCAGCTGTGCTCCATCAGCATAGCTCGCGCCGAACTCTGCCCTGGTAAAGGAGGATGCCACTTACATGTATGGTTCAACAGCATCCGTAGCGTCAATCGCCTCTCTTTGGCAACCAATTTGATCCCACCATCAGCACCCCGCTCCAAGACCTGCACATCCCGGAGCTCGGGGGCTAACGCTTCCAGCTGGTCACTGTCGTCCAGCGCCAGCTTCCCCTGGTCGACTAACTGCATACATGCGATACTGGTAAGTAGCTTTGTGCAAGAGGTCATATAGAAGATCGTGTCGAGGGTCATCGGCTCTTCCTGGCCGAGTCCTGTTTTCCCGGACGCATGGCTGAAAATAACCTCTCCTGTCCGGTCGACGGCTGCATAAACAAGCCCTGAAATTTTAGGCGATAAATTATAAGTTAATATATCCATCACCGCTCGAGCAGCCGTGTTTGCGCGCGCTGAAAGGGGTTTAGCCATAGTAGATAGACTATATATACAATTCTAGAAAGAGTGTTTTCATAATACGGATATAATAGAAGCGAAGAACTACGATAATATCTAATTATTAAGATCTGACTTTACAAGTTAGTATAGGGCTTAGATTAGCGTGCATTTTTCATATAGATCTACTATTACTATGTAAATAAGTAGTAACAGTTATCCTATTAGAAAGGAGAGCCAAGACGCATAATACAACCGGCGAGAATTTAGGGCAAGTCTGAATTACTTTAGTAAGAAGAACAGACTTTAAATAGTCTATCTCAAATATAAGTTATAAGCCCTAAAGACTTATATATAATTCCTAATATATTGCGCCACGCTTCACCGTAGTCAGCCCGATCCTAAGAATATACACTTACAATCGTACTTTTAATAACAACAGAAGTTATCCAAGTCTACTTCTTATAGCGGACTAAATATTCCACCTAACCACATCTAACCACGCTCGAGGACTACCACGTCCTCTACTAAGAATCTATCACCTCGCCAGAGACCTTCTGGAGTAAACAAGTACATAATCTTCTTACCTTCACCTGTGACTTCCACACCACCCACCTGGGCTCCTTCGCGAGCGGCGACAGTACCTGGTTTCTAGGCGGCCAGCTGAACACCTTCTTCAACTGTATAGACCGCCACGCAATCCGTTACCCGGAACGGATAGCCCTGATCTTTGAGCCCGATGACCTATCCGACAGCAGCGTTTTAATTACCTACAGCAAACTATTAAAACAAGTCTGCCGTCTGGCATGGTGTCTGCGCGCACAGAGAATCCGCAAGGGCGATATTATAACAATCTATATACCTATAATCCCCGAGACGGTGTACGCGGTGCTGGCGTACGCGCGTCTCGGCGCTGTATACTCCGTCGTATTCGCAAATTTCTTGGCGGAGGCCCTGCGGGACCGCGTGCTTGACGCACGGTCCGCAGTGGTTATCACCGTTAACCAAGGCCGCCGCAGGGGCAAGATAGTTCCCACGAAGCAGGTCGTGGACAACGCGGTGAGGGACTGTCCGACTATATTCTCCGTATTAATATTCTGTTGAACTGGTACTCAAATCCTATAGACAGTAGGCCGCGATATCTGGTACGACGATGCGATAAAGAAATTCCCGAGTTACATCCCGCCTGAACCCGTGGATATCGGGTAGATTACCGGCCACATGTATGTGGTTTATATACTATTATTATTAGACTATACCACTATTATCTTCAAGAACACGCCCGCGTATTCTTTATATTCGCGGTACTGGGAGATCCTAGCGAAGCATACTGTTACCCATTTCTATACTACTCTAAAAGTACTAAGATTATTAAAATAAGAATAGGCGCAGATTGAGGTTATTAAATTTAATATAAGTTATTTGCAGGTGCTGGGATCTGTTGGAGAGCCTATCGCGCCGGAGATCTAGAAGTAGTATTACACGATAATAAACAAAAAAAAGACCTGTATAACAGATATATATCTTTTTTCTTATATTTAATCTTATCTTATTATCAGACTTGAGTTTCATATTGCTAACAGAATTAATTCCTAGACCTATTAGCAGACGAAAACAGAATCGCACATTATCGCCGCTTTTGCTAGGATGACCCCTACAAAACCGGACAGCGCCTCCCTGCCCATGTTCGGGATTAACTTTGCTATAATTAATTCTGTATCCGGAGAGAAGCTGACAGAGAACAAGATAGAGGGGGTCCTAGTAATCAAACAGCCCTGGTCCAGCATAGCCCGCACCATCCGCAACAGCCATAATCGCTTTATTAAGATATACTTTAATATATATCGAGGGTACTACGTAAGTCTGTCGTATGCACTTTTTACCGCCGCCCAGTTGCTCGATGCGGCGTTGCAGCAGGGACGCCAGCACGCAGGAGGCGTCAGTAATCTACATCTGCTGGAGCCGATTCTGATTCTGTTTACCTTGGATGTATGTACCCTTTCTCGTTACCCGTCTTTCTAACCCCTCCGGTTAAAGAAAAGCAGCTAACAGAATAAGCAGTATACTCTCTCCGTGTCTGGAACATAGGCCACGCATCTCTATCGCGCCCATTCAATGCTCGAGGCCGCCGGCAGTCCCGGTGCGCTTATTAGCCCGCGGATCCGATCGCAGGTTGGAATATTGATCTGGTATGCCATTCCTCATTCCCGTGCATTTCTGACGGGAGTGGATCGCGATCTAATATAGATAAGGTGGAATGTGATCCTTGCCCTAATCTCGCAGCAACGCCCGATCATGCGCCAAGCGTATCTGGACCACCTCATCCGCTGGGAAAAGTAAGACGTATGGTTATTCTTCAATCTTACAGGGTGTCCAGGCTACCTGGTCGTGCGGCTGTATCATCTGGCCGAGCTGGTGCAGTAGAGTAAGATTGTTTTGTCGATAAAATAGCTCAGCTTCGATCGCACGCCGGTGCTTGCGATGGAGCGGGAGATATAGGAGTAGACAAGCAAGCACAACCCCTCCTCGGGTTCCGCGGACGATAAGACAAGAAGTCCCGATAAAGTGGAAAGTCCCGCTGATGCTATCAACGGGAAACAAAAGTTTAACCGGCGGCAGAATGTCTTCTACTGTATTAAGGCGTAGCGCTAAATCTTACTTCTGTATATCAAGTCGGTGTTCCGGTGGGATCGGATAAAGATTGCGTAGATGCACAGACAGTAAGACCGCACGGGGCTGCGTCGATTGGTCCGCAAGATTATCGACCATATGCGGTGTTATTGAAGATTATTATAGATGCAGAAACAGTTACTACTTCCAGTATTTCTAGCCGGGAGCAAAATATTGGATCCCGATTTGCGGAAGTTTGTGACGGACTATTATATATATTGGAGCGAGAAGAGCCAGTATAGCATGTTTGATAGTATGCCGGTACTGTTGAAGGAGATCTAGGCGTCTAAAATATAATAAAGAGCGGTTATAGATGTTAAGACAAAAGATAGACAGAAGAAGATGTAATAAAAGCAACCAGAGGTTACGCCTACGCAATTCTTATTTAGGTAGGATAAATGCAACTTTATATTAGAATATAAAGCAAGATCTTTCTTGTATTATAATTAATATTATTATTACATTACAGTATAAAGTTTAAAAATATAAATAGTACTATTATTCGCTTCGACCATCTATCCGCCGCATAAGGTGAGGTCTCAGCCAGAATAATGTCTACATATATCTCAAAGCGGGCATCAATTCATCCCCTGCGTTGTATTTAGTGTATTCTAGTTGATATTCGGCCCGGAAAACTTCCCCCGCCGCTCGAACCAGCACAGCATGACGATGCCAAAAATCCCAGTCAGAATTACTGAGTTACTGTATTCAACCCGTCTTAGTATCTAATCAACATATCCAAGGACACCAGGGACACTTACTAATTCATATTCTTCAGCGTCGGTGGATTACTCGTCGGGATATAGAAGAAGATCCTATTGAGAATTACCCAGAGTACAGAAAAGACGTTGACTCCGTATTTCCAGGGGCTAAAATTATAGTATCGCGCCGGCAGCCTAGTCCGACCGCGGATCGCTAGAATCCCCTGCGGGACCACGTAGGTGATGTTGAGCATTAGGACTGCAGTATTAATATTCGAGTTAAAGGCTTGTATGCTGGCGATGTAAAGAAGTCCGTAGATAGTGCAGAAGCCGGCGGAGAAAAGAATAGTTCGGATGGGGATGCCAAGTTTCTCGTCTACTACCGACCAGTATTTTGAGAAGGGGAGTCTATTCTGAATTAGAGTGTTAGTTGTTGTAAAGTAGAGCTGGGGTAGGTCGGCTCACATCACGCGAAAATGTCTATGTCATACGGCTGCTTATAATCCATTGGCTTGGGACGTATGCTGGAGTCGAGTCAGCACTGGTAGAGCTAGTATATCAAGAAAGAAGACGCGCAGCGTACAGTAATACAATATTGTTAAGTAGATCTGCAGAAAGGCGGCAGCAGCCTTGCTCCCAGTTGCTTGATAGAACAATTCCAGACTCGGGAGAAAAGAATTCTAGACCGCGTTCATATCCTGGATGACACAGATTATTGCGATAATCCAGGGCACAAGTGTTAATAAACCGATAAGAATAGTTAAATTACTAGGACTAAGTTAGTCACGCCAGGTTCTGCCTACTGTAAAAAGGGAATTAGACCAACATCACTAGCGGAATCTTTCTGTTTGGTTAGGATATTTCCTCTATAATATATATACAGGCCCCAGCAGCTGCAAAGACATATTCACCATTATCTATCCCGAGCAGCCATCCGGGTCCGGCCCCCCAGCCGCTGGTAGACCGGTAATTAGTAAGCCTTTCGGAATAGTATAACCCTCTTTCCATAATAAGACAGACGATAACTACTATCACGAACCCAGTTAAAAAAAAAAACATAAAAGATTCGGTCAAGCGGTCGATCTGGCGTTGAGACACCAGATCTACCAAAAGCACTATATTTATTTAGATAAGCCCGTTTGTTCTTTTCCAGCTGAAGAATCCACGCCGACTTATATATCAGTAATATCACCAACAGGTAGCAGAGATAGACCTGCTATTACATTCCCGAGAATTCTGGCACTAAAAAGGTACAAATTCTAAAAACAGATATAGCTATATAGATCGCGTCTGATGCCGTGTTTACCCACCAGACTACAACATTAATCATCCCGACAGTATATGCGACGAAGTTGCGGCAGAACTCCGGGATAATAATATAGATAAAATGATATTGGCCCAGCAGTAAGAACGTAATTGTCAGGATATCTTGTATTATAATTGTAGCAGCTACTTACCCCCGAGGATAGGAAAGCTAAGACCAACTCCGAGACCCCAGTAAGCACAATCCACTGCACCATGCCCGACAACAGCGGACTGAACACAGCAACAGAGCCTCCGCCATATGTGAAAGCCACTCCGAAGCAGGCGGCGTATGTCAACCAGGAATTCACAATACTATCGACCGAATTAACAGCGGCTCAAGATAGAGGAGGGAGAAAGGACTGTACCTAAAAGCGAGACCCAGAGCACCAACCCAGGAGAACGAACGCTGGAGCTCGGATGTGCAGCCTTGAGCACGAATAATGGCCTCATCAATATCAATGACCTCGCCTAAATCCTTCGCATCAGCCCCTTGCGGTGGCCTGGATGTGTTTTTGATAGTCTCTTTCATGATGTCGATGAGGGCACACAGCGACAGATGGGTAGATGGAAAGACGATGGAAAGGTTCAAGACAGCGAGTCAATTTAACCTCACGCCGGCGTGCGAGGAGAAGGGCGGGGGTTGCTTGCAATAGCCGATCCCTACGTAGTCTTCACCTCCATGCGTCCATCTAGCCCCGATTCTACCTTCCCTTCCCCCGCCTTGCGGCAAGCCAGTCAGGACGCCTGAAAGATAGCGTTCCACTCCTGTATGGAGCTAAAGGTCTTGAAGATACCATTGATACCCGGAGATAAGGGGCTTTGGTTGGGGTCCGGCCTCTCCCGGACATGATGGCTCCGGTGGCGGTGTATCAAACCGCTCAGCACAGAACGTAATAGAGTCGAATTACCCCGGAATGCGGAGAGTTAGGCAGCAAGCCTCCTCCCCTATATCTTGGGGCTTGAATTTGGCATTGTTCCCTCGGATTTGCTTCCCATGTTTGCAGTGGTGGCCTAGTCTGGATTTTTGATTGCTCATATCAGGCCTCGGACGTGCATCCACCTGCCTAACTAGGAAGCTCGATGTCAATGATCGATGCAGATAACCCGTGCTTAGTAGATAGTTGAAGTTAGAAGACAATCTTTCCTTATACCTGGGTCTGAAGACGTTCTTGTGTGCAGCAATCCCATAGAGACGGCATGAGTATAGTCACAAATGGCCCCTGTCAGGAGTAGTTATTGCCTCATGAAACTGTGCCCCAGAACCGCCAGCTCTATTCTCTAATTGATATGGAGGCCTCTGTGGATACTTGTCTTCTCTGGCTTAGCCAAGATTTTCTGCTTGTTTTCAAGTAGGACAACTGACAGTTCCTCTGTGATACTTCTTGAAAGCCCGGTGCACTTTCTAAAGGATAGCGCGGATCAGTTTGCAGGTACGCCGGCTTGGGTCTGCATGCAGAATATAAGTAACCTTAATACTACACTCAAATTTATCTCAGCTATAGCCTCGCACGCACATCACGGCACGCCTCCTCAATCAGATCCACCGTAGCCTGTGCGCAACCATAGGAGCACTGATATCCAGCCCCTCCGGCACCATAGTTGTGGACGACCCAAGTGCCATCGATTCGCTCTTTCGCAATTCGCACTCCACCCTCACGCACAGGTCTCAGTCCCACTCCATGCCTAATAATATCGAGATGCTCGATTCCCTTCCCGTTTGTCAGCGCTGGCACCATCTTGACGGCTCGCTTCATGATCCGGACAGCCAGGTTGGGGTCGGGCTGTGATTCCCAGCTCCCCAGCTGGTAGCAACCCCCAAGGATAGTGCCCCCCCCCCGCGGCTCTCGTCATAACATAGCACGCTTCTCCGTCTCCGTCGTCCGTGCCTGACACGTCGAGCATCTTCCCTGCGTCGTTCCGCACAATCACGATCTGCCCGCGCGCGGGTACGACAGTCTTGTCCTCGACGCCACCCAGCTTCGTCGCCATCAACACTGTGCAATTGACCACCACGTCAACTTTCCCTTCGGGATGGACCCCAAGCGCAGCAGCGTCCGAGACGTGGGGAAAGACAGCTCGCTTAAAGGTCACACCGTTCTTGAGGCACTGGGACACGAGCCAGGGAAGGTAAATGGCAGTGTTGATGCAGACCGAGGTGAAAACCGTGGCAGAGTCGATTCCGGGTCCCAGCGATTCTTTGGGCAGTGCTCGAAACTTTGCATCCCCGCTCGTCAGAATTGAGACTTATGAGCCAGGAGAGGCTGCATTGCGATATACAGGACTTACATTTGGAACAACCTTTGCAAACCATGGGCTAGGCGACAGCAGCTCCGCGAACCAGTTGGCCGTCGCGGTGCCTACGTCTTTTGCGCGGCTGTGAATCTCGCAGTCTGCGTTGGTATCAATATACCTTGAACGCTCAACCAAGGTTGCTCGCAATATGTATTACCTTGAAAGTGCACACCGGCTTCGGAGTGGTTTTGGGCCAGATCCTCCAGAGGTCCCCAGGTGTTTTTGTCCCATTCGGCGGCTTCTGTATTGCGGATCGAAACACTAACAACTTCAATTACTCTGAAAGAACGAGACGAAGGTTGATGCTAGGTCTTACGGCATGTAATTCGCGCCGGCCCAAGGCGACGCGTATTCAATATCATAGTCTCCCGGCATATGTTTGGCGGCGACCACAATCTTGTAACCGGGTTTCTTGGACAGTAGAAGGGCCGTGGTCAGGCCCGCCACGCCAGCCCTAACTCAAGTTAAGTTTCTTTCCAAAGATGGAGAGAATAGACAACCGATGATGTGAGAACAAAAGAACATACCCAATGACTACCACATTCTTCTCGGACATTGAACACAGGAGAAACCTTCACGGGCTAATGGAAAAGCTCAGATTCGTACTATAGTGGGTCGGTTATTCGCCGTTGGTAAGAAGCTCCGCTGGGTGAGAATTCCAAGTCTAATTTACATTCAAAGTGTTGGGGGGAATACATCGGCTGTGACACAATATTTCAATAACCCAGAGAGCTCAGGTTGGGATGTGGTCTGATGAGATTTTACTTACTCTCATCGCTCACATCCGCCCATCAGCTAACCTCCCCAGGTATTACCGGATAGAACTGTGCCTATCTTGGATACACAATCTTCTGGATGACACGGAGCGCGTTCTGAGCCGAGGCTGCCAGGGGCTACTTCCCCGGGCGCCCCATGCCAGTATTACCCAAATAGGCATGTGAGAAGCACGGCCACCTCGGCGATTGCCACACCAAACCCTACTCCTGCGAAGTGACTTCTGATCATTTCCATCATAAAGCTCTATCTCTTGCCTCCAGAGGTATACTTAAAGCCCCTTACAACTCTGTACACTCAAGCATCATTCAGACAAAACACATTCAAAACCCTGATACCACTCCACCACCATGGCCACCATGCAAAAAGTCTTCGCCGCCTACGAGGCCCGCCAAGCAGTCCTCGCAGCGAGCACCCACCCCTTCGCCAAGGGCGTCGCCTGGATCGACGGCGAGCTCACCCCCTTGCACGAGGCGCGGATCCCGCTACTAGACCAGGGCTTCATGCACAGCGACCTGACCTACGACGTGCCCTCCGTCTGGGACGGGCGATTCTTCCGACTCGACGACCACATCACGCGGCTGGAGAGCACTTGCCAGAAGCTGCGGCTGCAGCTGCCTCTCCCCCGGGAGGAGGTGAAGCGGATCCTCGTCGACATGGTGGCGCAGAGCGGCATCCGCGACGCCTTCGTCGAGATCATCGTGACGCGCGGGCTGAAGGGGGTGCGCGGCACCAACCCCAAGGACATCCACAACCGCAGCTACATGTTCATCCAGCCGTACGTCTGGGTCATGGAGCCCGAGGTCCAGCCCGTCGGCGGCAGCGCCATCATTGCCCGCACGGTGCGCCGCGTCCCGCCGGGCTCGATCGATCCCACTGTCAAGAACCTGCAGTGGGGAGATCTGGTCAGAGGACTGCACGAGGCTGCTGATCGCGGCGCGACGTACCCCTTCCTCACGGATGGGGATACCAACCTGACGGAAGGTTCGGGGTTTAATATTGTGATTGTGAAGGATGGGGTCTTGTTCACGCCGCAGCGCGGGGTGCTGGAGGGCGTGACGCGGAAAAGTGTGATCGACGTCGCCCGCGCCAACTGCCTCGACATCCGCGTCGAGTTGGTGCCTGTCGAGAATGTCTACACGGCCGATGAGATCTTCATGTGCACGACGGCGGGAGGCATCATGCCGATTACCACCCTGGATGGCCAGCCGGTGAAAGATGGCAAGGTCGGACCCATCACCAAGAAGATCTGGGACGGCTACTGGGCCATTCACTACGATCCGGCCTTCAGCTTTGCCATCGCTTACGAAGACGAGAAGAGGAAGTCATCGCTGTGAGCGGTCGACTTTCGCTGAAAACCAAGTTCATGTGTCTGTGGCGAATTCTTGACCATTCAATCATGTACATCCGTGTTTTTCTTCTCTAGCAATATCATTATCTCCTTTTGAACAATTGTGAATCCTGTTTGTAGACTGCCTAAATGTCCCTTGATCCGATCAGGCACACCTTCTGAATTATATGTAACGTCTGGCTTGACAGTCCAGTGAATTAGATGTCTATAATCTGTTCTTAGTACTTAGGTCTCTATGTAACTATAATGTGAGTGTAAGGTCGCGTTTGATCGAGTCTATCTTGTACCGAACAACTCGATTCAAATCAACTCAATTGGATTCCATACGAGTCTTGCTACCCTTACTCAATCACCCAAAAGAGCAGATTGAAAAGGAAGAAAAAAAGAATGTTCAAGTTAGCATGTCCTGGTTTCGATCCAGGGTCCTCCGGGTTATGAGCCCGGCGCTCTTCCCCTGAGCTAACATGCTGATTTGATGATTGGTTTCCCGGTTCTGTCATTATAGAGCACCATCAAAGGGAGGGTGCATAATCCAAGCGACCAGGGATTAGATCCGGTAGAATTAATCTACCGTGGACACCCATCGCGATATCTCAATGTAGGCGGCGAAGATTCTATATGGCCGGCCCACCATACACAATAAAGTCACTCGCCCTAATAGAATCCCTCGAAAATAGCGATCGATTAGTACGGAGTTACCTTTGAACTCTGTCAATATCAGATGATATTCTCTTAGCAGGCAGAAAAGATTTGGACGGGGTGGGCTAGTAAACTATAGGTATTCACTTTATACCCAATAAGGAAACTGGAATTAGGGCATCGCCACCCCCCGCATCAGCAATTTATCCAGGCAAAGCATACAATATCATAAACATATGAGACCCTCACGATATCCTAAGCACCTAAGAACTAATACCTACTCATTCCTCCTTACCAAGCCTCCCCATCTCCCCCTCTCAAACCCCCCAAAATCCCCCACAATGGCAGCACCATCCAAACGCCCCGAAATAATCGCCCTCTCGCAAGACCTACGAGGCATCCCGCAATGCGAAGAATACGAGCGCATGATCTCCGGCATGATGTACATACCCTCCTCCCCCAGCCCCCTCACTTCGACCCAACCATCTCAGCCATAATGAACCCGAACCTAACCCAAAAGCAAGGTACAACCCCAACACCCCCAAGCTCCTGGATGCGCGCCACCGCTGCCGCGGGCTGGCCCGCGCCTACAACGACCTCGACACGACGACCATCCCATCTTCCCAGATCTTCGAGACCCGACTCGCGCTCCTCCGCCAGCTGGTCGGGAAAGTCGGCGAGGGCACGTTCATCGAGCCGTCCTTCAAGCCGGATTACGGATGCAATGTTATCATTGGGAGTCATTGCTTCATTAACTGGGAGTGAGATACCCCCTTTCCTTTCTTTTCTTCCCGCAGTAGCGGAAGGTGGGTAGGAAATGCTAGGGGTATGTTGCTGACCGTGTAATGCGAGCCGCAGTGTGACGGTTCTAGATACCAGTCTAGTGGTGATCGGGGACAGGGTGCATATTGGCACCGGGGTGAGTATTTTCACGGCGGGCCATGATACCAGTGTGCTGTCGCGGCAGAAGTTCGTGGAGTTCGGGCACCCGGTCTTCATTGAGGATGATTGCTGGATTGGAGGAAATGTGATCATCCTGCCGGGGGTGCGGATTGGGAAGGGGTCGACTGTCGGGGCTGGTTCGATTGTCACCAAGGATATCCCGCCCTTCTCGGTGGCCGTGGGCTCGCCCTGCCGCGTCAAAAAGACGATTCAGTCGCCGGAAGAGGAGGAGCAAGACCTGAACAATCCGTATCGTCATCTGGTTCGTGAGGATCGGTAGGGGTTGCATGGATGCATTTCTCTGAAGAATTCATTATGCATGTCATTCATGACAAGGCTAACACTCAATGCTATCTATGGTTCATCCAAGCGAGTCAATATATAAGCAACCGATATATACAATCCATCATTACCCAACAGCCCATCACTTCACTCCCCTAGATCGCATTGCTGGCACAGGAGAAGCTCGACTTGGACGAATCGTCGTGGATGGCCTTGCCGGAGACATACAATCCCAGACCGCACTAGCATGAGTTAGTATACAAGAAAATGCGACGAACCGAATTGGAATACTCACAATGATGGCACCAATGCAGAAGATCAGCATGTTGATGATGGTCAACGCGATCTTGCGCGGAGAAGACCACCACTGGCCCCAGTTCATATGCAACCAGTACACACCCGAAAGTCCGTAGGTGAACCAACTGGCAAACAAGGAACTGATCAAGCTGACGATGTTGCTGAAGGAAGGGATACCCTCGGCGATGATCCAGGCGATGACCCAGCAGGTGACGCCAATGCCAATCCAGGAACCAACGGCGACAAAGTCACGCTTGCCCATGCGGTCGGAGTGACGGAAGATGCGCACGTAGATATATTTCAAGCCAACGTGACCGTTCACAACACCAGCTCCGACAATCTAAAGCTTTGGTCAATACGAGTGATAATAGGCAGACAAATTTGCTAGGTCATACCGTCGGGATGGCAACGCCATAAGCAACCTTCTTCAACACCGGACCAGCGGAGCCAAGAGCCGGCGAGTCAACCCCGTTACCGACGAAGTAGTAGATGACAATGGCTGCGGTGATGTAGAGAGCGATTTCGAAACCCTGAAGCAGACACAAGGCCTTGGGGAAGTCCTTCGGCTCCTCCATTTCGGCAATCAGACCAAAGAAGGCCACGTGGGCGCAGTAAGCGAACACGATCTGCGTGACGCCGTTGAACGCGTGGTACAAGTTCGTATCGGTGGTGACACTGATGTTCTGGCCTCCTTTGTACTGCACACCCACACCAATCATGGTGATCATGACCGCAGTGAAGATACTCAGGAAAGCTAAATCAAATCAGTTTGATTCAATTGATGTTCAGTCGGAGTACTCACAAGCGCAAGAAATGTAGGTCAAGTTCTTGATAGTCCGGGGCAGCGACAAAACCAGACAGATCACGAAAGCCACAACACTGAACACCATCGAGCAGGTACCGTGGTCGGTAATCGTGTTCATCATTACAGTGAAAGTGACAATGTGACTGCCCATGATGAAGATCGAGAACAGGATCTGACCGAGACCGAAGAGCTCGCGACCGAACCGACCCATGAGGATCTCACCCGCATCAGCCAAGTTGTGGATCGAGGGATGGCGTTCGCGGAATTGGCCGATGACATAGCCGGTGTAGAGCGCAAGAATACCGAGTCCGATGATGAGGATGATCGCGCTGTGTCTGTGAGTGGGATGCGAAGAAGCAGCCATGACAGCAGAACTTACGGCACCAGGCCCAGCGCAGTCAGCGTCGCGGGCAGGGACAAAACACCCAGCGAGACGGACTCGGCGATCATGACTGTTGCGATTAGTATTTATCTAGCCATGGATCTGTCGCATTCCACATACACATTCCACATTGCCTGCATGGTCTGTTAGCTTACTTCGTCGACGGCGGATAGCGCAACAATACATACCACCACTTGAGCGTCTTGTACTTGACCTCCGCATTGGCCTCGTCCCCAAATGCATCGGGCTCCTTCCCCTCATCGACCGCCTTCAAGTCCTCAAGATCGTAGGGAGGAAGATCATTCTTCTTGATCTCTTCGCCGTGGGCCGGGGTCGCCATGTCGTCTACACGTTGTCGATATGTCACGGGCAAAGGTCGAGAAAGGACAGGCACACGTCGCGCAGCAGAATCACAATCGCAAACGGACGGAGAGTCGAACGTTGGCGCGCCGACAGCTGCAGGACAGAAAATTTCTGGCGGGTTGGTGGGTCAGACAGTGAAACCTCCGCTCCTCCGCTGCTGTTAAGGTTGATGCAGACTTGAAACTGAGTTCAACGGGTGAACTAGATAGTCTCTGCACTAGCACTGACACCAGAACACAACAACAGAGAAGAAGAGAAGGAGGAGAGAAGGAAGCAAGACACAGACAGATAGACAGACAGATAAGAGCCCTGGTGGTTTTCCACGGGAAATTGAGATCTGGACTCCGTCGTAGCTACCCTGTTCGGAGATCAGCCCTGGCTGCTGCTGCTTGCGGCCATAGCGGAAGTAACGCGGTGATGGTTGCCATTGGTGCGTTGTGCTCCACCCCGCTAGACGCGGGTGGGGCGGAGAACAAGCGTAGACCAATTGTGGCTGTCTGCGGTTAAAATTAAGTAATGGATTGGCCCCGCTGACCGCAGTGTGCGCGGCTTGCCGACAGTAGCCGCTCCTCCGCCGGCCACTGATTGGTGCGGTCCTGGCTAGGCTTATGAGGCTCGGTGGGATTCCGTTCCCGCTTCTAGAATTTATTGTCCGGTTTATAAAAAGCTGCCGACTGCTGATAAGTTGCCTGCCACGGCAGTTGACTGTTTTCCATGACCATCCATTAGCTGATGGAAACTGGGCAAGGGGCGATGATTTGTCGCTGCAGCGCTTCTTATCGCAGCCGCACGTTTGTTGCGGCTCACTACTCCAGGTTTGGGGCCGGTGGACGGCTGTGCCGGCATCCGAGCCATTCTTGGGTGCTTCGGCCTTGGCAAGAAAAGCTTTGGTTCGCCTTCCAGATTTTTTTTTCGGCTTGGCAATGGTGGCTGTCGGCCTTATCGGTGTTTTAGACGAGAGTGTTTGCCCCGTGCAATGAGATTAGCTGCTCAACACTGAGAGGTGGAGTGTAGTCATCCTTTTTATCTGCTCGCTAAGGGTTCAGTACAGTACATCGATTCGATTCTCTTCTTGTCTCCACAAGTCAACACCATCTGCTGTACATTTGTCTAGTATTTCGCTCTAATCATCTGTTGTGGTTTGTCCGAGCGTATTCAAAGCTATCGAAGTATACTCGAGGAAGGTCCCCACTTCGGCAGAAATTTTGCCGATGCTGTGATTCCTGGGATCTTAGGGATCGGAACGCAGTGATCATAACATGAAGCCAAACTTGAACACTGAAAGCACCATCTTCCCTAATCCGTTCTTCGTTTCGATCTCACAACAACTTATCTTTCTTCCTTATCTAAAAAAATAGCTTGGGTCAACACTGCTATGAAAGATTACCTGTAAAATTATACATCTCGTTGAAGCTTCAGTTCCGTTCAATCATAGTCAGTAGACTGAAGAGATTGCCGAGTCCGTTGTATCGATTTCTCTACTTTTCCGCACCTTTCATTTCCTTGTTGAGAATTCCCCTGGACTTCTCCTTCGCAAGCATGTGGTGATGGCATTGATCGCAAAGAACAATGCCCTCAGAGTTTGTATAGCCTTGACTGCTGTCAATATACAGCCCACGTGATCGGTCCTCGGTCAAAAAGTGGACGTGAAACCTGTACACTTTCACTAGCAACAAATGGAAACGACGAGTGTCTGTTCCAAGATCTACCGAGCAGCATTGATCACCCACAGTGAACGAGCCAGGGCCTTGTATCTTCAGCATGCAGCGCAAAACCATTGATGTAAAACCACTGATAAAATTCCAGTCTCAATAAACAACAACCTTGACAAAAGGCAAACGCACTATGATCATCACATAACCCTCTCATCCAAACCCCAGTTCTGATATGTAAAGCACAGATTAACTTCACTCACGATGCAACATAAACAACATAGACTCCAGATGAAACCTTCTCCCCACAAAACCTCACTCAACCCTAGCATAAGGATACTCCCGAATCACCTTCCAGGTAACCCCCTGAATCACAATCGGCAGATCCAACGCCGCCTTTAGATCATATCCCTTAGGATTCCTCCACCCATCGATCTTCTTAATCAGCCCGCGATAGCTCTCCCCAAGATACGGTTCTTCCTTCTCATCCTCCTCCTCATCCTCAAATTCCTCCCTCAACCGAATCCGTCCCCTATGGCAATTAATCTCCAACGCCCCTAGCCGCGTCGCATTCTTATCAAAGCCATCGCCACGCAGATCCATAAGGCACTCTTTTCTCATGTACTTCAGCGCCCTCCGCACGCGGAAAATCGCCCTACAGCGCCAGCGGTTGATACTCTCTGTTCCTCAACCCGAAAATCAGCACCATCCCCAGCAAACTAGATCACACGTACGCAAAGGAAACTGAAAAAAAGGGGGGGGGGGGGCAGGTACTGTACCGATAATCATCTCACAAACGCGCAACTGATACACATTTGCCCGGACCTCGTCGGTGGCATTCTCGATCGCCATGCGCGTGCAGCACCGCAGCACGTTCTGGCGGCCGTACACCCAGGCCACGAAGATCCACTTCACCACCACCTCCTCGGAGTAGCGGCGGGGCAGCCGGCGCTCCAGCCGGTCCAGCCACCCGCCCACGTAGAACTTGACGACGTGCACGCACCCGTAGTAGTCGGCCATGATGGTGAGGTCGACTAGGGTCTGGAAGTCGATCTTGTCGGGCCACGGGTGGGTTTGGTGGTGGATGATCCGCATGAGGAGGAGGAAGGGGGCCAGGGGCCATTCGACGGTTAGGGTCAGGTGGCCGGTTTCGGTGAGGGTTTGGCCTTCGGTGAAGTTGGGGTGGGTGAACATGCGGGAGAAGAAGGGGGATGCGCTTGCTAGGTGGGTTTTGCAGGCGTGGATTTTGTAGACTGTGGGTTGCGGGGTTGGGGTGGGGGTGGGGGTGGGTTGTTTGTGTTTGAGGTGGTGGTGGTGGTCTTTGGTCTGGGGATGGGGATGGGGATGGGGATGCGGACGGGGTTTCGAGTGCTGGTCAGCAGTGGCCTGCTCCTGGGTAGTATGGGAGTACTTGGTTTTCTTCCGGGGTGGGCACTCGGAGATGGCGACGCTGGAGAGTTGCATGGCGAGGGTATCGGAATTATCAGGTTCGGCTTTGATGGCTGGTGCGAGGGTTGATGTAGTGGACGATTCGCCGGCGGGCTCCTCTTGGAGGAGGAAGGTTATCTCTCCACCTTCGTAGATGTGGTGCTCTGTCTTCTCGCACATTGTGGGATGTATTGCGTGTGTCGTTTAGGGGTGCTATGTTGTGGATGGATGAGGATGCTGGGAGAATGCTGGTAGGGGCATCAGGATGGCGAGGGATGCAGGAGAAGGAAAGAAGTTCTCTTTGTCGACAGAGGAGATTCTATTTATGCCTCCGATGTTCGCTGCCTGAACACTGTTGCACGATGCGGCGATGCCATAGTTCCTGTCATTCCTTTCTGTAGTTGGACAGAGCATGGGCATCAGGGACTTTCTTGTGGCTTTACGACCTGCAATCACCACTCGTCAGAGCCGAACTTGTGCACTCTTACTAGAGACCCTTTCAGTCTATCTCCAACTGTAGCCCAAAAGAAGCATACCTTCATGAAGATAGGTGCTAGGGCGTCAAGTAGGACTCAATGTTTCGGTAAGCGGCCGTTCAAACACCATTCACTCAGTTCCAAGCAACTGCCCGGACCGCCAGCTCGAGCTCAGCAGCAAGCAGCATTTACTCATACGGAAAACCATTATCAATAACTCAGCAGCATTATGAAAATACCATGGAACAAACGTACAAATGCTCTGTAATTAACACATTACATTCAAGCTTGCAGCGAGGGGAAAGGTTAAAGGCTAAGTCGCAGAAGAAGAGCGTGATCGCAGGAGCTACAGCAGAGTTATAGTAAGAACAGCTAAGTTACAGTTTCCTTTCGAAAAAAAGAAAATCCGCAAAATTCATTCACATGCTATGCCGACCGACCATTGTCCGAAAAAAAAAGACGTCAAATCATAATGCTAGCAACAAGAAAAAGTATGTCAAGCAATATATACAAGAAGCGAAAATTAAATCATCTGTACAAGGGTTGGTCACCAAATGGCGACCACCAGAAACTGCTGCTGCACCCATCTAATCCTTTTTCTTGTCCTTCCCCTTGCCCGGGCGTCTATAATTATACCGCATCCAGTTCTCCGTAACCCACCACTCGGCGACGTGGGCCGCATCCCGCACCCAGCTGACCACGTCGGGACTGTATTCCGCCTCCAAGGTCTTGGCCAAGTCGACCAGGTTGAAGTTCTTGACGGGGTGCAACTCGATCGGGTCCTGCGAGAGATCGGTGAAGCGCCACTCAACGTCGTCGACGAGCGGGATGACCAGTCGGTAGGCCGGGCGAGCGGCAGAGCGCACGGCCAGCCATGATCCGCCGGTGTTCATGACCGTGAACTGCCAGTTCTGCCGGCCGTCCTTTTCGGCAATCTGCGGGCGGATCATCGACTGGCCCTCGTACATCGACAGGAGGTCCTGCGCGGCGTGGCCACTATCGGGACCGAGGGAGTGGGACTGGATGAGGAGGTCGAGAATGGTGGGGATGATTTGTTGCGAGATTACGGGGGTGGTGACTTCGATTTGGGGGAGGTGGGGGTGAGCGAAAAGCAGCGGGACGTGGAAGCTGCCGACGTGGGGGTTGTCGTAAGGAGTGACGCCGCCGTCGTTGGGAAGGGAGAGGCCACTAAATTTGTTAGCAGATTGTTAGATAGTACGATGTTCGATCTGGACATACTGATCACCAGCCATCACGATCAAGGTCTCGTTGATGATCTTCTTCTCGTTCAAGATCCCGATGATCTCTTCCAGCCACTCGTCAATGTAGCCGATGGTATTGAGGTAGCGGTTGAGGTCATTATTAGATCCTGAGCTGGTCGAGCCCACGATCGACTCGTAAGTGTCGTTGGGCATGCCCCAGTGGTGATGCGTGGTGCCGGTTAGGTGGGTCAGGAATAGACGGGTGTGGTTCTTCTCCGCAGCGTCGATGGCGTCCCGGACGTAGTCTCCGAGAACCTTATCCGGATAGCCGTAGTAGTTGACCTCCTTTTCCTTAACGGGATAGTGCTTCGCTTTGGGGTTCTCCAGCGTCTCCTTGGTGATGACATCATAGTATCCCAATTTCGGAGTCAGTTTGTCCTGGTTATCGTAGGTTTCAGTGACGGACTGCATCCAGACGGAGTGCCAAGGCCAGGTGCGGTAGTCATTGGAAGCGGGGATGGTGTTGTTCTCGCGCACATCCGGCAGTTGGTTCAAGGCGGTCAGCACATGCGGCATGCACGGCTGGTAGATGTGATGCTCGTACTCGCGGTTGAAGTCCGCCACCAGGGGCGTCACCCCACAGAGGGTGCCTACCAGACTCTTCAGAGTGTAGGTCCCCGTGGTGAAGGCATTGCTGGCACTGATGCCACCGTACGACCGACGTCCGTAGTCCTTGACCATGTCGTGCTTGTACCCGGCATCGAAGCCAGTCAGCCACTCCGCTGTCCTAGTAAGGTTGGCAATCCGCTTCTGGACGTCCTTCGGAATCTTCTTGTCGGGGTAGGTCTCCGCAATGCGGTCCCACATGAAGGTGCCGTTTTTCAGCGGAAAGACGTCGCCACGAGTACTTTCGAGCTTGAGCAAGATGACGTGTTTGATGTTGACATTACCGCCAGAAAGAGCGTCATGCAAGGGATCGAGAAGTGGGCTCCGAAGGTTGGAGATGTGGAGAGGGTCTCGGTTGGGATCGTAGTGTCGTGGGGGTGGGTGGATTTTGTCGGATTGATTCCAGTCACCAAAGCCGGGGAGGGGCTCCTTCGGCAGCCACGACCATTGTGGAGGCCGCTCCAACGCCGTCTGTCCTTCCAGCCAGCCATAATCCCCCGGCAGCCCTTCTGCTCGAACCGGAGACACCCGGTGGTGTCCCAAGAAGGGAGCCACGGGCAGCGCTTCGGAGAGGAACATGTATGCCGGATCCCACGGACGGACCACGCGCAACAGGAAGAGGCCGACAAAAGGTATCCAGACGGCCAAGCGACGTGCCAGCGAGTGACCCCGCGGCCTGGGCGGGGCGACAGCTCCGTAGGGCTCCAGCAGGTGAATGGACGATCCGTCGTCACTCTTGTCGTCCAGATAGTCGTCCTCGGAGAGATGGTCGTAACGCTCCGGGTCGGACAGTGAAGTCGTCTTGGGGATGAACCCGCGCACACAGCCCGCACAGCATTTGAAGGGTTGTGCCAAGATGTTCAGGATCCCCCCCACGGCGCGATGCAACGGGGCGGCGACAAACCAGGCGACAGTGAGCATAATACCCTCGACGATCAAGAATCCGGTCAGACCGGTCAGGAGGGTGCGCATGGCGGCAGCATCGTGGTGGAAGGTGGTGGCTTGTCTCCAGTGGATTTCGGCTCCGGTGAAGACATAGAATGAGGTATTGGCGGCGGTCATTCCCGACATGATTAGACTATGACCACAGGATTAGTGATGTGGCGTTTTCCCAACCCGGGGGACGTCAGTGAGGGGGGGAGAGAGATCATCTTTACCTGAACGGAACAACGATCGCCGCGGAGATGGCGGCGACCGACCGCCACGGCAGTTTCTGGGTCAGGATGCGCACCAGCAGCACGAGGACCACATCTTGGCAAAAGAAGGTGACTCCCCACAGGAGGAGTTTGGACGGAGGTAAAGAATGGATATGAGCGTAGAGATGCAGGAGCTTAGCACCAAACATGGCCATCAAGGTGAGAGCGAAGAAATAGCGGCGTGTGAAGTCCCAGAAGTGATCGAAAGCCTCCAAAGGCGAGGCGCGCAGCCGCACCCAGGCGGCCAGGCAGCAACGAGCCGGATTGAGGTTGACGAGCTTCATCTTAACGGAATCCACAAGAATCAAATCACATGGCACACCAGAAGGAAGACGAAACCATCAAATCACTCCATGAGCCAGCTGGAATGAATCACCGGGATAGAAGGCCGGACGAGAGAGAGATAGAAGGGAGAAGATGGGAAGAGGGAAAAAAGATGAAGAAGGAGAGAGTGTGAGTGTGGGTGTATAGTAATCAACCAAAGAGGGGAAAGGGGAGACACAGTGGTTTAATGTACAAAGAACGAAAGAAACACGGCTAGCGCATCATAATGAGATGATGGCCGCATGGCAGCTCCCAAGTGGAACAAACTGAGAGAAAAAAGAAGAGAAAAAGGGCTGAGTTTAGGAGACTTGGATCGGAGCCGCAATCCATTCATTGACTAGACTAACTAGTTAGTTCATTAGAAACTCACAGCTAAGAAAAAAACTGGGGCCGACTTATTGACCGGGTTGGAGCTGCTTAGGAGGCTTAGTGCGTGTGGTTGACTCCATCATGTCCAGAATGTCCAGAACTCCATATCAATTTTCCATCGTCTCGCAAGATCCTACTGGAAGTACTCAAAGGGCCGAAATGGACCCTGAAAGCCCATAGACCCTGAGGTTGTGATTGGTGCTGTCTCTTCATCCGCGGTAATTTTAGAACCCAAGAGTGGAGTTGGGCACCCAATCAGCCACCCTGCCAAGGCTGCAGGGTCTGGAAATCGGATGGATTTGAGACAGGGGCAATCATTGCTGTCTGCAGTGTAAAACCATTGTGCTCAACCGTTGAGTGCCGTATGAGTACCGTATGAGTCGATCAGTACATGATATGGTACTCCGTAGTGGTAGTCAAGAGACAGTGACACCAACTCTCTGCAGTCTTTCCTCATCTATTTTGGCACCCCCTGGCCGGACGATACCTAGGAGTACCTAGTAGAGTTTTTCTTCTCAAACACCGGCAAATTCACTCAGGGTCCCCCTCGGCCCACTAACCCCAGATAGGCAATCTGACAGTCAGCGAAAGTTCTGAGCAGGTGACCTCATTCCCCTTTTGGGTGACGGCCAGTCCCTTCACCGCCCAATCACCGCCTTCCATGTGGAGATTCTCCAACTCCCTCCAGCCTGGAGCCAGACTCTCGCTGCAAATTTCCTCTCCACAGCAGCTCTGCCCTGCCCTGCAGGCACTGCTGCACTGCTGCACACCTGCACACCTGCACTCCTGCACTCCTGCACTGCCTGTGGGTGTCTCACTCACCAGTCCGGTGCTGCCTGCTGCTGTCAGACTAACTTTGCCACATGGAGTCCCCCAAACTGAACACGAGCAAAATGCCCCCTTTTTGCCTTTGGGGGCTTCCCCCTTCCTGCTGTTGTCCGACAGTCTTTCTGCAGGGACTGGCTGATGGTAGTGCCGCGGAAAGCAGCCGCGGCACGATTACTTCCAACGGGATTGCTTGTCTGACGGCTACGTTACTACTATAGGTACTTATTTTAGGGGGAGTCGATCCGGATGCACTGGCCGACACCGACTAAAAGTCGATCCCGTTCACCCCGTTCACTCCCAAGCATTGCCATACAAACTTAGGGGTTCGTGGCAGTATCGGGTATCCGCTCCCAATCTCAGAGATTCTTATCCACTGTTATATTGAGACTATCTGTGGTCCTGGAGCGAAATTCAGGCCGGAGATCACCGGGAGGGGCTTTCAGACGGCGGCGCATTGGCGGACCCCAGCTGACGGTGGCACCTTCGCCTTGGCTTGTTCGTATTGCCGGACTCTGGCCGCCAGAGTCACTCTGCTTGTTGGGGGCAGTCAGCCTGTGGGCAGGCTGATGAAACAACTGGCAGAATTGACGTGCTGTCCGCTGGACTGGACCGTACAGTAACTTAACTATCTCGTGACTCCGGGCTCAGACCTCAAAGTTAGGCCATGCCGCAGCTACTGTTAGTTGAAGGTAGCTCGAGCCTGTCATTAGACAAGTTCATTTGCACGATCTAATACGATAAATGCGTCTTGGTAGATTCATTTCCGACCGTAGAAAAATTCACTATGGCCGATACGTTGCAGTCATTCCTTCATTTACGTTGTTGATGTGGTTGCCCGAACTAGCATTCCGACTCGTGACTCTCAGGAATATATTTCCGCCGCGACCGGTATCCTCCTCCCCCGCATCATCGCCCCCTCACCAGTAAACAACATCACCAACGCGATCATTCATCGTCTTGCTCAGACTTTCTCAACCAGAGCACTACCTAGTAGGAAGCTAGGAATACTACAATCTGTTGTGTTTGTCAACACTCACTGGTCGCTCCATGGTGTCCTCAATCGCATGGCCGATTGAGCCACCGTCCTCGCTTAACTCCACCGGCAGTTGAAACACCCTCCGCCCGCTCACTTCTGACACCCGTGATCATTGTCGCCAATGTCAATCCTATTGCGACCAAGCTCATCCAACACCATCGTACTCGGTCGCTAGCCCTGTCGGCTAGTTTGCGAACACTCGTTGCTGCGCTTCCCTCCGCGATGAAATCGTCCCAGTGAACCTGCGCCAGCTTCGCTTGATACTGCCCCACATTCTTCGGCCAGTTGTGCACATTCCGTCCGTCCTCAGTCTTGTACCAGCTGCTACATCGCGCATCCGCCCAGGAGGTCTCACTCAAGAGGTTTTGGAGTTGCTCGTTATATGCCCGAAGCGCATCGGGCCGGATGCGCAACGCCAACGTTTGCCCGTGCAACCGGGGTTCAACCACCGCGGTAATCAGTTTTCCGAGATAGCGTGACTGAGCCTCAATCATATGGATGACTGAGTTATGGCCTGCCTGGTCAGTGTCTTAAGCATCACTCCGCTTGCGTACCCACTAACCGAGATTTGTGTTCGGCCCATAGAGGAAACCGAAGTTGGGGAGATCTTCCGCTACCACCCCTCGATACGCCTGAGCGCCTGCCTTCCACAACTCCCGCAATGGACGGCCGTCCAGCCCGTAAATGTCCATTGAAAACAAGAAGCCGACCGTGTGAGACCCTGTTGCCAGTACAATCAGATCGAACGGTTGGGCTTCTTCCGTCTCCACTTGAATCCCCGTGGCTGTGATCCGCTGAATGGGCCTCGTTTCCAGATCAACGTGCTTGTGGTTAAGCACCGGGTAATAACCATCGGAGAGGAAAAATGCGGTTGCACCCGAACGGATATCGCGGGGTCAGTGTGTCCCACAAGTCTGGTTTATCAGGCAGTTGAGATTTCATCCACCGCACAATCCACTCGATCTGGGATGGAGAGTAGTCCGGGTTGGTGATATACGCATGGAGGGACTCCCGAATGCGCATCAACACCCCGCGCTTGAACTAGCGTACCGGTGGAACCCAAATCAGCAGAAGTTCATCAAGGCGCCCAATGGATTGGTCCTGGCGAGGGATAATCCATTTGGGTGACCTTTGGTAGACCATCAGCCGTGACGCGGTCTTGGCCAGCTCCGGAACTACCTGAAATGCAGAGGCACCTGCTTCTCGTTAGCCTGGCCCTTCATTTTCCATGCCAAGAATCACAACCATTCCCGATCACAGCGATCCGTTTGCCTGCAACATCGTAGGTGCTATCCCATCGGGCGGAGTGCATTTGCTTGCCGACAAAGCTGCCGAGACCTGGAATGTCAGGGTAGCGAGGGATGTTCAATTGTCCAGCTGCGGAAATAAGTTTGTCGGTGGTGAGCTGGTATTGCGACTGCATTGAACTCTCCAGATCACCAGTGGAAACGCGAACCCTCCATAGCAACTGATGGTTGTCCCACTGTGCTTTATGCACGGTCGAATCAAACCGAATATGACGTTGCAAATTCCATTTACTCGAAACCTCATCAAGGTACTTCTGTCCAATGGTTCAGTGCATGGTCGACATCTCGAAATGGTGCAAGCTCATACCAGGATTTCCTCCTGGGTAGAGTAGTCCCGTGTCCAATTCCCACGCTGTTCAAACGAAAGACTATACAGCGCGCTGCGGACTATACGTTCATGAGTTACTGCGGGTCATTGGTGTCATATGTTCACTTACTATCGCATGCGCATCCAGGATACCGGTTCTCATACCATGTACCTCCAAGACCGCTGTTCTTTTCCACAATGAGGAAGTTGGTGGTGGGCACGTGACGGAGGAGCTCAATGGCCATACAAATGCCTATCAGATTATCACTGAGTAGTGACTAGAGCCTTCGCATACGGGATATTCATCTGTCACGGATGTCATCCTGAAGGCACATGAGATGGTATTATGCCCTGGACCTCTTCGGAAATGCGATCGCTTGCTTTGAAGAAAACAACAAACAATGCCGACCCCGCGCGGCGAGGATGAACTACACTTGTTGGCCGAGCTGTGAATGTGACCGGAGCCCGGCCCCCACATTTTATTTTCTCTTTGCTACGATTGGCGGTCTCATATCTGTCTGGATTCTCATCGATGGATTGGAGTTGTGACAGGGCATCAATCGGCTTGTTCCGCGGGTCGATTCAGCCACAGTAACATGGTGGCGCGGCAATAATTATACAACTGACAAGTGCAGCATCATCCAAAAGCCGACAGCACTGCCGATTTACTGGTACAGCCAATTTGATATTCTGCAGCTCTGTGAAGCCTGATGCAAAGACTCTTGCAATGAGAATTGTCTACCAGCCATCGAGCTCACTTGGCGAAACTCACCATCCCAGTTGTCCTTCTGCGGCTGAAGTCTACAGGTTAAGTCGATGATGACTGGCAGAAGCCTAACCAGGACTATCATCCCATTGGAATAGGGGCTCGGGAACCATTACATGAATGAATGAAAGCTCAAACGGAAGGAGACTAGTAACTTGCATTACTCTAGTGTCGTCCTGAGGAATCATTTAAAGACAATCTGATTGACTTCCAATAACCCGTGCGATACTCGAACAACCAAACTCTTCCGACAGTGTCTGCACCTCATTTTAGTCCTGACTCTGACTATGCCAACCATACTATCCCCCCAACCCGGCATCGTGGATGGCTATGACTAGCCATGTGACCAGGCCCTACATTTGCATATCATAGGCATCGATGGCGTTGTCGTACGCATCATCAACATCACCGGTTCCCTGCCGGATGGTTTCCTTGTCGGCTCCGGCCGCCTTAGCTTGCAGGGCCACGGACAGACCATCGGTCTTGACCCGAAGCGCATGGAGATTGGTGCGGATGGTGCTTCCCACGCCGGCGGTGATGAAGAGATTCCGCTACACATTGGTCAGAATCATGGTGGGCCACGGTTGGAATTCAAGATGGATAATGGTCGAGATGATAGAACATGAGAAGTGCATGCATGGGGTGATGCGACTAACCTTCAGGACCAAAGCTGCGATGGAACTGCGCATGACCGGCTCCAACTGGGTCAGAGCCTCAGTCACCCGGCTACTCTCCGAGGCCGTGAAGACCGCAGTGCCGTTGACGTCGGCAGAGGCCTGGTCGAGGGACCGCTCGACGGCGGCCTCCTGAGTCTGAATCTCGAGGGCTGCGGGCAAGCCTCCGGAGTAGCTGTAGACGGCAGCACTCAGAGAACCAATGTCGGTGTTGATCTGAGTCAGATCCTGGATGATGGTGGGGATATCCCGCCTGATGACGCGAGCCGTGGCCAGAGCCAGGAGGGAGAGAACCGAAGCGGTGGCGAGAGTGAAGCGCATAGTGCTGATGCTGTTGATTGTGTCTGTGGTGTGGATGCGGATGGGTTTGGTGATTGTTGTTGAGCTCCGAGAGAGGAGCGATTGAGCCTTTATATCCAATTCTGAGGGATATGCTGGGCCCCAGACATGTCCCTGTTGCGCGTGTGTTGCTGTGAACTTCCTATGTTTGACAATGGGGGCTACGGTCCGGTAATTTACTCCGTGAGGCTTGTGTTGCCATGAGTCTAATGTCATACGTGTGCTTCGGTTTGCTACAGATCGGTGTTTATGTGTCTGACGACAAGTGCGACAACACAGCGCCAATGCAGCACTGAGAGATACGCGCGTGTGTACAGTACGGTGTTGTGCTATGCACCCATCGAAGCTGGACTCAATACGGGAGTCCAGTGTACGAAAGGAAGAAGATTGAACGCGATGGAAAGATCAAGGGATGACGACGATGCACCGGGACCGACAGTCGACGTCGGGATTCCCCCAAACCGACCACCCAATGGAGATCAAACAGGGACAGAAGAAAGCCAGGTGTGCAAAGGTGAAACGCCCGTAGCTTCCCCAATTCCCTTCCCTCTGGGTAGGACGGTTGCATGACTTGGTGCTGTTCCACCATTCATCTCACCACCGTGATACTTGCGCAACAGCGGTCTCTGGATAGCCATACACGCATCCTTCCCATCTGCACAATGCCCGACCGCAGGGGGACACGGTACCTGAGTGTATATCCGCCTTGTGTTTCGACTAAGCCGTGGCCTGACAATGTCCTGTCCGTCACGGGAGAAGATCGGAGGAGAGTCACTGAGCGACAGACACGAGCGCGAAACAGTATCCGACCGGACCAAAAAGCTTGCCTGTTGTTTTTTTGTTTCTGTGAAGCTGGGTGTCACACCGGCAAACCTTCCGTTGGCCTAAAGCAGGCATAGAAACGAGGAGTGATTCGGACCGAGGAGAGAGCCGTGACCGGCCCCAGGCAGGACGTGAATCAGTCAGCAGTGCCCGAAGACCGGATTGGCCCCTCGGGAAAGACGGAGAGGCGATGATGATGAGCAATGTTGATTAGCAAACCGAAACGAAAAAAGAGGGGCCCCAGGCTGACCGAGGCTGGAATTTGGGGAAGGTGAAGTGGGAGGACTCAGAAGGAGGAGGAGAGATATGGAGGGTGGGCCGTGGGGTGAAATGCTTCATTGCGTAACAGAATGCTTGATTTTGCAGACAGGTGAGTCTTTTTTACTCGTCCGGTAGTCAGGTTATCAGCCTGTCTATCTTGACCATGCCGACTGCCGAGGGGCGGCGGTTCACCGATGATTGCATCAGGGAAGGAAGCAGACGGGCACTCGATCGGCAATCCTGCTTTGGGTGGCCATCACCTGACCTCACCTGACCTCACCTGACCACTGCAGGCTCTTTACCCCCCGGGGTGCGGGAATGACTCAGCTCTCCCCACATCCGTGCACCAATCAACTGTGGGTGTTTTCAGAGCCGGACTTTAGGCTAAAGTCCTTTCCTCTCTTACTCAACCTTCCTGGCAAGAAATTACGCCACTTCATTTTGGGAAGAAAGCTTGTCCGAGGCTTGTTTTCCGTCTGCGGCCAACTTTCCAATCCCCACGGAACCCTCTCCCCCCAGTCAGCAGAATGTCTGCCGACTGACCATTGAAGATTAGAGCATGGAGATTCTCCATATCCATCCATGCATCTGTGCATCCATTCTCTCTGGAGAACTTTCGTGGACCCACCCCGCCCACCTATTGGCCTGGCCATTCGGTCGTCTGTTCACCGGAGAAATTCAATCCAGGCCAGCAGCAATGCTAGCAGAAACGTCACCGGCGGCCCCAAAAATGACTTGGTTCTGTCACTTTTAAGACTCTCCCCTTCCAAACATAAACCCATCGGTTCCTGGATTTTCTGTGCTTCTCGCATCTCCTCTCTGGTTCTTCCTACCCATGATGGCTGCCCCTTTGAACCACAAGGATTTGGAGAAGACGGAGCAGCATGAGTCGCTGCCCGTTGTGGTGGCGGCTGAAGAGGCAATTATCCGCGCCCGCCAACAACCGAACGTTGCCCTGCCGCTGCGCATCACCTTTGACCACCATGACCCCGACAATCCGCGCTGCTGGGGTTTCTGGCGCAAGTGGTACATCACCGTATTCGTGAGCATGCTCAATGTCATTACCACCTGGTGTTGTGGTTCTTTTTCCTCTGGCGCCACGCAAATTGCCGATCACTTCCACGTTTCGAGTGAAGTCACCACCTTGTGCTTGTCCCTCTACGTTCTGGGCTACGCCGTTGGCCCTGTCCTACTCGCCCCCTTGTCGGAGTACTTCGGCCGCCAGCCGATCTACATCGTCTCCTGGTTTATCTTGTGTATCTTTCAGTTGCCCTTGGCACTGGCCCCCAACATTGGTACCATTCTCGTGTGTCGTCTGATCGCCGGCTTGGCTGGTGGTGCCCCCTTGACCAACACCGGAGGTACTATCAGTGATCTGTGGGAGCGAGACCACAGTGGTTGGCCTATGGCGGTGTACGGCCTCAGCAGCACCGCGGGTCCTCCCCTGGCGCTCGTCATGAGCGGGTACATCGGCCTCGACCTGGGCTGGCGATGGATCTTCTGGATTATGATGGCCATCAGCGGTGGCTTCTGGATCGTGCTAGTTTTCACGATTCCCGAGACCCGCCACTCCATCCGCCTGCAGCGAAAGACGGCCAAGATCCGTCGCCAGATGGAGAAGGAAGGACTACGGTCGGCGGAGTCGCTGGACGACATCCATGGCGACAACCGCAAGGGGCTGCACCAGTTGCTCGCCATAACCTTGACGCGGCCCGTCCGCTTTCTGTTCACCGAGCCCATCACGCTCTTCTCGGCTATCTTCAATGGCTTCCTCTACGGCCTCGTCTACCTTTTCAACGAAGCCTTTCCTCTCGTGTTTGGTGCTCCCCACGGCCACGGCTTCAACGTCGGTCAACAAGGCCTCTGCTTCTTGGGCATCGCCATCGGCCCCTTCCTCGCCTTCGCCGCCCACCCGCTGCAAGAACGCTACTACCGCCGCGCCGTCGCTGCGCACGACGGTCTCAGTGTCCCCGAAGCCCGCATGTGGATGGCCCGCTTGGGCGCGTTGCTGATCCCGATCAGTCTCTTCTGGTTCGGCTGGACCAGCTACGCCTCGGTGCACTGGATCGTCCCGATCATCGCCTCGGTCTTCTTCGGGGCAGGCCTGTATATTGTGATCTTGAGTATTCTGAACTACGTGGTCGACAGCTACCAGACGTACTCAGCCTCGGCGCTGGCGGGGGTCATTCTGGTGCGGAACGTTGTGGGCGCCGGGTTCCCGCTGTTCGCGACGCAGATGTACAACAAGTTGGACTACGAGTGGGCGTCGAGTCTGCTGGGATTCATTGCGATCTTGCTGGTCCCGATTCCATTCATCTTCTTTTACAAGGGGAGGGCGATTCGGCTGCGGAGCCCGTGGGCCCGCGAGCATTTCGATTCGAATGAAGATAGTCCTCATTAGTTTATAGATATTCCGATAGACTGAAATATGATCAGATCCGTTCATTTCTGTGTGTGAGTCTTACTGGTCAGATTCTAGATGATAGTACTTGTTGTATAGTAGCCTTTTGCCCTGTCCTTGGATGTGACTACGTAAGTGGGCTTGGAAGTGAAGCTGCGGGATAGAGTGAGTCTAGGCTTCTTTTCAGTCCTCGAAGGGGTCAAACATCAACCACTACATCGGAATTTGCGTTCTGGTAGATACTGAAGTTCTCTCACCATTCCTGATCGGTTGATAGCCTTATTCATATCTTTCTCCTGCTATGCGATCATCCCGAGGACGGTCACCTGGTTCACACACATTTGTTTACAGCCACGATCGGGGTGGTGGAACTGCAATTCCAAATCATGGATCCTGAGGCTCTGATATATCTGATCCCATGGTAACCAGGGATTTGTGGGCAGACCGATCAGATTCGCAGTGCCAAGCCCGTGGAAACGTGTATGCGCATTGCATTTTGCTTTGTTGCCTGGCCATCGCGCCCAACAGCTGACTCGTCCATACAATGGAGGAGGAAACCCCCACCGAAGTATTTGAAATAACCTTCATTTAAGTTAGGCAGAGCCTCTTGCTGACGAGCAACACGAGGGTGGATGTGCTGAATTTGCTGGGCGCATCTTGGCTGGCGGGGCGGACGCCGAAACCAGTCGACTCAGCCTCGCCCCCGGTTTCTTTACTAATACGCTCCCTCCTCCCTCCTCCCTCCTCCCCCGCCCACCGACAATCCACATTCGCACCGCGACTGAGCACAATCCTCTAGCGCGCTTCCTATTATGCCACACGTTATGGCCAATCACTCATTGCAAGTTAGCGGATACAGACTCCGGAGAACGCACGAGAAATCCCGGAATGGGTGCCTCAGGTGCAAACAGCAGCGGAAGAAGGTAGGTATTGAACAGCACATGGCTGAACCCTACGGCTCCGCCCGCACGGTGCTGATGTCAATCCCCCCCCCCCAGTGCGACGAAAAAAGACCCAGTTGCTCCAGATGCACTAAGCGCTCGTATACTTGCCGATATCCGTTCCCTCTCAGCGATGGGAATTTGTCAGAAGAGCCGGAGTCAGCGGCCCATTCGCCCCTCTCCGACTTGCATGTAATCTCCGGGCCCGAGTCTCCCGGCTCACCCTCACATCATCACCATCATCATCGACGAACTGCCTCCCAATCACGCTCTAGTACGGATGAGGCAAGACTGGACCCCTTCCAGCTGGGGCCGCAGTCCCCCGATTTCCTCGATGCGACCGAGCTGAGCCTCCTAGCCCACTATCTCACGCACACGAGCCACATCATCCCGGTCGATCAGCTCGACCTCTACGCACTCTCCGTCGGCGTACCAAATCTCGCCTTCAGAAGCAAGGCGGTCATGTCCTCGTTGCTTGCCTTGGCAGCAGCATGTCAGTCCCACGACATAGCCAAGCAGGCCCCGACGCCGCAGAGCCTCCTGCAGATCCGCGAGTTGCTGGGACTAGCCGAGCGCCACCACCGCGCCTCCCTCCGCCACATCCAGGAGTCCATGCAGAGTCCGGAGATGTACGACCACGTTCTCGCCAATGCGGCCCTGATGGTGCTCTACGCCTCGGCCAGCCACTCCATCCGCGTCCACCTGGCCGCTACGGCCAAGCAGCGGGGACAGCGGCTGCCGGGTGAGCTGCTGCCGCAGCACTCGCAGTGGATTTCGTTCACCCGTGCAGCACATACGGCATCAACTGCGGTGCTGAATGACATTGTGAATGCGACGGACGGAGCTAGTCCGGTCATGTATACCGAGCCAAGTCTCCCTAGCACAGCCCTAAACACCCCGGGGTTCCTGTCTCCACAAGACGGCCCCTCCGAACACACAAAGCGTCTCTTCCTGCCCATTGTGGCATCAACCTACACCCAAGCCTTCGAACGTCTACGTAAGAGAGCAGAAACCACAGTCACTCTCCTGAAAGACTCGAACCGATCCGGCAACATGGCCCAACTCCACGCATCCATCGAAACGGTCTCGATCCTCGAGCACTGCGCCGTAGCAGCACTCACCCCACGCCGAACCCCCGCAACAAGCCCCCAAACCCAGGCCCTAGCCCTGCACAAACGCGCGCGCGTCTCCCCCTGGGTCGCGAAATACATGATCAGCGTAACGTCGATGGAGGCGCCGCAGATCCTCCGCCGGATCATCATGTCGTTCCTCAATAAAGCGCCGACCGATTATCTCGGCCTCGTGCAGTCGGTTCTTGACTCCTCATCCATGGGGATGGAAGGCTCCGCCACCGCCGAAGTGGGGACGCTGACGGCAGCACATGTCTTAGCGATGGATATCTTTGCACACTGGTTGGTGCTGGTCATGTTGCTGGATGGGGTGTGGTGGATTGGGGGGATCGGGCAGTGGGAGCTGGGCCAGGTGTTGGCTGTGTTAAAGACGCAGGATTTGCTGGGCTTGGCGGAGACGGGGGAGACCTGGTGGCCCGAGAGTATGTATTTGGTCAAGCGAGAGCTTAGCCCTAGTGCTTCGTGAGTCTTACGAGATGTAGAGGATAGAATTGGGTGCTTGGATTCCAAATACATGCAGATGGCTGTTCAAAGCGTGCGAATGTCTTGGCATAGTAAGCACAATGCGCTACCCATGGAGACCCCGTGAATCTAGTCTCGTCAGCAAGACAATCATCTGCAGAATCCACCAAGCGAAGCATCGGTGAATTGCCAAGCACGATTGCATGCCAAGTGAGTGAGATGCAGGCATTGCGCTGGCGAGAGGTAGGGCTGGGAGAGCGGCGTATGACTAATACGCTCCGCTTGAGGCTGTGGCTGTGCTTGCGTATACTGACGCTCTTTGACAGTAAGAGAGTATATGCGCAGTGAGTTGGGCTATCTTGGCCATTGAATGTCGACATTGTATTAGAGAATAAGAAACAACAGAGCCTCAAGAGCATATAAAGAAACGAATCTCCCGCCCATCCCTACATCATCAGCCTAGCATCAGCTGCACACAGACAACCGCGTCGAACACCATATCTGACTTCTATACCAACCCTTTCACCATGTATCTCACGTCCACCTTCCACTCCCTCCTCGCGATGGCCCTCACCCTCGCAATCTCAGGCCAAGCAGCACCATCACAGTCGCTCACCTCGCGCGCAACCTCCGACCTGCCTATAACAGCTCAACTGAAACTAGCAAACACGTACTTCCCCTGCCCCTTACCCTGACGAATCCCCCCCAGCAGACCAAGACTGACCAACCCAAAGAGCAACCGAGCGCTACGCCCTCCTCCCCAACGACACCGACTTCATCTACGATTTCAGCGCTACCAGCTCCAATAACGAAACCGCCCTCCCGATAGCCAGCAGCCAGAACTGGCCCGCCCTCGTCGGCGTCGGCCTCTCCTTCAGCATCTCCCAGCTACCAGGTATAGTACATACCCAGCCCACCCCAAACACAGCCCAAACACAGCCCAACCCAACCCACCCCCACTATCAAACCAACCAACACACTAACCATAAAAAGCATGCACAATGTCCTTCCTCCACCTGCACCCCCGCGCCACCGAACTCTTCGCTCTAACTTCAGGCCGCATCCAAAGCTACATGGTGCCCGAGACGGGCGTGCTCGACGCCGCCGGCAACCAGCGCGTGGTCAGCACGGAGCTGACCCCGGGCACGGTCACGATCTACCCGGCGGGCTCGTTCCATACGCAGGTGAACCCGGACTGCGAGGCGGCGAACTTCACGGCGGCGTTCAATTCCGAAGAGTTTGCGGTGGGGTTGGTCTCGGCGAGGTTGTTTGCGTTGCCGGATGAGGTGGTGGGGAGGGCTTTGGGGGGCGTGGGCGCGGAGGAGGTACGGAGGATTCGGGGGTTGGTGCCGGATGAGGCTGCCTTGGTTGTGGGGGAGTGTGTGAAGAAGTGTGGGTTGGAGCAGTAGGGTTGCTTTGGAGGTGTGGTGGTGGGGGAGGGAGGGTTTAGGTTAAGGGTTGAGGGTGGCGCTGAGAGGTACTAGGGTTGAAGGGAAGGAGGGTTTACATTAGATGATGAAGGGAAGGGTGGGGGATAGAAATCGCTTTCTTTTTGTCAGGGATAGGCTTTGGATTTATTGTTATTGCTTGTGCATTAGAATGGAGGGGCTTTTGCTGGATATCTCTATTGATTGGTCGTATTGCCTGTGGTTTAAGACCAAGCCGAGACTGCTTCATGTACGATTTGGTCATAATGATTGAGAGACAATCGATGCAGGGGCATTGCGATTGCTGCCAACTGCATCACGATGTCCCGTTACCCTCGATGCTATTATAGGCTCGGCTAGATGGATCGGAGAATATCAAGCCACAAATTCCCCAATCTCGAAGAATGCATATGCTGTGCGTCCTGCATGTGGTTATCTCCTATAGGGCTATCATGCACGTCCCTGCCGAACCACGATCACACTCGCATAAAGGTTACACCTCCCCGTGTCACTCGAGACTTCCATTCGGGCCCTGATAGACAGTTAATCAAGCAATTGTCTGGATTTGATATCTGTTGACCAGGATAGACGGGGTCTGATGATGCGGACATACTTTTGTGATGCGTGGACCGATGATAATGAGAGATTGCTGGTCAGTAATCTTCCGATTATTACACCATGTTGGAAACAGCTGTCGATGACTAGGAATGACCATGCATGGGTGGCTGATGGGCTCTGTGCATCAACAGTTGGCCCCTATAGTCCCATATACATACTATCTTCTGACATGTCCTACCTCTCTCTTCCTAGAGTCTCTGCCCTCTGTCGACTCGCTTGAAATAGATCGCCTCGAAAGCAAATACAGCTATGCACACCATCCTCAGTTTGTTTCTCACCTCGCTCTTGGTGACTATCGCTCAGTCAACCACCCCCACCCTTGCTGGAGATATTGACATCATCGAACGAGATGTGGCCATCATCGGCGGAGGCGCAGGAGGCACCTACTGCGCCATCAGCCTCCAAGACCAAGCCAAGTCCGTCATCGTGATCGATAAGGAATACCGACTCGGGGGCCACGTCGAGACCTACGTGGACCCCGGGACAGGCATTGCAATGGACTATGGAGTCGCACTCTTCGAGAACACCTCCGTGGTCAACGACTACTTCGCGCGCTTTGACATCCCCCTAGTCAAGATCAGCCAGTTCAACATCACCTGGTCCACCTACGACTTCCGCACCGGAAAGGCAGCGGTCCTCAGCTACAACCCGTCGCGCGAGGAGGTGCTGGCCGCGTTCGCGACCTACTTTGCCCAGCTGGCGCGATACCCCGAGCTGGAGCAGGGGATCTTTCTTTCGAATCCCATCCCCGAGGACCTGTGCATGCCGTTCGGGCGGTTCGTGGACAAGTACAAGATCCACGCGGCGGTGCCGACCATGTTCCTGCTCAACGCGGGGGTCGGGGAAATACCAGCGAAAAGAACCAAATCACCCTCCTCGTCCGAACCCCCACGACCGATAGAAAGCTCACCCTCATCCACGCCAAGAAACTCCTGATCGCCATCCCCCCCAACCCCTCCCTCCTCGACCCCTGGCTCCGCCTCAACCCGACCGAACACTCCCTCTTCACCCGCTACATCAGCACAGGCCTGTACGTGGGCCTCGTCAACGGCACGCGCCTCCCGCCCACCGCGGGCATCCTCAACCTCGCCCCCAACCACACCATGTACTCCTTCTCCTACCTGCCGGACACGTACAGCCTGATCCCCGCCCGCTTGCCCGGGTTGAAGCTCGCCACCTACGGCAGTCTGCAGACCACCGACCCGTTCCCGATCAGCGAGGCAGCCGTCCGCCACCACATGCTGGACGATATCCGGCGGATCCACCGGGAGAACCCGGACCGGTTCCCGGGGACGAACGAGCCGGCGTTCGTGGCCTTCGCGGCCCATGCGCCGTATAACCTGCAGGTGTCGGGGGAGGACATCGAGAATGGGTTCTATGAGAGGCTGTATGCGCTGCAGGGCGAGATGAATACGTTTTGGACCGGGTCGGCGTGGGCGGCGGATATTAGTGGTGATATTTGGAAGGTTTCGAGGGGGGTGGTCTTGCCGATGCTGGTGGGGGAGTTGTGAGGGTGGGGTTGTCCTTCGTTGCTTGTGTAGTATCTATATGCAGACGGAGTAGGAAGAGTGTATGTAGCGTCGAGGCATGATTACAACTTCGCTCTTCAGTATCACTGGGGCGTTCTGTCAGCCTGTAGCTCAGGCCCCCTGGCCAATTTCTCCAAAGCGTCCATCTCAAATCTCTGGTCATGGCAAGGATATCAAGCTGGTAGTCTAGACCGAGGAGCTCAATCCGCCAGACCGCCTGGGCTGACGCTTCAGTGGGAAAGGAAAACGTGAGGTGTTGGCATTGAACGGGCTTGTTTATGCTTGATATTCATTCTAAGCCGAGAGCGGATGACTGGTTAACTCGTGTTATAGCTAATTTATAATTAACTAGGACAACCTCATCGAAGGCACCATAGAACACGCCTCAGCTGCTGGCAGCCCGGCATTAGGCTACTTTGCCGTCGTTGATCGCGACGGCGAACCTGGAACGTTGGCGGATGCGGCCGCCGTACGTGGACAAGAGGAACGGCACGGGAAGACAGACCAGCGACAGGAAGGCCGGGACACTGCTTGCCCAGTGGATGCCGATGCCGTCGTACATAGCGGTGGTGAACAGGGGGAATGCGGCGCCGCACAGTGAGCGCAGGACCGTCGCCGCCGCCAGCGCCGAGGCTGCATAGCTCACATAGCTGTCGACGAGGTAGTTGACCAACGCCAACGAGACGCAGATATTCCCGAATCCGAAACAGGCGGTGCCCAGCATACAGACCACCCAGGGCACCGAGGGCGCATTGGTCCAGGCGAACAGGAAGAGACCCACGGGCAGCAACACCGCCCCGACCTTGCCGGAGGGCAGACGCGCTTCGGGGGGCAACCGGCCGCTCTCGGACATTCGGCACCGCCGTGCATACTGGCGGTTGATGATGACCATGAACGCGGTGGCGCACAGCATGCCGATCGCAATGGGGAGAAATGCGAGGCCGCCCACTCCCGGGCTCCATCCGCGGACGCGCTGGAAGACAATGTGTAGGGCCGCGAGCAGCAGGTAGGTGGTGCCGTAGATGAAGGACATGTAGGCGGCAAGGACCATGACGATCGGCTCGCGGACGAGGAGTCAAGCAGGACGGGTCATGGAAATGCGACATCTTTCCGCCAGCGATCCGGGAGGGTTCCGGTGGTCGACGCTCGTGATGTAGAATCTGCCTGTCTGTCTGGTGAGTGCGGCGGCCCGTCGCCGGAGCACCACATCCCCGACGGTCTCGGGCACCAACAGAAGCCCCAGCACGAGCATCACTCCGGCGTAGATGGCGAGCAATCCCTCAATGGACCTCCACCCTCGTGTCTCGCCAAGGAACCCGCCCACGATCGGCCCCAGGACCGGCCCGAGAAATGTTGCCCCCGAGTAGCAGACCGCCGCCAGGCCTCTCGTTTCCGGACTGTAGAGGTCGGCTACAATGCCGCCGGAGTTGGTGAGAGGTGAGCTGCCGAACATGCCGGCCAGACAGCGGAATGCAACCAACGAGCCGAAATTCGGCGCGACGGCTGCTGCGACGTTGAAGACGGCGAAGAGGCTGAAGGTGGTTAAGAACAAAACCCTCCTGCCAAACGCTTCCCCCAAGGGTGCCCACAGCAATGGTCCGATGGCAAACCCGAGGACATACAACGACAGCCCCAGCGTGGCAGCCTCCTTGGAGACGCTGAAGTATTCGCAAACGGAGGATAGGTCTCCCGAGTAGGCACTGGACGCAAAGGCAACGGAGAGCGTTGAGAGCCCTGACAGAACTATGATGATGGTCTTGCGGGGGGCGGCGAGGTTCCGGGCATGCAATCGGTCAGTCGGGGGCCACGATATGATCTGTGGATTCTCACGAGTGCCATCCCCGGGCCAGTCGTGTGCAACATCTCCAGCAATCCTGCGGACATCGCTGGTGCCTAGCAAGAGAAAACACCCGATGGAATACAGCATCCTAGGCTTCTTGTGTGGATAGTGCATCAAGTTTGGTATAACCCTTGGTAGACCCTGGGATTGCGAGGTATGCTCACAGCAGAGCGTGCAATGACGGGGAACGAGGATGCGGGAGCAAAAGCCAGGGGCTGGTCTGCATTCTCATCTTTTTACTTGACGAGCTGTGTCAAGTTGAGAGACGGAGAATCACGCAGACTGACTGACCCACGGTTTGTTCGGCAATCTCGAGCGAACTAATTGAGGCCAACAGCTTCGATCGTCAATCCATCTATTAGCACTTGTCATCTTATGAAATCATGCCCGGTATTAGGAGTTAGCAGAACAAGCACCGATACGCGTTGTAAGCTTTTTCAAACTTTTCTGGCCCATTTGCCGCCGCCATTCATGCTGAACTTGGCTCATCCCCGGCCGGGGCCGTTGAGTGCCGTTTGGGGCTAGTCCCGTAAGCGATCAGACCCGAACCCTAGCTGGTGTCAATCAATCCATGATTCCGATCGGGTCAAGAAGGAAACAAACAAAAAAAGATCAAAAGGGAGAGATTCCATTATTCACTCGTCTGCAGTAGGAGGCAAACGACCGAAGAAAGTCCTGTCCAGAAGCCCTTCCTTGGTGGAATATTTAAGGTACTGTACGGTGCCTCGGATCAAACACTTCAGATACATTCACCTTGGAGTCAAGTTACCCGCCTTACCAGCGACCTAAGGGTTGTGACTTAGTGTGACTATAGATCATGACTTCCTCACTTTCAAACCAAAGTACCACCATCGCTGCTCCAGGCTCGGGTGCATCGAGCGAGCCATCATCTGCGATGGCCTCTGATTCAAAACCCAGGACCCAGGACCCGCCCAATGGTGGCTGTCGGGCATGGCTCCAGGTGGTTGGGTCTTTCTTTCTGTTCTTCAATACGTGGCAGGTGCTACTTCTGCTTGGCCCATCGCTGGAAGCACGACTGATCCATCGCCAGGGGTCTGATCAACTCCTATGGAGTTTTCGAGACGTTCTACGAAGAGACGTTGCTCCAGGGAACTCCTTCATCGACCATTTCCTGGATCGGCTCGCTGCAGTCCTTCTTGATCATGTTCCTCGGCGTCTTGACCGGACCCGTTTACGACGCTGGGTTCGTCATACCCTTGCTGTATATTGGCTCGTTTCTCGTCGTCTTCGGCCACATGATGCTTAGTCTATGCCACAGCTTCTGGCAGGTTCTCCTCGCGCAGTCATTCTGCCTGGGCATTGGGGCCGGCCTGATCTTCGTCCCCAGCATTGCGATCCCCTCGACCTATTTTACCACCAAACTGCCCCTGGTCATTGGCATCGCCGCCTCCGGGTCGAGCATCGGCGGCGTGATCTATCCGATTCTGATCCGCGAGCTGCTTGGCCGACTGGGATTTGGCTGGACGATCCGCGTTGCGGGCTTCGTGGCCCTCTTCGGCCTGGGCATCTCCTGCGCTGTGCTCCGGGTCCGCGTTCTGCCCGCCAGTCGCCGGAAATTGATCGAAGTCATCGACGATGCCAGGTCCTTTTCACAGGGTGAAGCAATTCACCTGACGGGGCGTAACCTCCCTCCAGAGCTGAACGGCTACTCGCTTAGAGCGACCGTATCGACGTAAAGATACGGCATCATACTGCTCGGATGACGGTCGCCTTGCACCTCAGCGGCCTCAATCACCGCATTGATCTCTTCCAGGTCCTTTGGGCTCAATTGAACATCCAAGCTCCCCACGTTCTCTTCCAAGTTCCGAATCCTCGTCGTCCCCGGGATGGGAACGACCATTTTCACCGAAGCGCGAAGCCACGCCAGGCTCAGCTGGCCGACGGTGCACTTCTTCCGCGCCGCCAGTGCCTGCAGCCGGTCGGCCAGCGCCAGGTTCTTCTCTTCGGGAAGTTCTCCGCCGAGAACCGCGGCAGGATGCGGCGACGGTCGGTCGCGTCGAAATCGTCGGGGCTGCGGATCTTCCCCGTGAGGAACCCGCGGCTGAAGGGCGAGTAGGGCACGACCGCGACCCCGAGCTCCTCGCAGGCGTGCAAAAGGCCGTTGTGGAAGGCGTCCACCGCGAAGGGCGAGACCTCCACCTGCACCGCGGCGACGCTGCGGCGCGCGCACCGCGTTCACCCCGTCGCCGCGGAGCACTCGCTCAGCCCCAGGTACTTGACCAGCCCGTCGTCGACGAGCTGCTTCATCGCGCGCATCGTCACTTCAATCGGCTGCTCCGGGTCGATGCGGTGGCAGTAGTAGAGATCGATCGCATCGCCGTCGGCGAGACCCAGCCGGGCGCGGCTGCGCAGGCACGCCTCGCGCACGTACCCCGGCTCATTGTGGATGCTGGACGGGAGTCCCGGTCGCTGTTGGATGCCGAACTTGGTGGCCAGGAAGATATCCTGCCGCCTGCCGCTGCGTTGGAACCAGCTTTGGGTAGCTCGTGTGGTTAGCTGAGTTCTGTGGAACATGGGCGGAGAGGGGGTCTTCTTTTCTTGGTCCTCGTTCAAGCCCGCTGGTTTTACTGTACCTACCGCGCGAGAATGTCTTCATTGTCGGCGTACACGTCCGCCGTGTCCCAGAAGGTGACCCCCCGAGCATGCGCCTCGTCGAGAAACCGTAGCCGCTCCTCATCGGGCATCGGGACTCCGTAGAACATAGAAAGGCCCATGAGGCCAAGACCTACAATAATGCGTTCAGTATTGTGCGGGGACGCAGATTGAGGAGTTTACCGTCAACCGCTCACCTTGCGCGGACACCAGAGGGCCATTTGCGCCGAGTTGGATAGTGGGAAGCATTGTCGGGTTGGAAGAGGTCGTAGATATCGCTGCAACTGTTCACAATAATGACAATAATGAGACAAGTGGACCCGCGCGCCAGCAGAGAGATCTAAAGTCTTATAGATACGTCTATGCACGTCAGCTGACCCTGGGATGCGCTATGGATTCAGCTTCAGGATCTTCTAGCCCTACATCCGAAAATGGCTAGTCACATAAGCATCTGTGATGTGATCCCGTGGGTTCCAGAAGTCCTCCAACTATGGACCCACTAACTACACTTTTATTTGGATTGATGACCAGCGGCAGCTTATCGCAGTACCCCGGCGTCGGGCTTCTCCAAGGCGCTACCTCCGGGTGGTTACGGTGGGCCAAACCATGGTCAATTGACGAGAGGGGTTGATTACAACTCTAGCCTAGAAAGTAAAGCACCTTATGTCTTCCACGCTTTTCAACCTGGACCCGCCCAATTGACTCCAATCCACGCCTAGGGGCATTGTAAGCAGGCAGTATGACCATGCACAATCATGTCTCTAGGGTCAGAGTGTGACACCCAGATACTCACCCTATTCAACCATCCTTCTGGCATAATCGGCGGACTCATATCATTGTGAAGATGTCATGTATGACATGCCTATGAGATCCAAACTGTACTCCCTGGTCCACTCAGTCCGTGGGCAGCGCTCACAATGTTTCCGAATGCCTCTCGATCACACCTGCGCACCCCTTTTCCCGCGACCATACGCATCATTTCCCTACCAGCCAACCCATCTACTCGAACCAGCGATCGACCACCCACCACCTCCACTGCCCCTTCCTTTTGTTCAGTCCATCCCCAACCACCCGCTCATACTCATCCACCTCCGCCCGTAACCCGCCAACCCCCAAATCCGCCCTCTCGGGCCGCACCCACCCTGTCCGCCTAAACACCTTCCATCCAGCCCCCAACCCCACAAACACCGCAATCATCGCGTAATCCAACACAAAAGTCTCGGTACTCCACCGCCCGTCCAAAAACACCTCCCACCCCAGCACCAACACCATCACCGCGGTCCCGAAGACAGCAAACCACCCCGCATACGGCTGGAGATACCCTCGGAACGGGAGCGTAGCCCGGTCCACGCCCTGCGCTTTTAAGGCAGCATAGAAGTGCAGATACGTGACACACGTGCCCAGGTAATTCAGGAGATAGGATGCGGTGATGACGCTGACCAGCCAGTTCAGGACGGTGGCGGAGGCGTGTTGCACCTGGAGGAAGGCGAGGCAGCAGAAGGCCATGGTTAGGGCTATCGCGTAGATCGGGAGGCCGCGGGCCGTGCATCGCCCCAGAATGGCGGGGGCTTTGCGGGTTAGGGCCAGCCCGTGCAGCGTGCGCGAGGCGGAGTAGACGAGGTTGTTGCCGGCGGAGAGGACGGAGGTTAGGATGAGGAGGTTGACGATGTGGGGGAGGGCGGGGATCGAGAGGTTGTTCATGGAGATTACGTAGGGGGATCTTTTGGGGTCTGGGTTAGTGATTGTGCGTGCTGGGGGGAAGGGAGAGGGGAGGGAGGCTCACGCTGCGCCGGTTCCGCTCCCTTTGCGTGTGCCTGCGATCGTCGCGGCCAGGGTCGGGTCGTTGTACGGCAGCACGATCCCCATGCATAAGGCGCCGGCGATGAAGAAGACCATCAGGCGCCAGACGAAGGAGGTGAAGGCCCGATGCATCACCACCCGTGGCCGCTCGGCCTCTGCGGCGGTCATTGAGATGTATTCGGGTCCGACCATGCTGGGACTCGGTTAGAATGTCCTAGCGGGGATGAGGCTGGGAAGGGTTACGTGAATGACGCCTGGATCATGCATGCGAGGACGCCGCAGAAACGACCGGTGTTTCCGGCGGCGAGGTATGAGACGAAGGCGTCCTGGAATAGTGTGAGTGACTAGTAGGTGGTGTGTGTTGTTGGGGTCGGGCTCACTGGGTCCTTCCAGTAGCGGAAGCCGTATGCATCGTGATGAGGATTCCCTCCGACCATGGTTACGAAGGTGTAGCAGATCAACCCTATCATCAAGATAATCTTGCAGATGGAGAGGTAGAACTCAGCCACTCCGAAGTATCGGACGGTCAAAACATTGAGGATGCTGCGAGAGTCAGCACTCTCTACCGTATAGCCGGGGATGCTGTACCCATAGATCACCATGACAATGACAACGACTGCCGCCACCGGTATGCGATCCGTCCAATACGTGAGAAGTACATTGATTGCGACAATTTCGTAAGGAATCCCCAGAGCTATCTCAGTCAGCTACCGACCACCCTGTCAGGAGAATACTCACCCATCGTGAGGAAGAAGTTCCATCCCATGGCAAAGCCTAGGGCATCGTCGACCCAGTGACCTGCCAGCTGAACAAACGGCGACGGTATGGGCAGATAACACACCATTTCCGCTGGGGATAAGCTGTTAGTCACAATCCGCTTGCTGCTAGCGCGAGCCTCACCAAAACATTGATTCACAGCGAGAATAATTGTGCCGTATGCCGCAAATCCCAGCAGCAGGCCTGCTGATCCTCCTTTCGGCAGTACAGCGCCCATCTGCACAAACAAGGCTATCCTCGTGAGTATCACTACAGATTTTCAACTGATTCGGAGACTTACAGGTCCCGATAGCGCCGCCCACCGCGAGGAGTTGCACCTCTCTACCCCGCAGCTTGCGGTGCAGATGCTGCGACCCCGCGGACAGCACGCGGGCCTCCTCGACCACCGTATCGGGGGTTTTTGTCGTTGTCGATTCCATCCGGGACTGGTCCTGCATTGCGATCTGCATTTGTGTGAAACTTTACACGAGATTTGCTTTGTGGACATTTATATCTTCTGTTCCCCCCTGTAAGCGCGATGGTGGGGTGCGATAGCGGGGTTCGGCCTATGAGCAGGGATGCGGTGGTCGATGTGCAGATGCTGTCTTGGTATGACTTCACTTATCGCCTCCAGTTGACGGCATCGTTGGTTTCATGGACTATAATGCAGTTCTAATGACAAATCGCTCTAACATCATGATAACAGGACCAGCCTGCTCCCCGACACCACTCTATTGATCGTCCCCGAATGGCATCGCCACCCATTCTGTCTCCTTGACCGGCGGTTCCTCACTCTCACATCTTGAACACCGACACACAAATCGAAACAGGGTCTGCAGACGCTCTCGTCGAGTCTGGAGGTCCGTGAATTGTGTCAGGTCGAAATACGAGATACAGCATTCTTCCCCAGCGGCGATATCCTTGGCCGCCGTGAAGATCATCCGACCGTGCTGGTCGGGTTTATGCGTCATCTACGGTCAGATTAGCTGCTGTGCAGGTGTTCCTATCCAGAAGAACTCACATTCGGTCCGCAGGAGTGATTCGCGATGGCCGCACGAGGATACACCGCCGCGCCGAACTGCTCGCCCCGGTCGAGGGCATCCGGCGGCACGGGGTACAGCCCCGTCTCGCGCGGGTACAGGCCAAACGAGTTGGCCTCTTCCTGACAGATGAGCTTGAGCACCTCCCTGTCCGGCAGGTGGTGCGGTAGCACCGGCCCATGGCGCAGGTACTTCTTGACGAGCGCCGTCCACGCGCGCACCTGCGCATGCGACCACGAGTCCTCCGAGCCGCAAAAGGACCGCATCGCCTGCCAGCCTTGGGCGAACCCGGGGCCAGAAGCCACCTGCTCATCCGTCGTCGTCGTCGTCGTCGACTTCCTGTCCTCAGACAGTTCAACGTGTCGCGCGGCGAGGATCCGGACAATCAGCCACAGCATCCCGAACTCATACTCGCCCCGCTTCTCGCGGATGGAGAAAGCGAACCGCTTGAGCCAGGTGCACTCGAACGCATGGCGGGCGTGGTCTGCGGCCTGACAGGCGGCACTGCACCACATCACATCCCCCAGACAGCCCTGCGGACACGCGAGACGTTCCGCACGGCACGCCATCCGCCGACTGCACGGGGGGTGACTGCACAGCAGCGCCTCGCTCGTCCGGGGGTCATCGACCGCGGGGATCACCGCGTAGGGCGTATCGACCAGCACCACCTCGCCGCGCGGGATGGGCTGGGCCGCCCGCAGCTGCCGGCCCTTGTAGGGGTCGACCCCTTGCTCGAGATGGGGGTGGATCCACGCCGTTGATTTGGTCTCTGCAACAGCAGATTTAGTCACTGCTGCCGGTTCTAACGGTATATGCTGCTCTGGGGGCTGTAACAGTGGCATTTTGGAGCTGGATTGTTGCGTGTGGGCACCAGATCTGTCTACCGGGAGTTCAAGTTGGATCCCCCAATTCTTGTCGAAAATTTGACCCAACTTTTTTTCTCCGGGGATTACACTATCAGTAGCTACCTATCGCATCTCTTATCGTCTGCAGAAGTGTGGGTCTTGCGTGCGCTGGGGTCGTCTGGACCAATTGTTTGGGCATGATGCGGTGGATGGGCCAATGGAATTGAGGGAGGATGTGATGGGTCTTATCGGCGGATCGCGTGGCAAAGCTTGCCCTTTTCTTGCGATTCCATCGACTCTTCATTTCTCTGCTGGATCAAAATCTGGGGATGTGATGCGGGTATTGCGGAAGATCACTCGAGGTCGGAACTCATGCAATTTGCCCATGTTATTGACTTCAGTCTTTGGTTTGCGCTTGGACTGCCATTGGGCTGATGGATGTGAAATTTGAGCGACGGATTCAATACCCGGGCATGCATGTCCATCAGTAGCTTGGTGCCCCAACGACTTGACACGCTCGATACCATCTTGGGCTGATCATACAACGGTTGCAATTGCCAATCTACTGCTGAAATTGATCACGTAGGAGTCTTTTAGCTGGTGCATAAACCAGGTTTTGTACAGTGCTTGGTCAGATGAACGAGGGACTTGTGAGATACATAATTAGTAATCAGCTTGCGTGGATGCATGATATGGGCATAAGATCTGCTGTTGTCTCGAGTGGATATTGACGCTGTTCTCAAAAGTACATTATGAACAAGATTGTATACCTTCCTGTAGCCGGATGTTATTGTGAGGTTTTTAGGTAAGAGCGCCAGGCACTTCCTCACACGTAACCCCTTCTTTATATACAATCAACCGACTAAAAGAATATTCAAGCACGTACAAGAAGAGACAAACTAGATCGACTTGATGACGAAAGAACCCATACCCATCATTGACTAACAGCAGCGGCGGCGACGAGCGCATCACACGCGGAGCTCTGCGTCGAGGCATCAGCGCTCGCAAACGGGCCCGACCAAGTCCCCCCCAGCGCATCGCCATCGCCCCGGTTCTTCTCCCAGATGCTATCCGCATTCTTCAGCAGGAAGCTGCGGATCTGCTCACTGGGCGCCGCCTTGTACAGCACCGCCAGATTGCGCATAAACACGCCCTTGAACTGGGGCGCGTCCCCGGTGCAATTCGGCTCGCACGGCTCGGTCAGCACGCCGTCCGCGTTGGCGAGCGCGCTCATCGCCGCCCCCGCGATCTGCTGCGCCGTGGAGACATACGACGCGTCCCCGAACAGCTGGGCCATCTCGACGAGCGCCCCCAGAATCACCCCCTGGTTGTAGGTCCACACCGTGCCGCCGTCGTTGCGGCAGCTGCCCAGATCCAGCCCGTTGTTGATCGTGTGCTGGTCGTTGATCAGCCCGCTGCGCGCGAACCAGCCCCAGCTCTGCGCCGCCCACTCCTTATAGTACCCCGCCTGCGCGGGCATCCGCCGCCCCAGGTGCGCCGCCACGCTGAGGAACAGCTCGTTCTCGATCGCCCCGTTCTGCGTGTGCGATTTGTCCCACCACAGGCCGCCGCACGTCGCGTTCCAGCCCGTCGTCATGTCGGCGAAGATGCTCGCCGCCGTGCTCAGGTAGCGCGTCTCCTGCGTGAGGTCGTACACCGCGATCCAGGCCAGCGCCCACCAGGCTTCGTCGTCGTAGTAGTCGTTGATGAAGCCGGGGGAGGCGCGGCGCGTGAGGCGGTGGGTGTTGCTGCGGCTGGCGTGGGCGCGGGCGTGGGCCTCGCGCTTCACGGCGCGCGCGGCGGTCGACCCCTGCGCCCGCGTGAGGGTGTTGGCGAAGACGGCGGCGTTCGCGCTCAGCTGGCTCGCGTCCAGCGCGGTCAGGTCCGCCAGCACCGTCAGGCAGTTGGCGCTGTTCCACCAGCCGGTCGTGTCCCACAGCCCCGTGCTCGGGTGGTACCATTTCTGCAGGGTCGTCACCGCCGCTTTGGCGTGGGAGAGGTAGTCGGTGGCCGCGAGGGCGCCCTGGAGGCAGAGCAGGGATGTGAGCGAGGCTTTGACGATCATCGTAGCTTCGATTCAATACTCAATGACAAGGTGAGTTGTAATACTGGGTAAGTCAACAACCAGCAGGGGTGTGCAGGGTCTGCAGGGTATTTAGCATTGTTGTGGCCCGGGCGAACGGTTCTTTGTCCCCGGCACAAATACCGCCCGCCAACATGTGTCTTTGTTGCTGGATGAGTCGCAGGCGCATGATTGGGCTGTGCTTGTTTTTGAAACACTTTTTTTTGGCCAGAAATAGTGCTGCGTTTTTGGGGGCCAGATGGGCCCAAAACTGGGGGATGTACGGTGATTGGGAGGAATCCGCTGGGCTTCATTTCTTAGTGCAACGACGATCTTCCGCACTGCCCGCCGTGCCTGCCCCCTTAATATGGGACTAGTGTGTTCCAAGGGTCCAGGATTACATTTGTTAGGCAGAATCAAAGGACCCTGTTTTAGACCTAGTCCCCAGGAGTCGAAGGATCAAGGGTTTCTGGGCGTTGGGGCTAGGGTCGGTTTGTGGTTGTTGGCTGCTCCCTTGCCGAAATGGGCTGCCCGCCCTAATTTGAGCACTTCCTGCAGACACTGCTCGAAGCATTCTTCGCGACGGACATCTTGACACACGTCAGACGTGCAAGCAGGATAGAAATGCTCCATTCCTTGGCTCGTACCTTCGTGTTGACATCCACAAAGTACTACAAGAATCTTATGTGAAGCGAGTTCCTGTAGTGAGTGAGTCGAACGAGCGATCAGGGTCATAAAGTCGAGTCGGACAGAAGGATGCTAGCTGTCACAGCTGTTCTCGATCTCTGCTCTGCCAGTGATCTGGACATTCTCACCAAGTCAACAAGGCGACAGGCGATGTTACCTGGGTCTCTCTCTCCCTCTGCATGAAGTCCATGTCCAGTGTAAGTCTTGCCAATTAACATCAACAATTGGAAAAAAAAAAGCTAAAAAGCCCGCGGTTCTGCTTATTGTCTGCCAGCCAATCCACTGACCGAGAATCTTCTTCGTCGGCCTCTTGGCTGTTTTCTCCGACCGAGGTGAAGAAGCCCGTCGAAATGGGAGCTGAATCATCTCGGCCTTGAGCTTCACCCCGAGGTTTCGTAATGAGGTCACCACCCCTGCTGCACGACCCAAACCCTCGTATTTTTCTTTTCTTGGTCTTCTGTCGTCCTTACCTCTGTTGCAATTGCTGCTCTGATTCCAAAGCTAGCTTTGTCATTATTCTGTACTGAAGAAGGACAATTTCTGTTTCCTCTGCTATAGCTGCCTCCGGAAGACATATAACTACTGCGCGATCTCACGTACCCGACAGTAAGAGCCAAATCTCAACACTCGATCTCATGGCAGCGATTCTAGTGACAGGTGCGACCGGCAAGCAAGGCAGCGCGCTCATCAGAAATCTCGTCGCCAAAAATGCACCCTACGAGATTCTCGCCGTGACGCGAAACTCCAATTCCGGGCTCGCCCACCAACTGCGCCAACTTTCGTCCCAGATCAAACTCGTTGAGGGCAATCTCGACAACCCCGCGGGGATCTTTGACAATGCGCACAAAGCCACTAAGTCCCCGATTTGGGGGGTCTACAGTGTCCAGGTACGCTCACGTACTCCTCACCCAGTGATAGGCCCCAAGTCGCGCGCTGACTAGACACGTTAGGTGGCAATTGGGAACGGCTCCCAGGAAGAGCCCCAGGGCAAAGCCCTCGTCGACGAAGCCCTGAAGCAGAACGTCAAGTTCTTCGTGTACAGCTCGGTCGACCGTGGCGGCGAGGCCTCGTCCACCACGCCGACCAAGATCCCCCACTTCCAGCACAAACACAACATCGAGCGGTACCTGGTCGACAAATCCAAGGACACCGAGATGAAGTGGTTCATCCTGCGCCCGACGGCGTTCTTCGAAAACCTGGTGCCGGGCTTCTTCGGCAAGGTCTTTGCCACCTGCTTCAAGATGGCGCTCAAGGGCAAGCCGCTGCAGATGGTGGCCACCAGCGATATCGGCTACTTTGGCGCCGAGGGCTTCCTGCATCCGGAGGCCTGGGCGGGCAAGGCGCTCTCCCTGGCGGGCGATGAGATCACCTACGACCAGATGGTCGAGATCTTCGAGCAAAAGACGGGGCAGCCCATCCCGTCGACCTTCCGGGTGCTGTGCTCCATGTTCATGGCGTCGATGAAGGATATGGGGTATATGTTCAAGTGGTTCCACGATGAGGGGTACAAGGCGGATATCCCCGAATTGCGGCGGATGCACTCGGAGCTGAAGGATTTTGGGACGTGGTTGGAGACGGAGAGTGAGTTTGAGATGACAAAGTGAGGGGACACCGGGAGGTTGTTTCTGGGAATCCTATTTGAAGACGAATGTAAACTAGCAAATTGTTGTATACTCACTCTTATTGTGATAATTTTATGCTACGGTTAATGCCCTTAAGATTCTGGTTGTGTAGGGAATTATGCAGAAGATGGAAAGGCGGATGCAGGATGACTCAGCGGAAGCGGCCCGTCTGTCTCCTCGCGTCGATCATCGCGGCGAAGATAACTTCATCTTCATCCCTATCCCAAACACTACCGCTCGTTTCTCTTTTCAACTTGCAAGAATCCTCTGATTTCTCTGACACTATCCCCTGACATAATCTTGTTTTGTGGCCTCTTTTTCAAAATTAACGTCTACCACGCCCCGCGTAAGGATGCCGCCCTGGTCCGACCGGAAGACCGGCGGATCCAAACGGAGCTGCATTCGGTGCAACCAGCGAAAGGTGGGCTGCGACAAGAAGAGCCCCTGCGGCCGATGCGCCAAGGCTGGCCTCGAATGCATTCATCCGGGAGAGAAACGAGCCCCTCGGAAGCTGAGACGCCCGCCCGTCGCCGAGATTTTGGCTTATCTCAAGGAATTAGAGGCCGAAGTCGAGAGACTGCGCTCCGGGGCGAGGCCAGACGACCAGTTGGATCAAACATCCCAGCCTGCCACTGAGACCGGCTCGCGGAGCGATGGAGAGGGACTGGCTACGACTTCTCGCGGTCGGCTGGTCGTTCAGGCCGGACGGACCCGGTATGTTGGGGATGAGGCCTCGGTCATTCTCGGGGATAAGGTAGGTTTCTCTCGTTGAGATAATAGTACGCAGGCTCACCAATAATTCACAGATCCGAGAATTGCAGGAAGTATGCGATGAATCCTCAGAGGAGGATATTGACCCTCGACTGCGCCCTAGCAAAATTGGTCCAGCGCCAGTACCGTCCATAGGAATTCTGGGATCCGATCACGCAGCAGCAGGCCATAGTCCGCGCGCTTCGATGACGCCTCTGGCAGTATCCCAGTTACAGGCACTGTGGGAGATCTACCGTGTGAATGTAGCTCCTATGATTGCCCTCCTGCACCTACGCTCGATGGAGTCCATGATCCTGCAGGCGGCACAGGATAACGACAATCTAGAGCCTGAACAAGGAGCGCTCATCTCGGCGGTGTGCTTCGCAGCCGTAGTGAGCATGACACCACGCCAATGCATCTCACTATTTGATGAGCCGCATGATACGTGTATCGAGAACTACAAACTTGCCACGGAGCACGCCATAGCAAGGGCGAACCTGATCAGTACCCAGGACATCCGCGTCTTGCAGGCCGCCACTTTGTTTCTTCTCTGTCTCCGCCGATGCGGTGACTCGAGGCTTGTTTGGGCGGAAAGTGCCATAGTCGTACGGGTCGCACAGCGGCAGGGGCTGCATCGTGATGGTCAACGTCTGGGCCTGAGTCCTTTCGAGATTGAGATGCGTCGCCGACTATGGTGGCATATTTGCATTCTCGACATGCTCTGCTCCGAGGACCAGGGTACAGATACGCAGATCCGATCAGAGATGTTTGACACGCAAATCCCATCTAATATTGACATCGAGGTGATGGCGCCGGAGTTAGCCACCATGCCACTCCCAAGCTTGGGCTTCAGCGATATCACGCTCTGCATTGTGCACTGCGAAATGATGACCTACCTCTACTGGCCCAGCAAGTCTTTCGACGAGAGGGTCGGTGCGATGTCCTCGGAGCAGAGAAAAACTAGATTGCACGACTTAGAGGCCTATCTGGAGACCAAGTACCTACAGCGACTGGATCTGGACAGCCCGATTCAGTGGATCACGGCGGTCATCGCCCGGCTGACGCTGTCGAAAGCATGGCTGGTGACGCGCCTCACTGCTGCACCCGCAGAGCCCACCACCACCACCACCAACGATGAGATCTTCCGCATGGCGGTCGAGACGGTCAAATTCGCCAACCTGCTCCACCGGGACGTGCGCATCTCGCAGTGGGCGTGGCTCAGCAAAAGCTACAAGCACCGACACGTCGTGGCATACCTTCTTTCCGAGCTGTGCAATCGTCCCATCTCGCCCGACACAGATCATGCCTGGGAAGCTGTCACCCAGATTTACGATCAGTGGCAGCACGACGACGTTGAGACGAACGATATGCTGCAGAAACCACTAGCGCGGTTGATGGAGCGCGCGGCCCATCTGCGGAGAAAGAAAACACGCCAATCCACGAGGTATCTCCCCATCAACGCTGAAAGCAACCCGCTACAGGCAAAACCTGGTCAGTGGATACCAAGTTCAGGGGCGTCGGACGGACACGACACCGGCCTCAGCACAAACGGGATGGGCCTGACCCCTTCGCCGGAATCCGCCCTGGACGTTGCACAAAGTCTGGGTGAATTTTTCGGTGGCTCTACGTCTGCCATTGACTGGCTCACCGGATCATTGCTCTGATGAATACTAACGAGGGATGATTCATCATCTCCCGAGTGGCGACTGAATGAGACAAATCTGGATGGCACCCGCCCGCCAAGCTTGAGCTCGGGGTTGAGACTCAACCCGCGAATTAGTAAACGCCATGGTTGCAAAACCTATAAGAGGGCCGACTGTTTCTCAACTTACGATGATAACCATCTTTCATCTACCACCTATCTACTATTCAACATCTTGAAAACCCGTCCCTCAACTTCAAAATGGCCATTACCGTTGGTGTTGCCGGTATCACCGGAAAGTTCGCTCGCCGGGTGGTCAGCCACCTGCTGCAGCACTCCGACATCACCATCCGCGGCTATTGCCGTGACCCCAGCAAGGTCCCCACGTCCATCTCCTCATCCGAAAAGGTTGCCCTTCTAAAAGGGGATGCCTTTGACAGAGAGGCGATCCGATCTTTTGTAGCGGGCTGCGACGTGATCGTGTGCTGCTACCTAGGCGACGACAAGCTCATGGTGGAGGGCCAGAAGGCTCTGATCGACGCGTGCGAGGAGGTCGGGGTGCCTCGTTACGTCGCCAGTGACTGGGCTCTGGATTATACCAAGCTCAAGCTGGGCGAGCTCTTCCCGAAGGACCCGATGATTCACGTCAAAGCCTACCTGGACACGAAGGAGAAGGTCAAGGGGGTGCACATCCTGATCGGCGGGTTCATCGAGCCGGTGCTCAGCCCCTTTTTCAACATCCTCGACCCCCAGACCCACACGTTCCGCTACTGGGGTGAGGGCGACGAGTACATGGAGGGGACGACTTACGACAACGCGGCGGAGTTTACTGTCGCGGTGATCCGGGATGTGGAGGCTACGGGCGTTGTTCGCTGTATGTTTTACTTGTTTTTTGAGATGAAACGAGGGTACGTGGTTGCTAACGGATTCAAAATTAAGTCCTCGGTGGTCGTGCCACCATCCGTGAAATTGCACAATCCTATGAAAACGTCTACGGCGTCAAGGCCAACCTTGAACGACTGGGCTCCCTGGACGAGTTGTACAAGACCATGCACCAGAAACGGGCGGAGAATCCTGCTAACATCTACGGCTACATGTCGCTGTATGTCCCTTGATTCCCTCTTGGTTGAAGCCTCTTCCATTATCGACGGTTGGCACTAATTGTGATCTGCGTGATTTAGCTTCTTCTATTACTACTGGGTGAATGGACAGACTTTTGTTGGTCCTGAGACGGATAATGCCAAGTACCCCAATGTCGAGCCGGTTGACTGGGAGAGATTTATGAAGCAGTGGCCGCTGCAGCAGCTGCCTACCGCCTACTTCGCTTTGAATGCTTGATCCTTGCTAATGCTTGATCCTTGCGTTGGTGGAGGGGTTAGTGAAGGGAGGCGTTTCTCTTTTGGCGTATAAGCCGCAATCAACAGGGATTAATGTCTGCAAAAAAGAATGCGAAACATCTGATCCATCACCAAAACAACCAAGGTAGATGTAAAACAAGTGAAAGGGGATCGAGCGACAGGTCATCACCCAACAAATCGCAGCTGTGCGATAATGGATATGTTACACTGCAGGGGGAATCTAGGCAGCGCCAGGCACCAGCAGTCAGGTGACCCGCCTTGCATCCTGGTCTCTACAGAGACAAGAGGAGCTTTCACTTCTAGCTCACCTCAGTCTTCTCAACACAACTCCACTGGCCATAAATTCAATCCAAATCCTGCTTTCCAACAAGAGTCTCTTCCAAGCTAACACTCGCATTTCAACTCACGTTCCCTGGAGCAGCTATTTCATTCCAGCCACATATTTTCGCTGTCGGCCTTCACCATGGACGAGGGTTCCAATTCCAAGTGGGAGCCAACCCCTGAAGATGACGATCCTCTCAAACCCATGCGCACCCTCGTTGATCTGGAAGCTGATGTCTCTGCAGCGGTGATCCGTGTATGTGACTTCTCTTCCCCCAGCCGCACCCGCCCCTCGAGAGTCATCCACAAAACTGACAAGCGCATGAGTAGGACTGCAAACTAGACGCCTGCGTGGGCTGGTTCAGCGAGAAGATCAGGGCGCTGCGGCGATCTGCGAAGGTAGAGAAGACAGCAGACTGGATCAAGGGTTGGCCGGATGTGACTCGCTCGCCCCGGAGACAGCCCAGCAGGTGGAAGAGCTCAGAAGTGAGCTGAAGCATCACCTCGCTCGTCTCATGCCAGATGAATTCACAGAAGACATGGACGTCGCTGCGGATCATCCAGATATCCTGACCCGACTGGAGAAGTTACAGGACTCATGGAATTGGCGCTATCATAGGTATGGTATCAGATCACCCCCCGCTCCGAGTCATCGTATCAAGACCCTCCTAGATGGCTTGCTTCGGTCGCATGAGGTCCGGCTTCCTGGGACGCGGTCTGGGTCTGAGGGTGGGCATCCTCCCCTGACGGTGGAAGAGGCTACTGTGACGCGCGGATACTTCACTGAAGCCTGCAAGCGGCTTCGCACCGCCATCGAGGACGAAAACTCTTCAGCCCTGTTCGCCTGCGGTGGGAGTATTCCTGTCGTGGACCGTGGCCAGGCCGCGGCGGGAGACAAGACGGCGACAACGACGACGACCAGTCCTGTGCAGTTGTACTGGTCGACCGTTCGCAGTGACTCTACCGCTCGCAAGCTGGTGCTACCATTAGATGGGCTCGCCCCGCAGTCCAGCGCGGCCGCCTTGGATGACCTGGTGGCTGCCTGCCAGCCCGCCAGTTTTGGCCGCAATGGGGAGGAGATTCTGGACCCCAGCTATCGGTTGGCGGGGAAGATTGACCCGGCCAACTTTGCGTCCAGTTTCCATCCGGCAGACTTCGGAATCCTACAGATGGTCGAAAATGTGCTGCTCCCTGGTATCGGCGAGAAGGATCTTGGCTATGAGGATGATGGCTCTAAAAAGGTGATGAGCAAATCTGCTCGGCACTACAGAAAGCTTCACGCGGAACTTTACAAGTTGAACGTTTGTTCCCTCGATGTTTATTGTCTCAATAGCCAGGTGTGCACGCAGAAATCACTGACGCGGAAGATGATGATAGGTGTACTCCGGCCCATCGGGCCATTTCGCCACACATGTCGACACCCCCGCTCCGAGAGTCAGATCGGCTCCTTGGTGGTCTGTCTGCCCTCGCAGTTCTCCGGGGGTCGACTGACGGTGCGGCACGGGGGCCAGCAGAGTGCCTTCGATTGGAGCGAGTCCAGTCAATCCGCCATCCAGTGGGCCGCGTTCTACAGCGACTGCGAGCACGAAATCGAGACTATCACCGAGGGCCATCGACTGACGCTGACGTACAATCTGTACATTACCCAGGCCCCCACGGCAAAGATCGACGCATCCAGCCTGGTCCTTCAGCCTCAGTCTTTCCCGTTGTATAATGCGGTGCACGAGATCTTCTCTAACCCCCGTTTCATGGAGCAAGGTACGTGCCCCATCACCTCATCACATTTGACACACATATCCCAGAGTTCGTGCTCACAGAAATTGTAGGCGGCGTCCTCGGGATGTTCTGCTCCCACGCCTACGCGCACACCTCCAACGACGCACACGTGCGCCTGCCTCGGGCGCTCAAGGGCGCCGACCTCGTGGTATACTCGGTGCTGAAGAGCTTGGGGGCCGAGGTCAGTGTGCTGCCGGTGCTCGGCGAAGATGACCGCGCAGTCTGGGATGACTGGGAAGAAGCGATTTACAACAGCAGAATGTATCAGGGTCTGGAGACGTACCTCAAAGGAGGCGGCGAGCTGCCTAAGATAGAGGCGGACGAGTTTCTGGGCGCCGAGTATGGCCGAAAATATGATCTGGACCGTCGCTGGAAGCTGCTTCTCCTCATCCGGCGGGTGTCGGCGGTGCGGAGCGGGGCTCAGATCATGCACTCGATTGATAGCGAGAGACGCAGAAAGGGCAAAGATGCGGAAACCGTCGCAGATAGAGTGGGCGAAGATGAAGCAGAAGTGACAGAAGCAGAAGGAGTGGTGGATTGGTCCGACGGTCACTTCTACCGGAAACGCGGGACGCTTGTCGCGCCACGCCTGTGGCCGTACGGCACTACCAATTATGGCGAGCACTCGTCCACGGAAGAGGTGAGTTTGGATCTCCCATCCCCGAGTGAAAGAAAGAGAGGGGCTTGAGGGAGTCGATTGCTGACGGAGGCGTCACGACGTTCCATAGACCACAATGGCTGCGTGGCCTTTTCTCTACCTTCCGGGTATCACCTGGCTGAATCGACCCAAGCATGCGGAGATGGCGTTTAGTCATGTCACGTATGGTAACGAGGCCGGAGTCGGGACGCAATATTCCTATGCGGCGATCTTTGCGGTCATCCCACCGCTCGAAGGACGAAAGAAGCATTTGGCCCAGTGAAGGGAGGAAGGCCACTTGCCTCTCAGACTGTCTGCAATCCCGCTGACAGAATGCAGCTCGCAGGGCAATGGCTTATCTCTTCTTCTGTCTTAGGATTCTGTCGCCCATTCTTACTGGAGGTCTCTTGCCTTATACAAATGCAACACAATTTGCGACTCTTGTGATGTTTGTGTTTTTGCCTCGAGGAGCTCAACTAAACACGGACAACACGTTTCTAAGCGAAAAGTAAACTGGACTCCACCATTCATCTTGAACACAGTGTCTCTTTTCCGTCTCGAACCCCCGAAACGATAATTACTGGGATAAAATAAGCTACGAAATTAGATGGAGAGCTTTTCTCAGCTATCGGAGCATATTTTCACCCCCGCCAGCTCCCGCCGACTACGTAGCCTGTCATTCATCTTGGATTGATATACCAAGTGTATTGAGGTTGATTTCCTTACTCTCTGTGCCCATTTACCATCTCAAAAGTACATTTACCTCGTTCGAACACAGCCCTCTTACTTGAAGAATAAGCCACGTAGCCATCTCACCACCGATTGATCATAACCACCACCAACCCACCACTCATCCCTCCCAACTCACGCGAAAAGCTCCCTCCTCAGCCTCTCGGAATGCTCCACCTCCCACGGAAACTCCCTCTCGACATCCCGAATCAAGCGCTCATACTCCTTACTCCGGGGCGTCACACGGACTCCAAACGGGGCGGGGTGGCTAATCGTGCCCGGCAAGAACTCCGGACGCACCTCGACCTCCTCCCCCTGTTCGGTCAGCGCCTTCCCGACCCAACACGAGGCCAGCGTCTGCGCCACCGTCAGGAAGATATTCGAGTCCGCCAGGGTGCGTCCGGGGCAGACACGCCGCCCGAACCCGAAGGCGAGGTAATGCGGATCGCGCTCGGGGTGGGCGCCCAGGAAGCGGGCGGGGTCGAAGGTCATCGGGTCTTTGTAGGCGGCGGGGTCGTGGCAGAAGGCCCTGTAGTCCTACGGTTAGTTCTGGATGGGTGGGGTGGAGTATTCCGGGATGAGTGTTAGGGGGCAAGGGACGACGGACCAGATATTCGGGAGAATGATCGAGCCCTTAGGGATGAGGTACCCCCCGCAGATATCGTCCTCCATGGAGCGGTGCGGGATCCCCATCGGGCCGACGGGGTGCCAGCGCAGCGCTTCTTTGACCAGCGCATCGACGTAGGGCAGGTTCGGTCGGTCTGCGTCCGTGGGCAGTCGGCCGGGTCCGACCACGCGGTCGATTTCTTCCTGCGCTTTGCGTTGGACGTCCGGGTAGAGGGCCATGGCCAGGAAGAAGGTTGTTGTGGTGGATACGGTCTGTTTCCGTGGGCTTTAGTATCTTTACCCGATATTAGGAGAAGGGGCAGGGAAGGGTACCGTATCAGCGCCAGCGGCATACAGCGTGGCGGACGACCACTTGATGACCGTCTCCTCCTCCGTCCCTGGAGTCAGCACCTTACCCTCGAGCAGACTGGACGCGTAGGAGGGCTCGTAGCCCGGCTGCGCCATCTGCTGGTGCACAAAGGCGAACGGGATGTCGGCCACAGCTTGGCTTTGTTTGCGGAAGGACTGCGCCGTGCGCTGGAATCCGGCGCCGGGGAACCACGCGGGGATATGGCGGACTTTCGTCTGCGTCAGATGGATGGGACAGTCACAAGGGAAGGGGCAGGGACGACGTACGGAACGGCAGAACATCCACCATCCACGTTCCCGGGCGTACGGCCAGCGAGAACTGCTCGACGGCTTCGTCGGCCAGATCCACCAGCGGATCGCGCTTGTGCGGGTCGATGGAGTATCCGTAGGCAATCTTGAGGATCACGGCGCCCGCCAGTCTGGATGGTCAGCATTTCCTGGAATCTTGGGCAGGGGCAGAGAAGGGAGGTACGTACTTGCGAATGTGTCCCACCAAATCCTCGGGCTGGTTGATCAAGCGCAACAAAAACCGCCGCACTTCCACCTCCTGCAACGCGTTGAACCGCGCCACGCTCGCCTTGGACCCGATCTCGCGGTGCAGGCTCTTGCGGTACGCTTTGAAGCGGCTCGAGTAGGGAAGGATGACCAGCCCGTCGCCCCAGCCGGCGCTGCTCTCGTTAGCCTAAGGAGCAGGGCTATAGGGGATAGTGAGGTAGTCTCACAGTTCGGCAAATGGCATCTTGGGCCGATCTGAGTGGATGGCGGATCGCTTCTCCAGGAGATCAATCGCTAGATTGGCATCGTTGAGGATGATGAGTCTCTGTCCCAGAACGGAGACGGTGCTGATGGGTCCTGGGTTGGATGTGAGCGTGGCGCTCATGACTTCTTAGGGTTTCAACGTACCGTAGGCTTCCTTATGTTTCAGCCAATGTAGCCAGTCCGGACTGTCTGGAGAAGGAAGGTCGCGAATGTTGCCCACCAGTGGCAGAGGCGAAGGGCCCGGAGGCAAGGGTGCAGAGGCACGGCGCGTTGATGAGAAGAATTTGAGCAAAAGGTAGAGGCCGACAAGGCCAACGACGAGCGGTAACAGGTACATTGCGATGGGTTTGGTGGGGTTCTCAGGTGCAGGACATGATAGACGCATAGCGTTTAGGGCTGCAATGCACGGGAGGAAGTGCGTAAAGGTCGGTGGAGGCGACACGCGGGGAGAGAGTTAATATACCCATTTTCGCCTCCGCGATGGCGATCTTTCACCAAGCGAACTATACTACGGGCCGTCTGGACTCTGACCGCGGGTCATAAAAGCGAAGCGGTCGAGATGTTGCCAAGACGTGTTATATTGACTAGCACCGCGTGTGGGGATGATGATTCTACTCGAATTCTTGCGAATCACGGTACCGCTCTGGGTAGTATAGGTTTGACCCTTATAGTTGGGTCCCTGGGCTATTGGGCCATCGGGCAAATGCCGCGGTAACTCCTTACTGGGTCCATATGATAGGCCGGGCCTGAGCCGGCTCCAAAAGAAGTGGCACTAAATTGACGATACGAGAGAGAGTGGAGACTCCACTGAGGCTCGGAGTGGGGAGGCGAGTTTCACCATCCTTCCCGGTCATGGCTGCTGGCGAGAACATGTCGAACAGGGAGCACAGGGAGCACAAGGCCTATCAGAACAGCCTCATTAGCATGCATTGGGTTCGATGCGGCTCCAATCATGAACCCCGGATCGAGTTACAAGCGAGCAATCCGCAGGCTTATCAATCTGCCGGTTGGGCGTATGCATCACTAACTTAGCGGCCGGTGATGATGAATGCCTCAGGCATTACCTTACGGGGACATACAGTACATCTTGGTCGGCATCTATCTCGCTCCAAGTATCTCTAATAGGGCTTTAAGATGCATAGTCTGAGCCGAATCTAGTCTTTCCAAACTTCACTATCATCTTCTCAGCCATGCCTTCATCACACTACCCCATCCGGTGGGGCCCTATGCAAGCACGGCACAAAACCGTTATCTCGTGTCTGCAGGCCCGTGGCCAACGTGGATGCCGGTGCTTGGACTGCCTACCAAGACACTAGTGCGGCTGATTGATAACTTCTGACTCGGCAGGGCACTAAATGTGTCTCTTGCGCCAAGAAAATAATATAGAGAGCCCCGTTGGGTACAAAGTGATGACAGCAAGTCCCTCGCCGCTAGAGGTCCTAGCTCTACTGCTCCGAATTGCATGCATGCCTCCAAAACCATGCCAAAAAATCATTGACTAGTAGAAATATCCAGAGTGTACACGTTACTGCTTCTTCACCACTTCCCTCGCGATAGCATCCTCCACCAACTGCACCACACTCCTCCGGTCAAACACCTTCCGCGTCCACTCCAGGAGCACCTGCATGTACCAGGGGATCGCCCAGCGCAGCGGCCCCAGCCACCACGCCTTGGGCGCGACGATCATGGCGGCCCCACTGGCGGTCTGCGTTGCCATGAGCGTGGCCCCCAGCCCGGGGCTCATCGCGAGCCGCTGGCCGTGCACCGCGTCGACGAGGGACAGCATCCCCAGAAAGAACGCGGCGTCCATGTCCGGAGGGAAGTCGCTGGCGAGGGTGCCCGTGGGCGGGCCGGTGTGCGTCTTCGGATGGCCCCAGATCAGGAGGGTGGTGTCGGTGTGTCGGCCTGCAGGAAGAGTGCTGGCGTATGCTTCGCCTTCGGTGGTGGACCAGAAGGGGTCGTCGGGTGATACCCTGCCCTGGGCATTAGTATCATTGTGGAATGATCCGGAAGGGAGTAGCTCACGGCCAGAAGTTGTGCGGAAGGTATGGAGGGATGAGCGTCACACCGTCTGCCGATCGCGTAGGTAGCTGTGATGCATGACCCCTGCGAGATGCAGTCTGAGGGTATGCTCCCTCGGTCGTGTGGATGGTATCGATCACACCGTATGTGGTCGTAGTGCCTGCCGCGCCGGATTCCACGATGAAAGACTCGGCTTGGTAGAAGTGGATGTGGAGTGGAGGTGCCTGGGTGGGGATTAGCATTTGCCATGTACTTGCATGCACGAACGAAAAGAAGAAACACCGACTTGAGGATGCTGTTTCCCCAGCTTCGTCAAAGCATGCCCGCCAAAATAGGTCGCCCGCATCAGGACGGTGGCGTCCAAGTCGGCGGGTACCTGCAGGAACTCGATGACAAAGGAGCCGTCGAACATCTTGTGCGGGCCCCCGAGAGGGGCGGGGAGCAGGGGTTCATCGCCTGTGGGACGTAGGATTGGCATTTTTACCGAGTGATCACACCGAGAAGGAGCACAAGCTTGGAAGTTGACGGGGGGTGCTGGCAGGAGCTGGCAGGATACCACGGCGGCTTATAAGGGTTGATGCACGAGGCTAGCGGGGCCCAACCGGGCTAATCCACTTGCCCTCAGCCCCGGCCGTATGCTGACAAGCTATACGAGCCTGGCGACCCAACTCCATGGAGCAACGTTAGTCATGGACTTGCTCTCTTCTTTGTCAGTCTGACAAATGGAGCCAGATGGGAGTTGTTCTTGTTTTACGAGTTGGGCTTGCCTCCGAAGCAAGAGGACGGGGGCGTGTGGCACCATTATTTGGAATTTTGGACAGCACAGTCTCAGGGTCACAGAGTCGAGGCAAGGTCTCGGGGGGATTGCCTGTGGTCTAGAACTATCAAGATGTAAATGCCTGTAGATCAATCAAGACATCGCAAAGAGTGAGTTGGCAGCGGACAAGGATTCCGCCATTGCTGCCTCAGGCCTCACGCCCAGCTCCAGCCGTAACCAACTTCCAAATAAGGACTAGTGGGCTCATGGACGGCGGACTAGCCCGCAATTTCCGCCTTCGGGCAAAATCGGCCCATCGCCTGTCAACTTCGAGGGACTTTTTCGTTCTTCAAATTCTTACCTGGGTCTCTTCTGAGTTTTTACAAAGAAATTCCCTTCTTATCATTCTTAGCTCCCGATTCCATGGCACACCGCACTGGAACAGAAACGAAGCACAATTTTGACGCGACTCGGAAAGTGCACCGATGCGGGCTTCACATGGGCTTCAATTCGAATTGGTACATAGAACGGCGCATTATTCTACTGGAGTGGGGCTCTCCGCTGCTGTCGTCGCAGCTACAGAGGAAGGCTGAACAAACCATTCTTTGGCAAGATAGTTTCTACTTCGTGGTCATAATTCTTCGTTAGGCATGCAGCGACATTCAGATCCTGAGAATGCACCCCTCATTCAACGACCTCCGTAGTCTCCGGCTCTCTGGGTCCTTTGCTTAGCCCCGGAGAATCTTGCGTCGTCCCAGGCTGCGGCACGATCGTGTAACGCACGCGATTGCGCAGGAACCACCTGGATCCATTAGTATGGACTTCACACGAAGTGCATTGGGGCACGGGACGAGGGAATCGACATACCATAGGGCAACACTCAACACCGCTATTGCCGGCACCCCCAGTCCCACACTCAAGCCTATGATCAACTTGTTGTTCTTGCCATGGTGCTCGTGGGTTGCCGTACTATTGCCACCAGTCGCAGAACTGCTGGCCGATGTGGTCTGAGTCGGTGGAGGGATATAAGATACCGGGCTTCCGGAGGTCGCGAGCAGCGTGCGCGCCCCCGATCCAAAGGGGCTGGCACTCGGCAACGAGGTGAACGTGTTCGTTGGGAAGATCGCTGCTGCCCCGGACGCCACGGTCAAAACTGTGGTCAACTCGGTCTCGATCGACGTGGTGTTCTGGAGCGCGACGGGGCAGTTGACGAGACCGCTGGACGCGCACTGCACGAGGGTATACCGGGTTACCGTGGAGAGCGTCGTGGTCTCGAGGCTCGCGTCGCGCTGCGCGAGCGTGGCCGACGGAGTGATCGTCGATGAGGCTGTCGTGGTCGTCTTGCTGCCCGCGCAGAGACTGGCGAGGGTGGTGTAGAAGACCGGCACGGTGGTGTTGGGCGAGGGCCCCCATTGATACGTATCCACCGCGACGGTAGCACCGGCCGCCGCGCCCACCGCGAGGGTATATTCAGCCACCGCTTGGAACGCGCAGTCGGCGTCCTCGCTAGTCGTGCCATTGACCTCCAACTGGAAGTCGGCCACGTAAGCGAAGACCTCTGCGCCAATGCCCGCACTGAAATTGACGGCTTCAAGCACGGAGAGCGACTCCGCGGGCGCGATGTCGAATCCCACGCTGGCCTCCAGCTGTAAGAGGGCCTGGAGGCTTCCGTAGCCCTGGATGGCGATCGGCAGGAATTCAACTTTCCCTCCGGGACTGTTCACGTCAGTGGCACACCCCTGGCAGCACTGCATTGTGGAGAGCAGCGTAGGTTGATTCCCACAATGAGGGTAGACTCACAGTGTAATGTCCGACATCCCCTTGTTGAACAGATCGAGCGCAAGCACCAGCCCGTCATCCAATTTGATATGGATCCCACTACTAATATCGACCTCCGCCTCGGCGACCAACACCAGCGAGACCTTGAACAGTGCGCCCGCGTTGAGCCCCGGGATCGAGATGCCCACGATGCTCTCCGAGGTGAACAGATTCAATGTGTACGTTCCACCGGCCGACAACTGTACATCCAGCTCCAGGTACAGCTCCAGATTGTCAAATTGCAACTCAGCATGAACGCCAGGGAAGTCCTGGGTTGTATTCAGAGTGAGGTCGAGATCCAGCGTTGGCCAGGCGGGCATGTCGACCAGTTCGAAGTGAGTCACGCCTTCGACAAAATCCTCCGCTGCGTCGCGCGCAAATGTCTTGAGCTGGTTGATTGCGACATCTGTCACGTTTGCGAGCTCGTCTGTGATGCTTTCCACGAGGTGGGTGACGTTCAGGTTGTCCTCTACGGTAAGGAAGCCGCTGACCGAGCCGTTGATGTAGCAGGACGTGCATATGACAGCGAGGCCTACTTCGACATCCAGAGATCCTTGTTTCGATGTGCTAGACTCACTGGGGGTGGAAGAGTAACGTCAGCTTACGTGTGATGAATTTTCATGCTGGGCGAGCCGCGCGGTACCTCGCTTCGATCGAGAAAAGAGTGGCATCGACCAAGCTCTTGGTTAAGGCTGTCTCGTTGAGTCTGTAGGTCGTGCCTCCCACTGCGCGCAGGGCTTGTTTCACCGCAATTGCGGTGTCTGGGTCGGGGCCATGATGATTGGGTCCCACAGACGAATAGCCTGTACTAACCGCATGCACGATGCAAAAGAATCGCAGGCAGGCGAGAACGCATCCGCCCCAGTACATCATGATTTCACGCTCCAGTCCCACACTATCGCTCCCCTGCCCCAGCTCTGGGGAACCAGACGGAATAAATAGCTTGGGCGAAGACTTCGTCGCATTGCTAAGCCTCGCTAAGCCCAGCAACTAGTCTGCTGCAGCTCGCTGTGCCGCAGGGCGAGATTAGGCCATCTGCCAGCATAGCCGACACCGTCAGCACGCTAGCAGGGGTGAGCTGCCCATTCCCCTCACCAGGATTCGCGCACGCAAATCAACTCGCTAGCTCTCAGAACTATTTGTTGCTAGCTATCTTGGATATGAAATTGCTCATCTATTTTCTAGCTGTGGTCAGCACTAGTTATGCACCATCTCCATCCACTTAACCACAATGACAGCGGCCGACAGCTAGCGATCCCTTCATATTGTGGCTTCCATGGCATCGCCGCAGTCAGCCTAAGCCTTCTCTTGGTTGTATAGTTCAAGGACACAAAGCGGCCGGGATGAAGTGGAGCGACATCACTGCCCTGGGGCTCTTTTCTTAGGCTCAAGAGATGGTAGTAAGGCGTTGCCACGGCATTCCAACTGTATTTCCTGATACGCACGTTTCTGCGAATATGTATCCAACGCTTCATGTTGCCTTCACAATTTTAGACATCAGACCCAGCAGAAGCAGTAAGAAATGGGTACAATATAATAAAGATCGGCATAATCGTTTGTCTTGCTGGGAAAATGACATCGCCTAGAATCCAAGGACATTTAGACAATCTTTGAGGGCTGGCGAGTCCTGCCGTTGTCCACGGCACTTCTTCTGTGATAAGCGATTTAAACGCCCCCTATCGAACACGATGCGTGATGTCAGTTCCCAGTCCTCGAGATTGGCAGACCTGTACACTCAGTAGCACATACACGTCCCGTTCTCCCGGATCAGTTCCATCAACTCTTCATGGCGATCGCGCAGGTGATCCAACATCGCACGATCGGAGTCAAAACTACGGTGGTCTTTGATCCCCCGATCGCATTCAAACAACACCAGATATGCCCGTGACTATCAGAGCCATAATCCCAGGATGGCTCTGAAGAAGCCCGCCGAATGCGCTGCGTATGTCGGCCGTGGATATGCTCAATCAAATCTGCCGCGTCCCGGCATTCGTTACCGTCTTCCGTGCAGGTGTACGATGACATGGTGTTCTCGGTACAATAAAGAGTTGATGCTTGGTGATCATGGAAGATGAATATTGTAGGGAATTCAAGATGGGAGGCTATCTATCGTGATAGTATATAAGAGGACACAATTCTGGATCTGCGTCGTCACATAGATGTCACCAACTGCATGTGTACTTACAGAATGCGTGCAGTGCGTCCCGTGGGTGCGATGTAAAAGGCACCTTGTAGCTGCTGAGCATGTGAACATTATCTCATAATGGTACAGGTTTGATAACCCTATACCCAATCACTCGTTTTGATAAGAGGAGATTGAAGCTAGATGTCAGCACACTACACCTAGAGGAGCAGCTGTTTCTTCTTTCCGGGTCCTCTCTTGATCGTTGGCCCATGGATTCTCATATGAACATATCTCCGAAGCTTGACAGAATGTCGTTCTGTGTCCTGTGTATCGACACAGACGAGCCACCGTCGTCAATTTGTTCATTTCTGGTCTGCTTCACAAATCACTCAAGGCAGTGAGAATGTCAGGATTACCCCCCCCCCTCGCATTAGACCTGCTCACTACCGGCCGACTCCTCCCGCTCGCCATCCTCATCAACGTGGAGGGTATCCCACTTCTCTAAAAACCTATCCAGGTCAACGTCATCCAGCTGCGACCGGTCACCACCCGTTTTGGACAAGGAATTCGGGTTCGGGTACAGACTCTTGAAACGCTCGCGGTCCTTGCTCTCCCACATCGCCTGCTCGAACTCGGTGAAGAGGGCGTCGGTCTCGGGCGGCAGCACGACGCTATTCTTCTGCGCCGAGACCTGGATCATGCGCAGGATCCCCTTCATCAGGGTCCATTTCCGAGAAAGGGCGCGGGCGAACACGCAGAGCTCGGTGAATGAGCTCTTGTACTCCGGGTCCGGGTGGTCCAGCACCTCAAGCAGGGTGAACAGCGCCATGCTCACCCAGTGGATGGTGGTCGGGTGGATGTAGTCGATCCCCCAGCGCGTGCGATGGATGCGCAGGAGGCGTACGATGGCCAGCGCCGACTCCACGCAGAGCTTCCGCGCGGTCGCGGCGGTGGCGGCGCGGTCGCTCTCGTCGTCGTCGTCTTCTTTGTCGGCATCATCAGGGTTAGCTTCGCCCTTTAGGAGGCCCCAGAGCATGATTATGAGGGTATGGTAGAAGAAGCTGGATGATGCGTTAGTCCATTTTCCATGGCCGCATGTAGTTTCGAGAGTGAGAGAAGAGAGTGGGAACGGAGCTGAAATCGCAAGACTTACTGCAAGCTAAACGCCTGCGGGACAGAGCTGTTTTCGAGGGTCAGGCATTCTGGTAGTTGCGCTCTCCAATCATCCAGCCTTGGTTGCACCTCTTTCAAAGTCCGGTGCAGGTCGCCTCGTGGTAGTTTTGACCCGGTTCCAAATATCGATTTGTTGGTATCCACGTTGATTTTGCTCAACTCACACCAGCTGTTGAAGACACAAGGGATATGCGACTGCAGTGGGGTGGCCTGCGGCTGGGGATAGGGCGACCAGGTCTCATCTTCGGCGTGATCGCATGGAAGAAGGGGCCTTCCGGGCTGCTCGATGGCCAGGTATTTCATGTATGCGATCGATGCAGTCCTGGGAGCTGTGAGCCGAATTGCGACGCGACCACCGAAATTACAACAGGAGCAAAAGATGAAGATAGCGGTGCAAAGCACACAAGTACGCACGCTGTGAGGCAATAGAGGCCCCAGATAGTATTGTTGACTGCGCGGCTCTCCCGGGTCTCCACCGACGGTGGTCGGTGTCTTTTTGAGTACTCCTGGGCCATATCGTTGATCTGGCTCAGATACCACCATCCCACACGGTCCTTCCCCATGGCTGCCATACTAGAGATGGTTCTTCAGCAGGGGAAACCCGGTTGCAAGGGTCGTGAATGAACTCACCACACATACATCACCCCAGAACCTTGGAGGGTGGGCACATCCAGCTGCCCTTCTACCTTCTCATAGTGTCGTCGGGCCTCCTCATAGAAATGCGCCCCCTTCGAGTTAGGATCATCAGGATCGGCGTAAGCTTCCGGATAGTCGGAATGGAACTGTGATCGCATGGGGGGTTAGTGGCTGTTCCGCAACTCAGCCGAGTAGTCAGTCATCTTACACAGGCTTCTGCAAGAATGCAGTTGAACAGGAACGGAGAGCAAAATGGCGAGTCGAGCTTGCCTGATCGGGCATCCCGAAGGAACAGGTCGCGATCGACCCAGTTGTAAAAGGGGTGACTCCAGGTGAACCAGAGAGAGACAAGATGCGATACCAGGTCGTCGGAGGTGGTAACGGAGGTCCAGGGCGCGGCAGGTACCCGGTACACGGGGATGTCGACCAAGCGGTTAATATCCATGGCTCGGTGGACAGAGACCTTCTTATTGGCCGCATACAGGAGTTCATATCGATCTTCCCCGGCCAAATACTGGTCCATGTAGAGCTTGAGCTCGCCCAGCGGGGCTTTACTGCGCACGAGATTCAACAACTGGGCGGCCTTGGCGTCCGAGCTGTCGCGCAGCGAGTGGACGACCTGCAGTAGAAGATCGCGCTCCTCCTCGAGTTTTTCGATCTTGCGCTTGTGGGCCAATCGCCGGCGGCCATCGTCGTCGAGATCGAATACACATTGCAGCTTCTGCTTGGTACACCGGTCGCAGGAGGTGGCCCCGTCGCGCACGCGACACTGTGTCGGGGGTTCAGTCGTGCAGGCCAGACAGGTGGTGAACAGGTGGTGACTACCTTGGATTTGAGTCGCTTACACTCACTACACGCCATCGAGGCTTTTCTCTGTGGGGGGAGCGACATGTTGGTGGGTGGCGTCAGATACCCTCGCGCGCCCTCACGCGCCGACGGGGCGGGGGCAAGGGGCTGCATTGGAGGAAAGAAGAGGGGGGAGGGTGGACTGGAAGGGAAGGAAGGAAGTTCAAGATGAGTAGACGAGGGCAATGGCCCATTTTCATACTCAAGTACCTTTTCTCCAAGCCAAGCAAGGGGACTAAAGAAGGGAGTTGAGCTCAGGGCTACCCAGGCTGATGCACGGGCGAACCTGGGGGGGGGGGGGGGGGGGGGGGGGGAAGAACAAGTCATTTCGCATGCTTGAAGGCAGGATATTTATTCCGAGCCCCGCCGGGATCGACCGTCCTTTCCCCGTGAGTATCGTATCTAATCGCTGCTCCGTAATCTGTATTTTACCGGAAATCAGCTCCGTGGTTTACATTAATGAGAGTGTGTGAGAGTGGAAACGTTTGCCGACTAACCCTCACCCTTGCAGCACTTTGGCCGCTTGGCAGCAATCGATCGACAATCGATCGACACTCCAGAGGCGAGCCCATCCATTACCCTCTGACCCAATTCGCTAGGAATGTGAGCACGGTGAGAAAGAATATAATCCACAACCGTCGTCCACATGAGCAACCTGAAGACCTAGTTGCCATCGTTAATAATGCAGCTTGGAAGTGGCCAGTGGCCAGTGGATGAGTGCGCCCTCCAGTTAGCTTGAGGCGTCGGCTATTCTTGCCCCAGGAGCTTTCTCTCTTGCCGGCGGCGAAATTAAGGCTAGGATCGCATACAAGCACACAAATCAGGCCAGATGTTGACCGACGCATCAGAATTTCGAAGCCTAGTTTTCGACACCCCAGATCCTTCCCGTATGGCAATAGCGCTACACCTGTGGTCAATCTTCAGGCAAGGGACTGATTGAACGATGGTTTCTATTCGCACCGCTTGTGCTCTTAGCTGAATGAAGGCACGCAAATCTAGGTTGAATTTTCTTCTATGCATTGACGTCAGTCCGCTGACTAAGAGATGTGTAGCTTCACAGCAGCCAGGCTCGTTACTGTTCCGTTCTGAACCGTCATGGGTATTCTGTCTCTCGTACTCGTTTCAGTGTTCTAGACCCTAATAACACTCGCCACGGTGGCAACCAGCTCCCCCTCATTCGATTCATGGGTCTTACATCACCATCAAAGGATAATAAAACCCCCCTGAACAACCCAGTACATAGCACAGGGGAGAAATACAACATCAAGTTGCGAATTGTTGTCTGACATCTCATATACCGGCATGGTATATGTTTACTGAGGGCTATACATCATCATGATGTGTCCTCCAAATGAGGTTGGGCCATCCTTACCACGGAGCCTCTCGCACCCAGAGGTACTTAGTCTTCACCTCAGACCTGTTCCACCAAAGGGTATCTGGTCATGGAAACGACCCGATCCCCCTTCATTTCTCGCCAGCTGGGAATCACAAACCCAGTGCCAAGGTAGATCCAAACCACGGCATACTCCATCAGCAGGCCCATGAGAACAAACGGAGCGATCGGACCGGCGAGATCGTTCCATCGGAGATCGGTCGCATGGAAAACCGAGAGAAACAAATAGGTGATGCGCACAACGAGGAAGGGTAGGGCCAGAGCCATCGCCTTGAGAATCTGTGGTTGCGCGGTTAATACAGGCAGGAACGCTATTGGTGTTTATCGTGAAGACAGAAACCCACAGTATAGCTCATGTGCGAGAGGTCAGGAAGATGCATCCAGAAGTACGCCTGCACGAGGAGCAGACAGGCTTCGAAAACCACAACAATGCTATATCCAGCCTTGACGAGCTTCACCCCCGTCGCGACATCGCTGGCACTGTCGCTCCCTTCGAGGCACCCGCCGGCAATCTGCAGCCCCAGTCCGACAAAGAACAGCATGCGCGAGAACATCAGACAGCGGTTGATTCGTGGGTTGACTACCTCCTTCTCGTGTGCTAGGATGATGCGGATGAATCCCAGGGTCGCGGCGATCAAGGGGAACACGCCCGTATTGAGCAGGATGATCGAGGCGACCATGATGCCAGTTCGGGGTTTGTGTTCAAACAGAATCACTAGAATGCCGGCGGCGACTCTGACTTTTAGATGTGTCAGAATCACCATTCGCTTATAGCATACTCTGAAATCCGAGGGTGTTTATCGACTTACTGAGCGAGAAAAAGAGTATGATCAGCCATGACATACGCGGCCGCTTGTGGCGGTAGTATGCGTGGTATGCTGATACGAAAATGACAGGGATATAGAAGATGATTTGCGCGATGCTGGCTTTGGAGTGGTCGTTGAACATGATGGCGTGGTTGACTGCTGTGTGAATATATACGGAGGATCAACCCGCAACAGATAAATCTGAAAGGCGATCGAGAGATGAAGATGTTCACTGAACTGGAAAGTGGGAGAATGACCGAGTCAATGCCAATTGAGAAGTAGCTCTATGATGCATCTTGCTGGACCGTTTCTCTCCTTTATAAACATTTTCTTCAAGATGCAATGATGCGATGTAGGGCTTCCAGGTGTCGGGGACAAGCTCAGCCTCCGAGATCTCGCAGGATGAACCCCCTTTTCGGACTAGCGGCGATGTTAGTCATCCACATCCCCCCAATCTTTCCCAGTTGGGCATTGACTCAGCCCCAAATCAACTCCCTTGGCCATCGATCTTGGAAACCTCATGGCACGCAAGATGCAGCCAGTTTAGGACCAAATCCACTCTGACAAGGGAGCCTCGATCTTCTCACTCGCTTGGCTCACCTCAGCCATCTCAGATCAAAATTTTTGTCTTGTCCACACCGACTGAGGGTTGATTCCACGGCAGCCTTACGGGGCAATTCAGGCCCCACTCGGGAAGCATGGTTGGAGTCGCCGGAAAATCCAAGGGTTGCAATACCTGTCGAGCACGGAAAATCGCGGTATATGCCTATTCCTCCTCCATCGTTTGTCTGGACACTGAATGTCTCGAGTTAGTGCGACCAGCAAAAACCGGCATGTGCTCGATGCGCTCGATCCAATCGAGTGTGTGGCGGGTATGAGCGGAGCAGGGTCTTTGTCACGGTCCAGCCAGGAGCGAAGAAGAAACACGTGTATCTCAAGTCTTCTCCCTCGCCGTCAGAATGGCCAACTGAGGGTTCTCCGCGCTCCGTCGAGACATCGACACTCACGCTTGGTGGGGACGATCAAGCACTCTGCTCATTCGGGGAGAGGGCCCCGGCTTACACCCTGCTCCGGAGACACCACGAGAGCCACAACCTGGTTTTGTCTTTTCTTGCCAATTGTCTCCCACCGGAATGGTCCAAGTCCCCGTCCAAATCGTGGATCACACTTCTTACAGAGCTCCCCATAAAGACTAAAGCCCTGGAAGCAAGCGGTGTCGCCCTCGCAGCCGCAGCAGTCGGCCACAAATTCAACGATCCGGCATTGGTCCGGTACAGCCACAGCCTCTACACCCGAGGACTTCAGCAACTGCAGCGCGCGCTGTGGAATCGCAGGCTTGCCCAGGATGATGCAACGCTGGCTACTTGCATGGCTCTAAGTCTGTACGAGGCAACGGAATGCCCGAATGCCGGGTCAGAGGGGTATTTTGGTCATTGCCAGGGCCTTCTTGCCTTGGTGGAAGCGCGTGGGATTGAAGCCCACTGCTCCGGCCCGGGCCACCAGCTGTTCCTCGGTGTCCGAATGCCAGGGGTGAGTTCCTTGCTAGCTGGGTCCCGAGCCGACAAGCGATCGAGTCATTTGTGTGAAACTCACCTTCTCGACCACAGATAATCTACGCCCTGGAAAACCACTCTTCGAGCTTTCTATCCGATGCTGCGTGGCTAAATCAACCGTGGGGTCGAACCCCGAAAACCCCCTTTACGCAGGTAGTCGATTGTCTCGCGCAGGCGCCCGGGATTCTCCAGCAGGTGTTCCTCCTACCCAGCCTAAGCCCTGACCAACAAATCGAGGCCTGTTTCCAGCTGATCACGGAATGCTGGCAAATCGACGCAAAGCTGGACATGGTCTATGCTGCCATGCAGGGTGGCAGCTCGGACCCGCTTTACTGGCCGGTTGCCTCGAAAAACCCCCCTCAGGCAGCACCCGAGCATACAGAGAACCTCTTCCCGTTCGTTTTCCACTTTGCAGACTTCGAAACCGCAGCGACGCTCATCCTGCTGTGGGCGGTGCGGGTCCTGCTGTGGTCGGGTCTGTGCAATTTGTACGATGGCATGTTTCCGAACAGCTGCATGCTACCAGCTGATGAGTCAGTGGGGCCGCTTCGAGCCCTCGGCTATCGGAGGGAGTATGTCTCTATGGCCCATCATGTCTGTCAATCGGTTGAGTATCTGATGCAGGACGAATTTCTGCTCGCAGGACCGCTGTCGGTCACTCCGGCGCTGGGAATCGTGATCGACAGTCTGCGGTATCAACCCGGCCATGCCGCGGTGGTTGCATGGCTGCGGGCGGCCCTGGACCTCGTTCGGCAGAAGGGGTTGGGAGTGTTGGAGCATAGTCGTTGATTTGTCCGATCCGTTCGGAATCACGGACTGTACGTATTGTACTATGTAGCACGGGCGCATATAACATGCAGAAGACCCGGCCTTGTTGTAGGCTTATCAACCCTACTGTTTTCTTGGGACCAATACTTTCAAGGCTATCGACAATAAGAGCCGTGTTGGATGTCGAATGTAGCTGTTGTTTGCTACGAATGGGCCCTGAATTGTCGTTCACCGATCGTGCCAGCTGCGCCAGCCCACGAGCTCCTGTATCAGATCGCGAGAGAGACTGCCCAGAGTTTGTGACTGCCCTCTACTAAAGGCGCCAAGCCCCGTCTAGATGCGGAACCAACTCTGGTTGGCATGCGCAGTCTAACCAAGTGGACTTGTGTTGATGACCGCGCCGGGCCGGACTTTAGGCTGAGCAGGAAAATTAAACTCCGCTCGCTGACACTGACGTCGACCATGAAGGGAGACGCCATGGAAGGTGTTAGCAAAGCCCAATGGCATAAAAGAGGCTTGTCGCCTGGGATTGCGGATCAAGCGAAGCCGTGAAAGCATAAACATCAAAGACCACATTACTCAGTTCCCTTTCTGACTCTTGGTTTCTCTATTTCTTCTTCCTTTTCTTCTCCTCCTCTTCTACCCGAGACCGACCGGCAAAAAAATGGCGACAAGAATCATTGTTGTAACTGGTAGTGCTTCAGGTATGGGCCTCGCAACGGCTACCAGCCTTGCCAACAGTGGACATCATCTGGCGCTCTGGGATATCAACAGTAGCCGGCTCGCGGAGGTCGCAAAGTCCCTTCAAGATCAATACGCGGGCAAGGTTTTGGCACAGACCGTCGACGTTTCGGACCGTTCCGCGGTCAAGGCTGCTCTCGCGGAGGCACAGCATCACCTTGGCGCTATTCATGGGATTGCTAATTTTGCGGGGACCGGAGGTCGACAGCTGGGAGTGGAGTCGATCTGGGAAACCAGTCCAGAGGAGTACGATTTTATCGTCAACCTGAATATCAGAGGGCTGTTCAACATCCTGGGCGAGGCTCTGACTCCTGGGTTCCTGGGTGAACTGCAAAGCGTCGTGCACGTTGCGAGCATGTTCAGTACGCGGGGCTACCAGAAGGGGGCCGTCTTTGCTGCTAGCAAGCATGCCGCAGTCGGGATGGTCAAAAGTGCAGCTCTCGAGGTGGGATGCAGGGGCATCCGGGTGAATTGTCTGTTGCCGTATGTTTCATCCCTCTGGTCTTACCCTACGTTTTCTTGCCGATTTCTCAGAGACGAGTACAGTGGAGCTATCGAGACGCCGATGTTTCATGAGGTTAGGAACAACGCTGGTCTTTCTTCCTCCGCATCGAATACGCCGATTCCTCGGCCAGGTCAACCGAGGGAAGTGGCAGATGTGGCGACGTTCTTGCTGAGCGAACAGAGCAGCTATGTGACAGGGGCGGTGTGGAATGTTGATGGGGGCGCAAATGCTTGAATGCGAGTTGTGTGTAGCGACATCAAAGGACTGTTTTGATTGGAGTCTGTCGGAGTACAATTCATACCGTATTGATTTGAAAAGGATACTAAACTTCAAGAACAAAGTCTTGTGATTGACATCACATGCACTAAACCCCTCTCGCGTCTACCTGTCCAAGCTTCCACACCAGTTCATTAGATGCAGAGGAATTCAATTGCTCTGGATATCAAAACTATTCTCAATCCATCCATCTATCCTCCACCTTTCTGAGGCGTTATCACACTTAGTGCATGTCTGAGCTGTGGGGAGGAACTTGTGCCGTATGGTATACACTACTGTAGAAGCCTTTCCATGATTGATTGGGTTGTGAGGGTGGAGACCGTTCGGCCAAGCTTCCTTTTTCTTTTTTTGTTTTTTTTTCCCCTTTACCTCGGCTGATTACGCATGATCAAACCCAGTCTATGAAGACATAACTAATTTTCCAAAGGAGTGCAGTTACATACTAATAGCATAGGATTAGTCCTATCTGGCGCCGAATTCAATGGGACTACGGAGCACTTCGTAATATTATTTTCAACCTGATTTCACCGCATGAGAGGAAACGTCGGCTCTGCAGGTGAAAATGTTCATTTGCCTAATGCGGGAGATTAGGCGGCCCCTCGATCGCGATAAGCCAATGAAATTGCCGGCTAGTTACTGTATGCGGCAGTTTTCATAGAGGGGAGAGGCGAAACTGAAGCATAGATGTATTACGGCCCAGTGCAGCGCTGCATAGCCTTCCTGTACCTATTCGCCCTACAGCACGTGGACAGTTCCAGAATCGCATTGGAGTGGTCCGCCTTTACTCGGTGGTAGGATCGACGGTTCGGCTGAGATCATCACCCTGATCTCGATCCCTGGTTCTTGGCATCCCAGTCCACTGGTGACGCACAAGAGTATTTGGGGCTCGGATCGTTTATCACTACAGTTGTGTGCCAAATCTCAATACGTGTAGCTATTTTTTTTTTTAGTAGCCACAGGCTTCGCAGTCGTTGCTAGACTCTTTTAATATAATCATTTCAATGGACGAGGTAAATAAGTACTGTACTGTACTCATGCTTTTGTTGAAGCAGTAGCGTTCGGTCTACTGACTTCACTCAGCACTCAAGCCCATCTGGCTACGGATTAAGTCTCATAGTCTTTTCAGCATGTATATTCTATGTCGCCCTGGTCATGACATCGCTCAAACTCGCCATTCATTGTTGGCTGTCAAAGTCGAGCATAGCCGAGGATCTGTGTGGTCTCGGGGCCATTGTAACCTGTGCGGGGATGCTTGCGACCATTATCTTAGGTACTGTACTATCTCAATGACGAAGGTTCTCTCAACTCCCGCTAATCAGTCTGTAGGAGTCCTGCGTGGGATCGGCCGCAGGAGCGAGGAAGGCGGGATCGATTATGATGCCCTTGGAAAGGTTCGAGCACAAGCGGAGAAAGATCTTCCACAGCTGAAACCACCGTCTCTAGATCCAACTGGCCGTGCAGGTTCTCTACATCACCTCCGCTGCGTTGGTGAAACTGTCGATCCTTTTTCTGTACCGCCAGGTCTTCCAGCACATGCGAACCATCATCACCATCACCATCGCGGTGATCGTGGTGATCACCGTCGTCTTCATCTTCGTGGCCATCTTCCAGTGCCACCCGATCGGGCGATTCTGGTTTGAGCCCAAGGCCGCACAAGGGGCATGCATCAGCCAGCTCATCTTCTGGTGCGATGTGGCCGTGGTCTTCCTGATCAGTAATATCTGGATCACAGCTTTGCCTGTTCGGCCAATTTTGGGTGAGTCTTCAACGTTGGACATCTCACTGTGAGAACGTGGTTTGAGCATGCTCTAGGTCTTCACGTGAAATGTCGGTTAAGGACCGGTATTCTGCTGCTGTTATGCTCAACGGGTCTGTTGTGAGTCCCGTCTATGCAATGATCGATCCGACCGGACGGAACTGATGGACCTAATCAGGACGTGTTCGATGGCAACGATCCGCCTGGCCTACATCGTCAAGCTCTACAGGGGCAACGATCCGACGAGAGACATCGTGCCGATCTACTTCTGCTCCGTCGCGGAGATATGCGTTGCGCTGGTCTCTTTGAGTATACCCTCCCTGCGCTTGGCCGCCCGGCGGAAATGGGCGAGCCCGGCCCCATGCTGATTCTCCGGCTCGGCTGCATTACTTGAAGATATAACACTTTTGCAAGGTAAATAACACTAATCGCCAATGAAACAAGAGATTACTCAATGGCATATTTCGACAGAGCAACTCTTTTACTTACTCGGAGGAAGTGTATGATAGGTATGCTTTGGAGCGTAGATCAAGTAAAGAGCAGTAGTACTCTCGACAACCCTTGTCATACAGGCAGACATACTGGCAAAGAGTCTTGAACCTCTATCTCTTAACCAGCAGATTCATATGGAACATGTCTCATTCTACGTGTATTGACCTGACCTCAGTCTACTTTCTCACTAAACTTCTACATAAACAATGTGGCCAAGCAGAAAGGCTCTGGGGTCAAGCCCTCACAAGGTCTGGGTGTTGCAGTGAGACCTCGGAGTCTACCGCTCCAGCCACATGTTATCGTTCACCCTCCAGAAAGGAGGGGCCAGCTTCGTCTCATGTATCTAGTCTTGTCGCGAAGGAGAAGCGATGACGCCAGCGTGAATGAATTGATCCATTCTAGCGAACACAAATTGCAGGAGGAAAGTTAATCCAACCACTCCCCAACCCACTTCCGAAGCCATTCCGGCTGCACCCCCTCCACCTCCTGCAGTCGTCGACTGATCTCAGCTGTCCGCACCGTCTCCAACGCATTCTCCGACTCAGTCTGTCCGACCAGCCCCTCGAATAAGTCCAGCAGTTTGGCCGCCGGATTACGCGCCAGAAGAACCTGTAACTCCTTCTCATCGAGCTTCTGACGGCCCTCCCCGCGTCCAGCGGTCTCGACATCCAAACGAACCCGCTGCACCCACTCCCGCAGTGGGACTACTTCAGGTCCAGTAACACCGCGCCGCGCCGCGAGTTCCTCGTCGATAACAGGGAGGACCCTATCCCAGGACTTGGGGTGAAGGTTAAGAGGATGGTAAACCTGCACCTGCCCCCGCGCAGAATCAGCCATTTTCCCACCTTGGGCTCCGCCGAGAAGGGCTAAGTCGACCAAGACCTCGGCCAGAAGATCGATTGGGACCCAGTCGATGCGATTCAATGCGGAACCCAATGTATCTGGAAGGAATTTGAGATGCCACGAACTCCGGACAAGGCTTGGGAACCATTCTGCCGGGTTCCAGAGGCCCGGAAAGCGCACTACACCGGCTACCTGGCCGACGCGGGCAAATGCGAAAGAGGGTCCCCGCTCGTTATGGTTCTGGAATTGCTGCTGCAATTTCTGTTGCCCAGCGTGGGCGAGCAGATGCTCGGCGATGTACTTGCTGTTCGCGTAGCCGTTCGGGGCAGGGGTGGTGGTTGTTATGATAGTCTCGGGGTGAGGGCGGACTCGGTTCTATGGCCGATGGTGGAGCTAATGGAGGAGAGGAAGAAGAGCTGTGGGGACTGAGGGCAGCGAGTTGTGAAATTGATGAGGTTCACTACACCCTGGAGATGGGGCTCGAAGACCGCGAGGGAGTGGCTGAAGTTCACCGTCCAGGCGTTGTGGATGATCAATGTAGTCGTTTGCTGTAGCTGCTTGGAGACTCCGCGCTACAATCCGAGATCTACTCGGCTAAGATCCGCTATCCAGAAACTCACGCGAGACTCGTCGTTAGCCAGGGGCGTTAGACCATACGTCACCATGCGCTCGTGCCGTATCTCTCGAGCGTGTTCATTGCGGTTGAGGCAATGGATATGTGCCACAGAGGGATTGCGAAGCAGTGCATGGAGGATGTATGAGCCCAGTTGGCCCGTGGAGCCGGTAAGAACTACCGTCTGTGTCGACGGTCTGGTCGCAGACCGCACAGTGCAATCTGCGGGCAATTCGATCTGGCTAGTGAACTTCTGCAGCAGCTGGTCGCGCTCCTGAAGCAAAGTCTCCTGCTGCAGTTGCATTGACTCCCTACCCTGCTGATGCAGCTTTTCGACCGCGTGGGTGAGCGCCGTCACGGAAGGATGCAAGTAAATCAGATTAGGCGTGAGAGCAGGTAGATTGAGACCATGCTTCAGCTCTCGGGTCAATGTGATCGTCTGCAGGGAGTCTAAGCCAAGAGTGAACCAGTTCTCTGCATTGCAAAGCTTCTCTGCACTCCACCCCGTGATTGCCAGGATAGAGGTACGAATGTATTCGGCGACCTGGCTAGTATCATCTACGCTACCGGGCCCTGCCAACATGCCCCCGGTCGCCTGCGCCAACTTCTCAGCGTCGGCGTAGAGAGTCTCCAGCTCCGATGCATAGAGCATCAATGTACCAGCACGTTGGACGGTACCCTTCCCAGCGCGCAACATGGGTTTCTTCGGGGTGGTAAACAGAATGTGGCTCTTGGTGATGCGGGCGTGAGCCGGACAGGCGCTGTTGGCCTCCTGAATGCTTGGCCAGAGCTTCTCAATCATCGCCGCGCGCTCACTGGCACTCGGCGCTGCTTCTGCCTTCCCGAGCTCCACGATCAGCGCGGCTTGAAAGCGTTGAGCACCGGCGACCAGGCAGCCAGTCACCTCCCGGTTGGCGGCAACGATATGCTGCTCCATCGAGATTGGGTTCGTCTTCTCGCCGTTGAGAAAGACAATCACATCGTCCAGACGTGACGTTGTGCGCCACAGATCGGCCTTGGCCGGATGCGGATGACGGATGAAGAGGTCGGAAGTGTGGTATTCCTGACGATCAGGGAAGATACTGAAAGGGAACTGGTGGCGTTCGTACTCAGGGGTACGCACCATGACCAGCTCATGCTCCTCGCCCGAGAAGTGGCGCATCTGCACCCCGAGATGAGGGTGGAAACGCGTATAGCGCCAGTCCTTGGTCGGATCTCGGTCGGTCGTCGAGTGAATCGCGGAGATCAGTCCCATCTCCGTGGCACCATAGATGCTCACCAGTTTGATCCGCTCAGCCACAGTGTCACCGATCGCCTGGGGTAGATCCCCGCCGCAGTAACCAAGGAACTCCAAGTGGGTGCGGACATCGTCCAGTAGCTCTGGGGTCTGCGCCAGCTCCGAGACGATCGATGGTGTCACGAAAGCGAAGCTGAAGGGCGTCTGCTGGCGCGCTGCCACCATCCCGGCAGCGGTAGGCAAGCTTCCAGAGATTGGCATCACAAGCGTGATCCCTACAGGCAGAGTAACGAACAGGAGATGCCCCACTCCGCCAGCGTGGAAGGGGGGCAGCATCATGTACATTTTCTTGCCGAAGGCCCATTGGTTTTGTGTCTCAAAACCCGGGGGAGGGTCCAGAGTTTGCATCCGCATATGTTTGACAGCTGTCTCGTGGGTCCATGTGATGGGCTTGGGGATTCCGGTGGACCTTGAGGTATGGATTATGATCAGTGGCTCGAGGGCCGCTTCCGGGTAGGTCTTCGAAAATTCGAAGGGCGGATACTCGATGCTTACGAGTTCTTCGGGATATCGAGAACCTGGAGCGAGACGGCCTTCAGGATTGCTGCCGCGGCAGGAGGGCGTGGTACCGGAGCAATCAGCGTGGTGCAGCTGAGCTTCTGTAACAAGGACTGATGGGCCACGGGGCTGATCCGGGGCGAAGTCAAGAAGATGTGCCTTCTGTATTAGTTGAGACTAGCAGTGATGTGAAAGTAGTAACGAGAGTCACCATACGCAGTAACCCGCTTTCACAGCCCCAAGAATCAAAGCTGGGTATGGCAAATCATTAGGGCCCACGTAGGTGAGAACCTCTCCCTTGCCAGGGCCTAGGTGACTCACCAGCCAGTGGGCAAGGCCGTTAATGGCATTGGCGAGAACTTCGTATGTGACGGCCTGGTACCCTCTTCATAGCTTGCGAGGTTTCGGAGAAAGGCCGCAGGAGCAGCGAGAGGTTAGGACATATAGCTTCATCGTTCCTATCGTTGTTGAGACAGACAACGGTCAGGGAAAAGTCGAGTCGTGCCAACCCAGCAGCGGTCAATGTTTTGCAAACCCACGAAAAGGAAACAAGAACCAACTCCACTTGCGAAATGATGGTTGGAGATTCGAAAATGTGAATCGAGGTCAGCACTGGAGACTTTGGCATGGGATTGGACTTCTATATGAGAAAAGCAAACAGCCGAGTCCGTGTGATGTGAGTTTCTTTGTTACCCCGACACTAGGTCTTACTTTTAGCGCTTGTCATATGCGTGATTTTCACATTACCCGCCTGGAGGTACGCCACATTTCTTCTCCACCACGGCGTGATGTGATTCTGTCTTTGGGTCTTCTGGATCTGGGTCCAGTCGTACTATGAGAGACAGGAGAATCTTTGGTTTGGAGAACAATTCTAGCGCGCATCCGACTTGTCTAGGTAGCCGTTCTCGAAATCGGCGGCCCATGCGCAACGATCGGCAGACAGCCCAAAGACAAATTTGAATGTTCCTTGTCTCACAAAGGAATGTCAATCTTCTGCCAACAAACGAGAGCATCCAAGATCGAGCATGGTAAGGCACTCTGGAAGTCCGGGAGTGACGGGGAGGCATTCAGACTTGCGGCATACCGCATACTAGTCACATGCAGGGCGAGTCGAAGCCGCAGTCAATAATGTTGTGCTCATCGAAATCGCACAAATGTCTCACCAGAAGCGATGTAATTGACCACCATGATATCCATTGTCCGATTCTTCTGGTGTCGAGGATTAACGCTTGAGAAAAGGCATTAGTGTGAGTTACATCCAAAATTGGCGGGTCAACAGGTGGCGGCTTACCAATACTTCAAGACTTCAAGTCACCTGGACGGAATGGCCTAGTCTTGGACTTGAATATGAAAGTTCTAAGTAGTGAGTCTTGCTCGAGAATCTGGCGTATGAAACGCTCGTCTTCCGGTTTAGAAGAGATAAAACTTCGTAAGTGTGGACGGAGAGACAGTGTGCGACCTGCAGAAAGTGATATGACGATGCAGCTTCATCCTCCTGAGGTGACCGTGAATATTAGGCGAGCCTCCTAATATACGGAAGGCGGGACTGTGAGCGGGCGGGTGCCGACGTGAATGATGAGCAGACCTTGTGATGACCATGTAACCTAGCCTTAGCTACCTCCGTCAGGCGGAATCTCTAGAGCGACATTTTCTTTGCGTTATGTACCGATACTGACTTCGATCTGTTGGAGACAGTCATTGGGCCCAAAGGTGATGAAGTGAAAGATCTTGCGCGACATACACGCGTGATTGAAACATCGGGTGAGATCGAATTCCATCAAGGCACGCGAGTTTGACCGACCATTCCCGATCATTTTCCTAGCCTGGGTCCGAGTCTGGTGGTCTTAGAATGGGATGGAATGGGCATGGCATACGACAGATCCTACTAGGATCAGTTCATAGACCGCTAGGCCATCTACCTGGCGAGAGTGGCAAAACTATTATCAATCCGACCTGGTCACTTCGGCTCTGAGGTAAAGCCCGCCTCACTCAAAGCCCGGTGGCATTTATGTAATCACAAAGGTGTAGGCGGCTTAATTCGAACTGCGACGCGATGGTCACCTAGGAATGACGTCCGCAGTCTCTTTCGTCTCGGGCAAAATAGGTCTGTACTCATGCCCATGATACAAGGCAATATTTCCGCCGGAACCTCCGCCGGGGCGGATTCGGCTCTCCATTAGGTGTTTCCCAATCCGCAAGCAGGCTCACTCTGTTTTGATCCGTGGGCGTTGAGAGAGCTTGTAGGCGACACGAGGTTTCTGGATGATGTGCTAGAATCTCAGGCCTTTGTGGCCTACTCACATCTGGTTTTAGGCCTTGGTAGTGCAGGCTGTCATCTTGACCAGATTCTGGAGAATCCGGCTCAAGCCAAAGTGATGGTTCGAGTTTGACAGTGCACTGCAGAACACCATGCTGACAAGGCTCTGATCGGAAGAAATAGAGAAGCGCCCCCTTCTTCGGTCAACTCGAGATAGAAGAGTTGTTCCAGAGTCATTTTAGACCGGATACTTTCACTTACCTTGCAACTCGAGATCAAAATCGCTGGAACAAGGACCTCAGAGTCGTGACTGGGTGTTTATAGGGATGATTATTCGCAGGAGATGGCTCCAGAAAATTTGAATAGTTGCCACCGGCAATCAATTGTACTTCGAGGCCGTGGATTCACTTCTTGTTATCAAACTTTGCGGGTGGGCTATGAAGCAATTTAAAGCCGTTATAGCGACTCTGGAGATGATAGGTGATGTCGCCTTGCCACGGTGGAGATACTGGAGGTCAACCGCAGTCAGTTCCCTATCCCACATGCTCATGAGCCTAGCTAAGAGTTTTAGCAGCATTTGTCGCTCAATGGGTATGCCTCCTAGTGTAGTGGGCATCGGTATAGATAGTATGTTGTAGGACAATCGCATTCACGTGACCCTAAATGGCATTCTACCGGCCCGGTTAAGATTCAATCCTCCGGACAGTGAATGAATGTCTTCGGTTCCGGCGGAAGATGAGGGCTTCCGGGAGTCGGGATTAAGTGGGAACGGAACCCACTGCGGTCGGAACCGAAAACATTTCCCCTCACAGGCATCCGGTGACCCTAGAAGATGTTACAACCGGCTTGGCTTGAGGCCTGTCGGCCTGGCCTACGTTCCTTCGGATTCAATCATCGTTCAGAGGCTCCACTTCCCTAAACCTGGAGAAGTAACCCTTCGCTTCCCCATGGGACGACTCTCCGGGGTAGAAATACGGCCCCACGGCCACTCTGCCCCAGAATGCCTCGTGCAGTGTCGTGATAATAACGAGAACACATTTTTATCTGATTGATAGTGCTCATCCGCAGCACTTTGGCGCGATGTCCGTGAAAGAAGCCATTGCAGCAACCGACAAGGCTGCCCTAACCCGCACCGCACAGGCGGTAGCGGCTCGCGAATATGAACAACAAGGCTGGTTGGAGAGAAGGTTGAAGCCCAAGACCATCACCGCCCGATATCCCTTCAAGGGCGCCCCTCTGCTCTATGCGACATGTGCGTTCGGTAGTTTGGGCGATGCCCTGTTCGGATACAACTCCGGTGTGTCCTACCCCGACCGTCAAGCTATAAAAAGAAAAAAGAGAGGGATCAGGAAAGACAAGATAAACAAGAAGAACGGCTAAATGGCAAGTTCAACCCAGGTATCATGTCGGGTCTTCTCGTGAATCCCGTGTTTGTCGCCCGCTTCTTCAAAGACTACGGCGGTGCGGACGGTTCAACATCCGGGGTCGATCCCTCGATTACCGGCATAGCAGTGGCATGTTTACAGGCCTCCGCAGCGGTGGGCGCTCTCATCGCAGGACGACTCGGCGATATCATCGGGCGCAAGAAGTGTGTCCGGATTGGAGGGTTCATCTACTTCTTCAGCGCGTTCATCCAAATGTTCGCTCCTGGGTTTGGCACCTTCATTGCTGGTCGCACCATCCAGGGCCTGGGTGTCGGGTTTCTGTCCATGACTGTGCCCATCATCCAGACGGAGATCGCCGCCCCGCATCGGCGTGGAATGATGGTGGGGATTGAGTATACCTTCCTCATTGCTGGATACATGCTTTCGTGCTGGGTGGACTACGGCTTCAATTTCCTCTTGCCCGGGGAGATGTCTTGGCAGGGGCCGTTCATCATCCAGATCGTCCTCTCGTTTATCCTGCTAGCAATGTCATTTTATCTCCCTGAGACCCCGCGTTGGCTGGCCAAGAACGGATTCATGCAGGAGAGTCTGCAGACCGTCGCCGACCTGCACGCGAACGGTGATACCGAAGCCGAGCATGTGCAGAAGGTCTTCGTCGAGATTGAAGAGGCTGTCATCTTCGAAAGCAACCTCGGAAAGTCCACTTGGATGGTAAAATCCTCATGCCTTTTGTCATTCACGGCGATACTAAGACAGCCAACAGGAGATGTTCACGCGATACCGCAAACGGACCATTGTCGGGATCACGGTGCAGATGTTCGCGCAGCTCAACGGCATCAACATCATCTCCTTCTACCTCCCCAGCACTCTTGCCACCGCGGGCTTCGATGAACGAAAGTCTTTGCTCTACACCGCAGCGAACGCGCTTCCGTATACTGCGGCTACAGTCGTAACATGGTGGTTGGCAGACAAGTGGGGTCGGAAGCCGTTGCTCATCCTCGGAGGTGAGTTTCCCCCATAAGTGGGAATTTGATCCGGGCTGGACAGCTAACATTTCCATCAAACCAGGTGTCGGCATGGCAATCCTGCTCAGCATTGTCTGCGCCTTCACGGAAGCGGACTTGGACATCCACACCCGCGCGAACGGACAGTACGCCTTCGTCATGCTCTACAACATTGTGTACGGATTCACGTGGGGTCCGATGCCGTGGCTTCTTCCCGCTGAGATTTTCCCCCTGCGCGGCCGCAGCAAGGGCATGGCGCTGGCCACCACCAGTAACTGGATCTTCAATTTCATCATCGGCATGGTTTCTCCGGATGCTTTTGCCGGAATCCACGGGTATTTCTACCTGGTGATCGCCGGGTTCTGTCTGTTCTCAGCTGGGCTGGTGTACTTCTACTACGTGGAGACGGCGAACAGCACGTTGGAGGAGATTGCAGAGTTGTTTGGCGATACGGCGTTCGCGGGGGCGGACCGAGAGGAGATTCGGGGGGTGTCGGAGGTGAGGACTGACCATGGCAAGGATATTGCATAGTGTAGCATATATGATCCCTGGGGGTGTAATTCTTGTTCTGAGGCATCCATACTCACAGGGTATGATTTCAAGGCGAAAATTGCCCAAGACACCGGGGTACATTTCCCTCTATTGATGAACTATTCATGAGTTTACGCAGTCGAGCCGACATGATGCTTGAAGATATTGTTTTGCAAGTGATTTGAATCTTATTCTTCCTGAATGAGACAAAAACGGCGGCTGGTCTCTCTCGAAATCATACGCCCTCCCGAAAATGCAGGAGGGGTCATTTTGAAGTCAACCTTGGAATTGTGGTGCAGGATGCGACGCGCGTGCCGTGGAAGCCAGACATGCCGAATCCCCACCCGAATACGGGCGCACCCGCGCAACCTCACAATCCCTCTTTGTTCCCTCACAAGAAAAGGATGGTACTGTACTATGTGCTGTTCGCAGATAATTCTGGCTCCTTTGTGTATAGGTCTAAGAAGCCTTTCAAACCCAAATTACGATCACGAGTCTTGTCCCTATGAGCCTGGTCAGATGGCCCTCGTATTCAAACTTCCCAGCCACCGCTATATATATTGGGAAATCCATTCCTTAGGGCGCATTCTCATGGACCTGAATTCAACAGTCACATTGCGTTGTAGAACGTTTTCGGAACGGCGCATCATAATCACCATCAGATTAACCTCATGACCCCAAGACAACAGCATAATCCAGCGGCCCGATGTATGTCTGACTATCAACGCACAATGGAACAATTGATGAGATCAGGGCTAACAGCGTGCTACCAAAGCCGCCACTTGCGGGGTATCCCGCCCAACGCAGCAGCAAAAAGAGACCTGCACGGACTACCTGCTCTTCGACGCCACGCTGCAAGAATTCCTAACCTACAAGCGCGACGTGCAGGGACGACCCCCCTGGCTCGACTGGACGGACGACGGCTGCTCGGCCTCGATGGACTACCCGCTGGGCTTCAACTTCCACGACAGCTGTCTGCGCCACGACTTCGGATACCGGAATTACAAGGAGCAGGGGCGCTTCGACCACGCCCCCTCGAAGAAGGCGATCGATGCGCGCTTCAAGCAGGATCTGGTGGACATGTGTCGCGGGGTGACGACGCCGTGGCATCGCATCAATAGTCATTGGAGCTGCGTCAATTGTGCTCATCTGTACTATCGCGCGGTGCGGTGGTTCGGGAAGTTCGGGAGGCACGTCCCTAGAGTACCTCCGTTTAGTAAGAAGCGGTAGAGATGTCGTGATAATACCGTTCGCAAGGTGTTTGTGTATTTCGCTCCGCACGAGAGGGAATATCCTCGCCGGTAGAGATAGTCAATGTTGTAAGTACAATACGGAGTCGGGTGTGGATCATCAGGAATGTTTTGAATTGGGACTTCGCCTTCATCCAGGTAACCATTCGCCTTTCTATAATATTCTATGTTGCAATAGCTCTCTGCTGTGGTCAAGTTGATGATCGTATGGGTCTGGGTGTGGACGCATCTATTGATGATGAGAAATGCATGGTCTCTGTTGACTAGTGGGCGGACCAGGGTAAAATGCAATTGCGAGTAGAAAGGTTAGATTGCTTCATATAACTGAGATTGCCGGTCTTACCTCATAGAAGCATCATTGGTCTAGTGGTAGAATTCATCGTTGCCATCGATGAGGCCCGTGTTCGATTCACGGATGATGCACTCAGCATTTCTTTTTTCCCTCTTCAACACTTTCGTCTCTTAGCAATCCACGAATCCCAAATTGTCCACTAGCCCTGTAAATTAGCTCGAGCTTCACTCGACACCGTTCTAAGTAATCTTTACATCTGGCTTGACCCCACATTGTTCCAATAAATGGATCATAACAACATAACCAGGTCCAGATTCAAAATGGGGATCATGGCCACGCAGAACCGACCGATCATATCCCACCAACTACCCGATCCATAGCATTAATAAAAAATGTCGTTTTTGAGCTAGTAGAGCCTAACTTCGCTTCCTGACAACCTAGTTGGAGATATTTGGTTCTTTCTATACCAAATAGTATCATTCAAGAGCTACGTACAGTATTGTCCTACTTGCTTGAAATTCCCTATTTCCCTTTCATACATAGCCTTGTCATTGCCCTGGCCGATGTCATATGGCCGATTTGGAAGCTAGCCATTTGTCGTTATCTTTACTAAGAGTACGGAATGTGACATAGCCTCTTTCAGTTTGAGTGATCGGTGATTCTTACACTTTGCCTGTTTGGTGCTAATTCGCGGTCGTGTTGCCTGCTTCAGGAAGACTACTCCGAGCCACATATTCCGTGACGCCACAGGTTCTACACTTCGGTTCCAATTGCTTGAGACAAAACGTCCCTCATGCGAGAGGGCGATATATATCGTAAGCGAGTCTTCAGAGCGTCTTCTCCTACAATGTACCCGGTGCAACGCGCACTCTCCGTGCCTACATGTATAGACGACATGGAAAATGGGGCGACCATATAAGGTTCTTACGATATCTCGGCGGGAGTCATCATCACCACGGGAGCAGTCGGTTTTCTCCCCCGCATAATGAATTTGCCGGCACATTGCCCTTTGGGCTTGGCGTGGAATCCAATCCTGCTCTACAGTCCGTCAAGCCGGGAAACATGGTCTGATTCCGGCTCGAATACGTACGTACGGGCTATATAAAATGGGGTGCTTGGCTCCAAGTGCCCGGGTTATCATTTTCTTCACTACCCCACACTCCCCACGCTCCTTGTCCCGTCAGGGAAGCTCACGCCTGTCTCCGTTCTCGGATTCTCTCGGTCATCCGCCGCACTCGGAGCTTTCAGACTCGGCATGTAGTTGGAGTTCATAAGTTGCCCCATACCCCAGCCCGTCCAGGCCAATATGAGCTGTAAAACAACTCGCATTGGGGAACAAAGCTATTCAGTGGAGAAGCACAACACTTTCGCGAGCCATGACTCCGTGGGCGACTTTTGGGTGGCTCGGCCTTGCCTCCCTGGCTCTGGCCGAGTTGAACCCTCCTTATTATGCGGATCTGAGTTGGCAACCCGCGCGGACCTTGTCCAACTGGTCGAACTTGACCGTCGAGACCCGGACCGGAACCTTCATTGGCATGTTGAATGATACCTATCCCAATGTCCGCCAGTTCTTGCGGGTGCCCTATGCGCAGCCACCGGTTGGCGACCTCCGCTGGCTTCCTCCTCAGAAACTGGCGCACTCGTCGAAAAGAATTGACTCGACTCGATTTGGCCCGGGTAAGCCAATGCCTCATTGATCAGCCATGACAAGGCTGGGTTTATTGCTTGACAACAACGGCTGACCTTTTTTTCTTCAGCATGCCCGCAGTATGTTGCTGCGGGCGAGTCCATGTGGGCTCAATATGAGCCGCCGAATCTCCTGCTGAGTATCGGCGAATCCGACAACCAGGGCTCCGTCGCGTGGTCATCTTCGGAAGACTGCCTGTCACTGGCCATCTGGACCCCGGCCTATGCCAGCGAGACCTCCCAGTTACCCGTTGCGCTCTTCGTCACGGGCGGAGGAGGGACCACAGGGGGCATCGCGATCCCCTCCCAGCTGCCTTCGAACTGGGTTGCCAACTCGCAGGAGCATATTGTGGTGACCATTAACTACCGGGCAAATATTTTCGGCAGTGGGTACTCAGCTGGAACCCTCATCAGACGGCACATTTCTAACGACAGAGCTTTGCGCTTCTAGATCCCAAGTCTAAAGCTTTGAAGGAGACATCCTTGACTCTGATGGATGTGCGCGCGGCGGTGGAGTGGGTGTCGGAGAATATTCGGGCATTCGGGGGAGATCCAGAGAACATTATGGTAAGTTTGCAATGAGTAGGCCTCTGACAACGGTCTGAGGATCAAGTCTGATCAATCTTTTTTCGCATGGCAGCTGTGGGGCCAATCCCAGGGCGCTGCCCTGACACACCTCTACACCCTCGCCTACCCGGATAATCCTCTCGCGGTCCGCTTCGGCGTGATCTCCGCGCCGCCGTCGGTGACCATTAACCTCACGGAGACGGAGGACGTCTATGAGGACTTCCACATCGTTGCCAAGGGTCTGGGATGCAACTACGGAGACGACGCCGAGGCGGAGCTGGAGTGCATGCGCCAAGTGTCTTGGGTTCAGATCGAGGAGTATATCAACCGCTATAATGGCACCCCGTCTATTGCGTTCACGAACTATATCCGTTTGTCTCCCTTCCCCCTCTTCCCTCTGTCCCGATCCCCATCCTCTTCTGCTTTAGTCTCGTGTGTCGGGATATGACTAACGAAAGTGGGATATATTACAGCCGACGAGAAGTACATTTTCGCCAATGAAACCGAGCGATACCGACTGGGTCGGGTTGCTCCCGGGCCGGCGATCCGCTCCAACGCCGCCCGCGAAGATCCCATCACCCCCGGCAATGACACCGCCACCATGGAGACGACCGGCGAATGGCTCTGCGCGTCGTACAAGGATGCGCTCTTGCGGGCCTCACTGGGGCTCGAGACGTACCGGTACGAGTGGGCGGGCAATTTTACCAACATCAGCCCCGTTCCCTGGCTGGGCGCGTTCCATTGGTCCGACCTATTGATGATCTTTGGTACGTACATGCTGGATGTCGGGGAGATCTCGGAGCTGGAGGTCACGACCTCGCGGGCGATGCAGGATTATTTGCTGGCTTTTCTCAAGGACCCTGCCACAGTCAGCACGGCGGTGGGCTGGCCGGCGTTCAATGCAAGTGCCCCATCTGGAGGGTTGATTCTGGAGTTTGGGAACACGACGGCCGTGCGGAATGTCACGGGCGATTTCCTGGAGGCCGGTTGTTGGGACTCCAGCGCTCCGTTCCGCATCTTCGGACGCGATGAGAGAGTTCCGCTGGAGTGGAGGGGATAGATCTGGCAACATTCAGAGAAACCATGTGTCTGGCGTAAGATCAAAGGAAAGAACATAGTTTCCGGAGAGCCTTTTTCGGCGAAGTATATGAAGATTCTTTTCATGATGACTATGTTGATGATTGTTGGATGTGGTTTAGCAGGTGGTAGAGTGAACAATAATTTTATAATATCTGCAACATGAAACAACCCCAACCAGGTGACAGAGCCAAGCTCAATGGCAGTAGTCAGAAGCAAGCTTGTCAAAGACCAAGTGCTTGCTTACAAAGAACGCTATCAAATGACCAACGCGAAGAATACCGCCATCTCAAGATACCTCAAAGAGGTGAACCTGTTCCACACTGAAATACTCCTGCTTACAATCAGTGTTCCCTTTGTGGTGATGTGAAGTATATAACCCGCCCTGATATGCTTTTATTCTGCATGTTCGTCAGCAACCCCCCCTTCAACCAACCCTTCAACCGACAGACCTACAACGAACATGTCTCCGCCACTTTACCACCTCAACCTCGCATACTACGTGCACTATCTGCCGGAGCAGCTCCGCGCCCTCCAGGTCCCGGTGCAGCGCCCGCGGATGACGCATCTCAAGTGTGGGCTGTGCCACCGCCTCCAGGAGGATCCGGAGAGGGCGCTGCACCAGTGCTCGAACTGCTACAGCTGCTTCCATCTGGGCTGTGTGGCGCAGCTGAGGATCCACGAGCTGTCGGAGCGGAATGTCCGGCTGGTCTACGGCTGCCCGAGCTGTGGCACGCCGTGGTTGACTCCGCAGCATTCTGCCGAGGAGCGCGGGAAGTCTGCGAGCCCCGGGAAAGAGAAGAAGAAAGTGAACTGTCAGGTCAAGTACCAGTACCAGCGCAACGCGGAAAACGACTATGTGTGTACTGTCCGCATGCCCGATGGCCGGCCATGCGGGGTGACTGCGGCACTTTGGGATGCGTTCGCGGCGCATCACGCACGCCAGCATGAGTCCCGGAGGTGAAGTCGTGGAGGGGTGATGTCCTGGAAGGTTGTATTTCTGTGGACTCGGTTTGCTTCTTTACATGCCTGCTGGTCGTTGATACAAGGCATGAAGAACAAAGTAACAAATCAATAAAAAAATCCGGGGTTATTATTTTAGGTAAACCTGCCGTCGCTCTTATTTGAACTGTATAAAAATCTTACTTTTTAGTCAGCCATTATAGATCAACGCCTTTTCGACCTCAGCACATACGACCACAGGGTGTGGAAAACAGGGCTTCCCGTCCGCTCAGCCGTACTTAAGCCACACGCCGGGAGGTTAGTAGTTGGGTGGGTGACCACCAGCGAATCCCTTCTGTTGTATGTTTTTGTTTGCTAAGCATTTTGAACCATCTTCATTTTACTGAGCAGAACCGGATGTGAATGAAACTTCCTACAGCCAAACCCTACACTCATGCCTCAGACTCCACCAAACAACTCTCAATCACGCATTGCGGATCGGCTCCCTCCCCGGGCCACACCGCCACCCGGACCAGTAACTCCCCACTGCCGCCTCGGACTCGGGCTGCTTCGTCGTTCCAATTGTGCAGGATCGATTTGAGGTAATAGAGGTCCGCTCCTGGAATTTCTCCCATGGATATTTTGAGAAGATAAGTAGAAAGCAGGGAATCGGAAACAAAACTCGAAGCCGATCAGAAGCAAGGCAGATTCAACTCTTACCTTTGACTGGCTGCGGCGTAAAACAATTATACACCATTGGTCGAATTCTCGAGACGAGCCCCGAAGGGATCCCGTTCACCGTCTCCCGGAGATCCTCGAGTATCAGTCCCATGGCACGTCGGGGAATATCGTCGCGAACCGCTGGATGTCCACTCCCTGGACCGCCAATTTCGACAATGATGAATGGCTTCAGGGGTTGCTCCGGATTGATGGGGATGGAGGGAGGCGCTCTCGCACCGGGTAGTTGTTGTGCCGCGGCACCGAGAAGCTCTTGTTCCGGGTGGTTATGTTAGTATCGAAGGCTTTTTGTTTCCAGACTGGGTCCGAGGAGAGCGTCTCCCAGAGGGTTTCTCGCATGGCGAAGGTGTATGGCGCGAGGGATGGAGTAGGGCTAAAAGCAACGAGTCGTGGGGCGCTCGTGCATTGCTTATAATACGGCGTGGCAGATTGAACAGTGGACCGATGCCGATTTCGCTGAGCATGCCGAGGAGCAAATTGGGTCTCTGAAACCATTTACCGTCCTAGAGAACCTGGTGATGCGCCATAGTTTCCTCATCGGTGAAATCCCACTGACTGAGCTCTTTCCCGCATCGCTCAAGAGCTTGAGTATCGTGGACATTGTTGATGAACACTACCTGGATCTGTTGTTGGATCTGTGGACGTTGGTGCGCGACCGGACCTCCTCTTTCCAGCTGGAAGAGCTAGCCATTGATCTGGTAGGGCTAGCTGAGGAAACACTGATTCCTCTGAGAGGCGAATGTGACACCGCTGGTATCCGGCTGAAGTCTGATGTACCTCAATTAGATCCCTGCAGAAGAAGGGGGGGCTTTCCATACCGTTATGTCAGTTCGTGATACTTTTTCATTTGTCTGAATAACCACCGCACTACCAAGAGAATGCCGTTTCCAAGTAGTGCGACGGTTGTAGCTAGGAACTACATGCTGGATTCAGTGCGACGACAGCGGACTGTAAATATAGATAAGTTATAGATATTGACCAGCGATTGTCGGGGCACCACATCGGAAATAGCCTGTCTTTTCGGGAAGACGGGACCCAGTGGCTTCGGAGCGAGTTCTGTCCTTCCTGGAATGATAAGACGTCAATCTGATGCGAGTTGCCAGTCCATATAGAATCTGCCCAATCAATATTGCGTCAACTTACAGGGGTTGACCCATTGGGAAATGATTGTCGCATGCAGTGCAGCGCCCGCAGTGCCCCTCTTCCCTTCGAGCTGAACCCCGCTTCTCTAGCAGTAGAGGAACAGCTGTTATCACAAAACCAGGTAGAGACTCTTATCTTTAGGAACGTGGGGCCATCAAGATGGTTCACAGAAAAAGGGCTTAAATTCCACTTCTGTACTCACTACTTCCCAGAAAAGTGGTTTCGGTTAGCCAGAGCGATTCCTACACCGGCTCGTTCCCTTACCCTTGCAGCATGAAACACCTCAAAGCCCTACTTGTAGCAAACCGGGGCGAGATCGCCTGTCGACTTCTGGTAGCCGCAAAGTGAGTGCAGCCCCGCGTATCCACTGTGTCCGTTGATAGCGAAAGGGCCACAGGAAGCTTGGCATTCGCACGGTCGCTCTTTACACCGAATCGGATTCACGATCGGGGCATGTTGGCGCTGCTGATGAGGCAGTTCTCCTGACCGGGGAGGCCAGAGCTGCGTATATTGATGGGTGTGTAGCCCCAAATCCACGCTCTACACACTACCCAGCTAAATTATGATCGCGTCCCGGCAGTGAACAGATTATCGCCATCGCTCAATCACGAGATGTGCAGGCCATCATCCCCGGCTATGGGTTTCTCTCCGAGAACGCCGCCTTTGCCCGGGCTGTTGCCGCGGCGGACCTGATCTTTGTCGGACCCTCGCCCGAGGCCATCGAGTCTTTCGGTCTCAAACACACAGCCCGGGATCTGGCGCTGGCGGCGGGCGTACCCGTAGTGCCCGGATCTCCGGGCCTTGTTCAGTCGGAAGATGCCGCCGTGGAAATGGCTCAACAGCTCGGCTACCCGGTGATGCTCAAGGCCACCGCGGGCGGGGGCGGCATGGGCCTGATGGCCTGCACCAACGAGGCAGAGCTGCGCCAGAATTTGCAGTCGACCAGATCCCGCGGAGAGTCGTTGTTCAACAACGCGGGCGTCTTCCTGGAACGGTACTATCCGGATAGTCACCACATCGAAGTGCAGGTCTTCGGTAACGGGCAGGGAAGAGCCATCAGCATCGGGGAGAGGGAGTGCTCAATTCAGCGCCGGAACCAGAAGGTGGTGGAGGAGTGCCCCAGTCCTTTTGTGACGCAACGGTTCCCGGAGCTCCGGGCCAAGCTGACAGAGGCCGCGGTGGCGCTGGCGGAGAGCGTTCAGTACGGCTCCGCCGGCACAGTCGAATACCTCGTGAATAATGTGTCTGGAGACTTCTTCTTCCTGGAGATGAACACGCGACTGCAGGTGGAGCACGGGATCACTGAGATGTGCTACAACGTTGATCTGGTAGAGCTCATGCTACAACAAGCAGACTGCGAGCTCGGGGGATGCGGCGGCATTTTATCGGAGGAGCTGGAGGCCCGGCAAGCACAGTGGCTGGAGCCATGTGGTCATGCTATTGAAGCACGAGTCTATGCCGAGAATCCGGCTAGGGGCTTCGCGCCTAGTCCGGGTCTAATCCAGGAGGTGAGGTGGCACGAGCCTCCCGGAACCCGGATCGACACCTGGATTAGGGCTGGTCTCACGGTTAGCCCCGACTATGACCCCCTCTTGTCCAAGATCATGTACCACGCATCCACCCGATCTGACGCGGTAGCTGGAATGGCAGAAGTGCTGGCAAAGAGTGTCATTTGCGGCCCCCCGGCCAATCTCGACTACCTCTCAGCGATTGTCGACGACGACCGATTTCGTATGGGCCATACCATTACCAAGTTCCTCGACTCGCTGGACTATGCCCCTGCAGCCATTGATGTCATTTCTGGCGGATCATACACCCTCGTGGAAGATTATCCCGGGCGACCGTCCGTTGGTCACGGATTTGGTCATGCCGGTCCGATGGATCCGATCGCTTTCCAAGCCGCCAATATCCTCGTGGGAAACCCTCCGACCACGGAGGCACTCGAGATCACCCTCACGGGCCCCGAGCTTCTGTTCCTCGGAGACGCGGTGGTAGCGCTCTGTGGCCCTCCCATCCCTGCTACGCTGGACGGTCAGAAGCTTGTCCAATGGATGCGTGTTAGTGTCCAGGCAGGTCAGACGCTCAGAATCGGGAAACTAGCTGCGCAGTGCCGTGTATATCTGGCTGTCTATGGCGGGTTTCTCAACATTGCGAGCTGGTTCGACAGTAAATCGACCAACCCGCTGGTCGGAGTCGGCGGGTACCAAGGTCGGCCCCTCCGCGCTGGCGATTTCCTGCACATTGTCTCGCGGGACCAGCTTCCAGAAGCACGAGCCATCAGTATGCCACGCTCCGTGATCCCCCAGTATTCTACCGACTGGGTGATTCAAGTCATGCCTGGCCCATACGAGACCGGTTATCTGACCCTCAAAGACATTGAGATGTGCTTTTCAACAACCTGGAGGGTGAGCCATAATGCTGCACGGGGTGGCATCCGCCTCATCGGCCCGAGACCGGAGTATGCGCGTGGCGACGGGGGCGATGGAGGGTCCCACCCGAGCAACGTCTTCGAATATGGATACCCGATGGGTGGTCTGAACTGGACTGGGGACGAGCCGGTCCTATTGCCGGTGGACTGTCCGGACTTTGGCGGCTTTCTGTGCAGTCTGACCGTTATACGCGCGGACTTCTATAAGCTCGGCCAGCTTCGCGCTGGAGACACCCTCCGGTTCCGCCGGGTCGACCTCGATACTGCGCTGGCGTGTAGGCGCCGACACGGGCGCTTTCTGCAGAGGATGGCTTCCTGTGTGGCGAATGACTCGTGGGACGATGCTGTCGCTTTCGATGATGCGGCGCTGAATTCCATTGCCTATACCCCGGGACAGGACGTGGTGGCTTCCCTGCAGGCGACTGAGTCGCAGCCCAAGGTGACCTACCGATCTGGAGGGGACGACTACCTCCTCGTCGAGTACGGCGATGGCAAGATGGACCTGGAGATGAAGTGTCGGTCGACAGCGCTGAAACGCGCCCTCGAGTCGGCCACCGGGGCGGTCTCCACCAACCGGAACCAAGGCGGCCAGATTCACAACCTGGTCGCATGCGGAAGCTCGTTGGCCGTCTGGTATAACGGCCCGGGGATGGAGCGAGCTGATCTGTCCCGCGGACTGATCGAGATTGAACACACCCTTGGGGACATGCGCCGTGTCCGTTTGCCCATCCGTCGGTACCGGCTCCCTGTCACCTTCCGGCACCAGAAGCTGGTCGAGATGCTCGAGCGCTACACGACCACCCAGCGGTCGACCGCAGCCTACCTCCCGGACCCCTTCGCGTATGTAGCCGAGTTCAACGGCCTGACCCCGCAGGAGCTGAAGGAGGTCCTGTTGGCGGCCGAGAACGTCGTCCTCGCAGTGGGGTTCATTATGGCCTTGCCCATTGCCGTGCCCCAGGATCCCCGCCACCGCATCCGCACCCCCAAGTTGAATCCCAGTCGCAACTACACCCCCGCTGGCTGCTTTGCCCACGGTGGCTCGTCAATATGTCTTTACCAGGTCGATGGCCCCGGTGGGTATATGCCCCTGGGAATGTCTCTCCCAACGCTCGATCTCTACGGCACAAACCCAGTCTTCCAGCAGCAGCCCTGGCTGATTCAGGATATGGATACAATCAGCTTCTTCGAAGTGTCAGGGGAGGAGTACGACCGGATAGTGGCGGACCTTCAGGCGGGGCGGTATCAATTTCAGATCGAGGATGGTGTCTTCGACATGGCCGAATACCACCAACTGCAGAAGGAGACCGGGGCAGAAATGGAGGTATTTCGGCAGAAGCAGCTCGTGGCAGCCACCCAAGCCACGGCAAGGGAGAAGGCTCTCCTGGACCAATGGCTCGCGGAGAAAGACGCGATGGTGCCTGACGACGATGAGGTAGCACGCTTACTGCAGGGTAAGTTGATTGGCACTCCTGGCTCTACATTCAGAGCCCCGGACTGATCTCATGCCCCTTTTTCTAGACGCGACAATTCAAGCGGTTGAAGCCCCGACCAGCGCCAACGTGTGGAAGGTCCTTGTTGAGCCGGCCACTAAGGCGACCGAAGGCCAGACCCTCGCAATATTGGAGGCGATGAAAATGGAAATCAATGTCGATGTAGCTGCGGCAATGGCGGGCGCCACCGTGGTAAAGGTCTTGATTCAGCCGGGGGGTAGTGTGCACAGTGGTCAGCCGATTGTACTTCTGCGTCAACAATCACAAGAAGTTTGAACAGGTCGAAGAAGTG